TACACAGGGTACTTACATACGCAGGACAGCCGGAGAGAATATTGTGGGACTACAGCACACTACGATTTTGTCGTATTATGTGGGGATCATTTCACAACATCTGTGTGACATTTAGAGTTTAATTGCTTTGAAGGGGCTATGTAAATTTTGATATTGGGTTTTTACCCATCACCAACTTCTTTGTACATGACATTATGTACAATGTACTTTTATAAAGCACTGCACTGTGTCCCGTGAGATAATGCCAAAAATGCTTCACCGGCTCATGTGGGACTTGAACCATTGACCTTCCACCATATTTATGGTGGGTCTAGCCACTTGTACGGTACAGTACATGTACCGGTACACTGTACAACATTTACTGGTAAAATGTACATGTACTCAGTGAATGGCAATGAATTTGACATAGATCTCGCAAAGGCACCTTCATTGTCAATTTTTGAAAGAGAGCCCTCTGTGAATGTTCCCCTTCGGTACTCCCCATCACTGCTTTTGCGTGCTGTGCTCATGCTGTATAACTTTTACCTTGTGGAGAAGGCTGTGAACTCATCTGGCATGATAACTGCAGGTGTCTTTTACGAATAACCCTCCGGATGAATGAGGCCATTTTATGTATTTCCCTAAGCACAAGAACCGTTGGACCCTCTCTGTCAAACTGCGCCATTGAATTAGCATTAGTATTGCAACAATTAAAACTTTCCGACTGGATTGACAGGATAGCCTGAACTGGATGGCAGCTGTGCTAACATAAACAAATTTTATGCAACTTGCTCAACAAGAGTGCCTGTCGTACATGTACAGATCAGGGGTGAGATTTGTCGGGATTTTTCCCAATTTCAGGATTTTTCAAGAATCTTTTTTGAATTTTGGAATCCCAGCTTTTTATTTTTTTATTTTTTTTATTATTTACTTTTTTTATTAAAAAAAAAAATCTATGACAGTTCATAGGGAACAAAAGAAATGGGTATTGTAAGGGGTACCTTTAGATCCTGCTTAGGGGCCATCACCCCCATATCCTCTGCCAATTATTTCGTGGGATTTTCATTTTACCCTGGAACCCAAGGTTCCTTGATTGATAGATGCAACACAGTCTTTTATTAGTACCAGACTATAAGATAATACCAGATACTTGTCCTACCCGCAATAACTGCTACAAACAACAAGTACTGTGCATCTTGTGTGGGTGTGTGTACTCACCAGTTGATCACTTGATAAGACTTTTATTTGTAAACAATGTATGTTTACATTGTGCAAGTATTTTGATGCCATTGAAGCGCACCTCCTCCCCATAGGTAGTAGCTCCATGGATGGTCTGAGTATCAACTAATCATGCTAACTAATCTAGAATGGTGTTTCAGAGAGATACGTACTGTATGCAATACACCATACATGTATAATTTACAAAATATGTTATACGCCATAGACCATGCACTGATGCAGATTTAATATTAGGTTTTGCCCTTCACCAATGTGATTTTTCATTGTATGCTCAGTGTTGCCCGAGGTCTTGCGAGAAAAAAAATCACATGTAGTATACATTTGTTGTACCAGACATGTTCATGTATTCATACATGATACCGGTACATCTATGGAAATTCCATGCACTGTATATTGTGCTTGTTCATGTACTTCAAACTTTTACAGTGCAAGCATAAAACATGTACATGTAAGTACATGTACAATATACATGTGTACATGTTCATGTACGTGGACACATTGAGGTGAATTCCACATGTGCGTGTCAACCTGCCCTTGTAAATTGTTGGAGGCAGTGGCACAGTGCAGCTAACCTTGGCAGGCTTCTTGCTGGTAATAATTGGTTCCCACTGAGAGGCCAGGGTTTGTACAGACTGTCATGACTGTTGTTGCCTGTCAGTTGGGGTCGTGTGCTGGGACCCATCACGTACATGTACAGTACATGTTCATGTGCATGTTCATGTACATGTGGTCCTTTTTTCAGTCACATAATGTTACAGTGTTGTTGACTGAGTCACTGACTCGGACTGGAGTCCGACTTGAGTCACTATTTTTTTGACTTAAGACTTGACTTGACTTGGCAAAAAAAAGGACTTGTGACTTGACTTGACTTGAATTTGGCCTGCTGACATTAACACTTTTGTTAAATGAACTCAAACTTTCAGTTGGGAACAGAAAGCCAAGGACCTGAGTCACCTGATATACATGTGTAGCGAGCTTGGCATCCTGCACGTACCGTATGTATGCAGGGATCGTCGAGGTACCAGATGGTACTGGTATTTGTGCAGTGCATGCCAGTTTGTGCCATGTAGACTACAGTTGTGTTAGAAGGCACCACACTGCAGTACTGCACATACATGTATCAGTGTATAGACGCATAGAGGAAGCGACATCATCTTAAAATGACTGGAAAACGACTGTCATCATTCTGTGATACAGAATTGAGGAGAAGCACAAATTCTTCCTATTCGACACTAAGGCTTGGCAAATGAATTTCAAACGTCCTTCAAAAACTCAACATTGAATTGAGTTTGTAGATATTCAAATCACATTTTTAGACTATTTTAAATGCAAATGAGGTGTTTGAGAGAGCGAATTTGAAAATTGTAAAATTTTATTTTTCAATTCGCCCTACCTGATGCACACTATAATTAACCCTATCACACACACATACCGGCACATGTACCATAGACTGGTTCCTGTCTCTACTGCTATGTTTAGATGGGCATGAAAAAAAAAATGGAATTGAGACTTCAGTGACTTGACTTTGAAAAATTGACCCGTGGCTTGACTTGACAAAAATAAATTGAGGGACAGAGCACACTGTCCAAAACGTTGAGTTCTACATTCAACCAACCGGTTCTTTTCAGAACCACACTTCTTCCATGTGGAAAGAAATCTAAATTGACTTGCGACTTGACTTGGGAAAAATTGACTTGTGACTTGACTCAATGTGAATTGTGAAAAAATGACTTGTTGCAACACTGGAATGTTATGTACAATGTAAAAAATGTACAAGCATAGAGCATGGTACCACAGTGTGAATATACATGTACTGGTACATCAACTACATGTGCATTTATGTGTTCCTTGTTCGTGTTTACACACGTGTACATTTACATGTACATGTACATGTAGTTGATGTACCGGTACATTGATGTACGGTACCAGTTGATCTGCTCCGTGTTCTTGTACATGTTGTACATGTACATGTACATGTGCATGTAGCACGTACATGTACATGTACATGTGACAAACATACATACATTTACATGCTGAGTGCTATACTCATATAATGGACTGTACATGTACATGATTGTATGACACATGGCGTATGAGGATACATAGAGCATGGTATTGGTACCACAGTGTGAACTATACACTGGTACATCAACTACATGTACATTTATGTGTTCCTTGTTCGTGTTTACACACGTGTACATGTACATGTACATGTAGTTGATGTACCGGTACATTGATGTACTGGTACATTGATGTACATGTACATGTACGGTAACAGTTGATCTGCTCCGTATTCTTGTACATGTACACTGTACATATACATGTAGCACGTACATGTACATTGTACATGTGACAAACATGTACATTTACATGCCGAGTGCTATACTCATATAATGGACTGTACATGTACATTAATGTATGACACATGGCGTATGAGGATACATGTACCATAACGCACCGGTATGCACCACATTAGGGGAGGGGCTGTCCATCATGGCCATATGCCTACACCTCATCCAAGATTAGTCCGAAGTGTACATATGTACATCTACATATATCGAGAACTTGACAGATGTATGTGTACACGTATGGATGCACATGTCCATGGTCAACTACATGTTGTACAATGCGTACATGTACATGCATACATGCGTACATGTATCATCTGCAGTAATTTGTTAATGCCACTATGTACATGTACTATGTATTGTAATAAAAATTCTGTGAATGCCATGGATGAGTCATGTTTAGTTACATCGGCATGCAAAGGTTGAGACAGTAAGAGCATCATCCTTGTTGAATGAGACCAAGTATAATGTACAGTTAATTGCATATACATGTACACGTATGCAGGCCAAAATATACACCATTACATGTACCGGTACATGATCATGAACATGTACATGTACAATGCACGTGCACACTTTTATGCATTGTACATCGTCAGCTTGATGGCCCTTACAAGTACCATAGAGCTTGCCTTTAACCTTGAAATGGCCATTCCATTTTGAGATTGTACACTGCAAATGAATTACATACGTGTACACGTACAGTATGTATACATGTACTACACATGTACATTGTAAGTGTAAACATATTTAGCATTAGCATACATGTAGGTGTATGTACCCGGTACATATATTGTAAGTTTGTTTAATGCAGGATAATTTTCATTTTCATAAGAAATTCATGGCACTACATTGTAAATCTACATGTACGTTGAAAAGGCCCGTAGTGAAACATACATGTACATGTAGTTGTACATGTACATGTAGTTGTACATGTACATGTACATGTACGGTATGGTATTAGTACATGTTGGTAAAATAAAACATTTATTCAATCTCAAGGACTGAATAAAAAAACTACATTGAGACACTACATTGTAAGTTACAGGATACTTGTACACATTAATCCTAACCTCCCCAACTCCATCAAAATCCATCTCTCCTTTTTTGGTGGATTTGGGGAGACTTGGTCCTGCAGGCCTGGTTTGACTATGATGGACTTGGGCCAGGAGGCCTAAAGCAAAGCATGCATTGGAAGTGATTGATGGATTTTGGCAGATTTGGTCCAATACTTAGTAAAAGACAGTAGTTACGGTTAATGTACATTTTTGTTCTGCTATCCATTGTACATGTACATGTATAATGTTCATTATGTAAGTCTTGCTGTAAATGGATCTTGAATGAGTTTGGTAAAATTGAGCCCAACCTTGTTATTATTTTACTTCTTATTAGTGATATTAATTTTGTTCTGTTGTTTTTGTTTTACCATGACAGGCCCGTATAGCTTTCTTACAGGGAGAGCGCAAGGGTCAAGAGAATCTCAAGCATGACTTGGTCCGCAGAATCAAAATGTTGGAATATGCTCTCAAACAAGAAAGGTACAGTATGTGTTTGTTCACTTCAAAATTAATATACTTAACTGGCTTTCATTTTCTGTCTACACGTATGTGTTTCTGTTGTTCAGTACCGGATGTTCAATATTTGTGATTTTTTTTGTTTCATTGTTTACAAAATGTTTTGTTTTAAAATGAACGAGTAAATACTGAGAAATGTTGTGTACTGTGGACCATGTCAGCTGTGACGTCACGGTCACATCGACAGGCAACCCCAATATTTATGCCCCTTTTGCATTTTATTTTGCCTACAAGATAAACAGTTTGTCAATTACTCTTTATCCACTCATTATTTCAAGAAGAGAAAACAGTTTGCTAAAAGTTGGTATTGCGTGAATACAACCTCCAATTTTGTAAATGTGACATGGTCTTTGCATGTATCTGAACATGTACATGTACACGTGTACATCAGATATGTATGAAAGTTCAACAATATACACAAAGGCAACACTTGTAAAATACTTCAATAAGAGAGAGTTTTTAACTGTGGGATTGCAGCTCAACAAATTATCATGTCTCTCCGTTTGTTAGTTAGTTGGTAACAAATGTTGACATTGTCTAAATTGCGCCTAATTTATTTTGACTGATTTCAACCAAACTTTGTCAAAAGTATCAGTAGCCCTGGCCCATGATGTCACATGACCAAACTGAGGTCAAAGGTCATCATGAGGTCACTGGGGTGAAAAATCTGATTTTTTTTTTTTACTCCAAACATTACTCCTTCCAGAAATTACATGGCACAATCACGTGACTCATGAATGAACACGAATTCGTTGGTCCCCAACTTCCGAGATATTTCCGATCGATCTTCTTGTAATAAATCTCCTAAAATCATGCATTCAAATTCCATTGAATTATTCATAAAAGTACAGTATACACGTACATGTACTTGTACGGAACTTTATTCTTTTGTGAACAGCAGTACACGTTGAATGTCATTTCCCCCCCATACATTGTAGTGTAGCCCGTTGCGGGACTGAACAAGCCTGTCACTGTACACCCATGGTCTCTGATCATACTCTGACTCAGTCTGAGCCCCAATGTACAATCTACAGGGTGACAACTAAACTTGCCCTTAATGATTTTTTTTTGAAGGATGGTTTAAAATTCCTGCCATGCCAATCATCATTGCTCATTGACTGCCATGGATGTTTATACAATTAATTTTTCTTTAGTGCTGACATTTTGTATGATTGTGTTGACTACAAAGTGAACCCTACTTCTATCAAAAGATGACCTTCTTTGTGTATGCACGGTATATGAAACATAAAAATATTCACAATTTCAATATTTAGACCCCCAAAAAATAGTTCTGCTTCCGATTACATGCCTTTTAAAAATAGTGTACATGTAGAATTTCAGCCTGAACTATTTCCATTTGCGCTACGAAAGCTATAAAAAAATGACCACCAAAAGTGATATAACAAATTGCCTTAATTACATGTAATGGCAAACATGCATGTATTTAAGGTCTGTAATTCTTAAATATAACAGAGAATTCGTGTCATGCACGTCACTTTGCACAACGCCAGTCACAACGGGAAACTGGCCAACACTGTCAGTGTATCTCGCGAAACACTGTCGGTGTATCGCGCGATGAACATGTATTATCGTGCGTGATGCTTTTAAAAAAAAAAAAATTTGTTACTAATAAAAAATTTTAGGGTCGTGTCCTTAAAGGGAATATACAACATTTGTAAACATCGAAAAATAAAACTACCAAGTTTTTGCGAAATACCTTAACAGGATGTTGGTAAATGACAGTCTAAAGCATCCTGTAAAATTATGGCACCTGGTATACTGTCATTTTCAAGAAAAGTGGTATTTTTGTATCAATTTCCAACGCTGATCGGCCGATCAGCGTTGGAAACAACTGGCTTTTTTTCAAATACTGGCCCCAATTGACCATTGCACTTGTTTGCAATCGATTACAAACCTATGAACGGGTACGAGCCAGCTAGACTGGTTCCCTGACCTTACAATTCCCCAATGTATGTAAACTGCTCTGTTTCTTCTTATATGGAGTCAGGGAACCAGACTACAGGAAAATGATCGTTTTTCTTGGTTTTTATAGCATTTTCGAACCCAAAACCTCCAAAAAGTCAGTGTAACTATATTTGCTTTATATTTCCAACCCCCCAATTCCATCCATTTCTGAAAATTACAGCAAAAGCAAATGATGTATATTCCCTTTAAAAATAGGGTAGGTCGGGTAACCGGAAGCAAGTATTTTTTTGTGGCTTTAGTGGATTTTATCAGTTTCTTGTTTTTATTTTTTTATGGAGGTTGTGGATTTTTTTACCGTTTTGTTTATGTGTTGTAAAATAGATTGAAATCTTTCTGTTGGATTTTTGTACAGCTTAGCAATAGCAGCGGGAATTAATTCTGTGGGATATTTTTGAAAACTCTTTTTATCCCTGTAAATTATGCACATACAATGTAAAATATATGGGCAGTTCCAGCGTTATGTTACATGTAAATGTATGTCCATGACAGCGCATTTATTTTTATTTTTTGCCAATTGATAAAAACAACACAAAATATGAGCTCAGTGAATAAAGCTGATATTACAGAGGTTTGGGATCATTTCTCTGAATCAATAATTAGATATAATCATAATTACATGACTCTGTCACACTTATTTCCATGATACTAGAATTTCCCATACAATTTGTCATGTCTAGTTACAGGGCCCTGTATCCGTACATTTAAGGAAAATGTACATAATAAAAACTTGGTCCTCCATGACCACAATGTATTTCTTATGTATGTACATGTAGTTAGAGCAGCATAACGACCTTTGGTCAGTTTATTGCCATGAATTTCCCTTCTTTTGTTTACTTCAATTAGCTCCTTCTAAGAAAACAATCAATTACACTTTCTTTTCTTTGACTTGGTTGACAGGTCGAAGTACCAGAAGCTCAAGTGTGGACATGACCTGAGCCAAGAAATCAAGCCACCGACATTTGATGGGGGTGAGTTGTTGTCTGAAAAGTGAAAGGAGTGCTTTCCTTTTTTTTTTTTGGCACCTAGAGCTGGTTTGGCTATTAGCTAATGAAGAAATTTAGACACTGTGTCCTATGTGTAAATTGTGTAAAGATAATGAGCACCATTGATATCAGAATTTTCAATAATTGATATATCGGAAATCCAATATCGAGAATATTTGATACTGTATATCGATTATCCCAGATAAAAGACCATAAAGATGACACTTTGGTTAAAAAAAAACCCCAAACAATGTTAAGTCACAATTTTCCACTTTTTTTTCTGGATATTTTAGATGTCATTCCTCAATATCAAAATTTTTGATATTTCGATATGATTAAAAAAATTGCTATTGGTGATATTGATATCACAATAATAATCTAGTGATATCGATATATTGACGGTGCTTGGACGATGAGTTGTTTTTTTTGGTATCTTTTGAAACAAAGTTGTTTTTATATTTTTTAAAACTTTTTTTTTTCTTGAGCGCTTTCTCGAAGCACTTTCCATGAAGACCATTTACATGTACAAAGCCATGTACATACATATATACAGTAATCGCTGAACACATGTACATGTAAATTATGAATATTTCAGTCATGGAATATTCACATATTCTTGTACGTTTTTGACGTTATGACTTTTCCTTTTTGCCACACTGTATTTCCTTCCTTTTTTATTTGAACCCCTGTATGCTCCTTTATAGAAAGGTCAATCCAAAAACTTGTGTGGTATACATGTACATGTACTTCCCCTCATACGGTACATGTATATTTGCACAGGATTAGACATGTAGTACAATGTACATGTACATCACGTATGTAAATGTACGTGTTCCTTTGAGAGACATTGATTTACTATCAGCCTTGATATTTGGTGTTCAAAGTTGTTGCATAAGTTTTTAATTTTCTGAACCTCAATCAATGTATAGCTTTACAAAGGACATTCTTGAGGAGAGCATAAAGGAGGCAGTTGCCCTAAAAGAAATAAGAAACGGTACAAGTACTGGTAGTGTAGTCTTTATCACTATCATTAGGCCAAAAACAAAATAGTTCTGCTTCAGGTTTCCCAGTTCTGCTTCAGATTTGTTTCATGTTTTAAAAAAAATGTAATTTGTTTTTTTGTCTGCAGAGGAAGGTGGTGAAGAAGAGTCAGCACTCTCCCCCAACAGTCAAATTAACTTCAAACAAAGCAGGCAACTGCTTAGGCAGTGAGTGTTCCGTTTCTGCTACCATATCGCTTTACTCTGTTCTTTCTTCTTCTTACTTCTTATTGCTCCGTTTTTGTTTTTCACAACGTGTTGAAAAGCACGTGGCCTGCTCGTGAGCACTGAGCGACATTGGGTAAACACGGCAGGAGTCTGCATAAACAATACATTATGCGCGTCCTGAATGTCATACCTAATATACATGTATGTATTATACGTGCTGCTCCTAAATGGCAATAAATTTCTGGAATATAACCAAATTGCCACTCATACGATTAATCTTCCATTTTATCCTTCAATTTATTGGCTGGAATAAAACGTGGTCTATTTTAAGGCATACCGGTAAGTACATGTACATGTACATGTACATGTATAATAAAGGTCAACAACATGTATAATAAAGGTCAACAACTGTCGCATTGTAAATGCACATGTAAGTTATTGTTAACTGTATTGAATTGTGAATACATACATTTTAATGTACAAAAGGATTTTGAGAAGGCAGATGGAAGGGCTTATGCAAATTTTTTTTGTTATTTTTACTGAGCAAGTTATGCGTGAAGATATCATGCATTTTTATTTGCACAACAACAGAATGTTGTGCTTTTATACCGAAACCGAAAAAATGAGGGGCTCACTAGAAGGTCAACCCGACCTTTTATTAAATCAAAATATTGATTCAGCAAATAAAATTAAACGAACTGCACTTACACATGCATATACATGTACATACATGTATGTTTCCCCAAAATACATCCAAGTACACAAATTTATCATAATGTATTCTTGTACGTGTATAATTTTGTTTAATTTATCATGTCTTCGTTAAAATTGAGTGTCACTAATTCTCATGACATGCACATCATCATCATCATTATCGGTTTTGAGGCCGTTGTCCAGTTTGTTCTGGGTTGGTATGTTAAAGGGAAATTCTTGAATTTTTGAATCCATGGCTGTGCACATGTAACCAGTATACCCTGAACCTCACTTGAAAGGAATATTGAAAAGGTGTTATTCTTCAATGAATGAGTGCGCTGTAACAACATTATTTGGGAAATAAACAGATGTATCCAAGGTTATTGACGTACATGTCCATGCTTTTTAGATTGAAGTAAAGTTACTTACGGTAACTGCTTCAATGAATTGGGTTTTCTAGTGTCTGTACCCAAAAAAATAGCGTTGATACAGCGCCCTCATTTCTAAAAAAATGTGGCCTATAGATATCTCTCATAGGATGCCATCTTCGTAGGAAATTACAACTGCGTGTTCAACACTACCAGGTGCGTGTGCGCGCAGTGTGCAAAATGTTCTAAACACACGCGCGTGTTGCTTGAAATTTCTTCAAAATACAGTGCAGCCAATGTGCGTCACGAAAATTTGATGCCCAAAATGCCGATGCACTTGACAATCTGTAGGAAGTGATGGCATTTGAGAGAGATCTATTGCATGACCTTTATTTATACATGTATAGTTCCAAACTTGCTCAAAACAAATCTGATTAGTTTGGTGGTTAGAATTCATCGCACATAATGCATATAATTCAAAGAAATCTGTTTTCCTCTTTTTTGTTTTGTCTCAATTCCCGTGCAGATATTTACAGGAAATAGGTTACACAGACACGATATTAGATGTGCGGTCGAACCGGGTACGCTCATTGCTGGGCCTGGCCCCCAACGAGCAGAACATACCGGGGCTGGATGGCAACATGTCCATAGAACCTGTGATGAATGGGGAAAGTCCCGTCAAGCAGGGCCGACAGTCTGACACTGCTAAGAGGTATGGGCTTAGGCCATTAAACAGGTGTTAAATTCAAGCCCTCTGTCTGAGCCACCAAGTATTGTGGTATATATGTGAATCCTCACCACAAAATGAGCATAAAGTTGGGCTTTGTAAGAATTGAGATGTTTCTTATTTCTGAAATGTCCAAAACCAGAGATTTCTAACATTTAGGGGTACTGAGTTCAGTAACTCAAATAAAGTGTGCCAACTAAATTGAAGTTCATGTAACTTTTCAGAAGATTACAGTATTATAGAGAAATAACAATTTACTAAATAAAACAGAATGAAAAAAGGTTTTAAAGATGTTTTTTTTTTATAAAACAGCAGAAAAAATTGGTGAAAGTAGAACAGGACACAGGCCTACAGATTGAGGCCCACCTGCAAACAAGAAATTGACCATCCATTAAAATTTTGGCTTTGTCCCACTTGTACTGCAAAATAGCTATTGCTGACTTACATGTAACGCTCATTTTGTGGTGACAAGTCACATACTTGTTTGGGTTGGCAATGTAGGAATCAAGGGTTGATTTGGAGTCCGTTAATTGTACCTGACATTTCATCATTCCAACATTTCAAGAAAGGCAATCATCGGGAACAGTTGACGAGATCAGTCATTCCCTTCCTGGCTGTTGAGATTTTTGGCTGCATAATCTAGAGATGCTCCATCCACAGTTTCTCCCCGTTGAGGTGGAGCAGGTCTTTCCCTTGATCAAGAGAACTACGCCCAGTAAAGACTGATTAGAAAGACTGGGCTGGTTGGAGTGATGACACAAGGGGTTGGAGGTGGTATCTGGTCTCTTAGTGCTGACAGCTGATCTTTGATTATTTGTTCAATTTAGAAATGAATGAAACTGCTGCAAACTGCTATTGGCCTGAAATAGGATTGGATTGACCTGAAAAATTGGATTGAACTGAAATATACAAATCAAAAAAAAAATAAGAGGCCAGACGTTTCGGTCTTAACAAGACCGTTTTCAAAGGTAATCAATGTGTGAGAATGTTCTTGATCTTCCCAGCACACTGAACACTGGGAACCTTGTAAGAAATAAGTTTACACCAGGCCTGTCAATTGTTACGATATTCATACTTTCAAAACTAATAGACCGATTCATCAGGGCCCAATTTCACGGCGCTGCTGAGCCCATGATTTTCTGCGAACAGAGCCTCCGTCTATTTCATGGAGACCGTAAGCATACATGTAAGCACAGCAAAAGGCACGCTTACTTCAGAGGAAAAATTTGCTTTATAACTAAGTGACGTAACAATAGAAATCTCCATGCACGCGCGACCGTTAGCACATCCACGCCGTGAAATAGTGCTTAAGGTTAGCAAATTTTTCTGCTATGCTAAGCACAACTTTTCTGCTAACTGTTAAGCAGCACCATGAAATTGGGCCCAGGCTCCATCCACTGCGCACGTGGGCGACAACATATGCGCTTCTACCAATAATGCACTTCATGTTTCTGTTGCGCGTTTCATATGCAAAGGCACCCATATCGGACATTAGTGCATGTATGTCGGAGATAAATATCGGCTGTGATTGGTCAAAACATCACAGGGCAGGGCTAAGTGGATCGGTCTATTGCAGTGAGAACAGTAAGGAGAAAAGTTATTATCATATTGGTAACATGTATATCATACTTGAATAAAATGGTTCCCTTTTTCCCTGTCTCTATCCTCACTCACTCTCTCCTCACTCACTCTCTCCTCAGACAAGATAAGAAGCATCCTATGCCAGAGAATGATCTGGACACAGTCTTGACATCCTTTAGTTTCCTGGACGGGACCGACGATGAGGAGCGAGAGAAGGAACTAGGAGAAGGCCGGATGATGGGCGAAGATGGCATCCTGGAAGGCAGGAGCAAAATGGGCACCATCATCAAAAAGAAGAAGGTAAGACAGTCTTCCCTGTGACTTTCTGTCAATTGTGAGATTTGCCTGATTGTTGACTGGTCAAGAGAACCGGGCAGTGCTATCGTATAGGATTACCCTGTCATGCCAATGAATGGGCTTAATACCGCGCATTGTGTAGGCCAGATGCATGGAAAGACCTCCAGTGAATGGCTATTGTGAATCAGTTGAATAGAAATTTGTGTGCTCTGGGCCCAGCTTTACGAGACTTTCCTGTAAGGGCTCGGATGTTGAAGGATGCACAGTTTCGGGGGGGGGGGGGGGGGGGGAGGAGGAGGAGGGGGGAGTTAGGGTGGGGCCACAGAATTTGAGAATCAGAAATAAATACAGGACATGTGACAAACTGTTTGCAGATCTATAGTCTGAATACTGCCAGCATATCTCACAGGGATATAAAGTCCAATATTTGCAAGCATGTTGTACTTTTGACCTCTGATATGGTCAAGTAATTCAAATATGTACACATTCACAAGAAGGCACTGCCTTTATTATGATGGTAGTTAAACAGACTACAGGGAACATGGGCAGGTATAGTTATTAATACTGTGGGCATGGTGCGGCGTATCTGTTAGACTTGAATCATGTGCTTGTTAAAAGTATGAAAAGTAGATGGCGCACTAACGAAAGTACATGTACCAGTTATTCTGAGTGTGCACAAATCTCTAGCGTCCTTGCTTTGAGCATCAGGCACCACCGGCAATGCATTCGAGTGTCCCTCCCGGTGGTCTCCCCCAACTTTCTCTTTGTAACCGTTGAGGGGGTACTTCTGCATGGAGTCCATGTCAGTACAGGCAATGGCCACTGATCTCTATATAAAGACTGGATAGCTAATAAAGAGCCGCAAAATGAATGAATTTGACGCCATATTGGTGAGACCGGCTGGTGATCTACAAAGGACAAGTTGCCGTTTTTATAGACAGCATGATTTCTTTTGTAACGTCGCGGTTCACTTGACTTATATTTTGACCACCACCACTGACCAAGGTTAACTACAATTTTTCTAACGTCGTGGTTACTAAAATGCCGCAAATATCACTTTTTCGGCGTTTTGAAATAATAATCACTACGGAAATGTGTCCCTTTTAGAACATCATAATATGTGTACGTGACCAAAATGCGCGTCAACTGTTGATACAACGCGCGCGTATTTACGCGTAGAACGTTCGTATTATACGCGGCCATCTTCGTGAGACCGGGGGCGAATTGGTCAATATGCAAAGTCTACTGTGTGAATATTGTATGCATATCCGCTATCCAGTCTATATAGAGATCAGTGGCAATGGCCCAAAGCTAAATTGTTTTAATTATTATACTGATGATTGTGCTGTACCCCCCCCCCCCCCCAGTAGTCTTATTGGCCTAGTTCTCCAGTATGCAAACACACAGGACACAGTTCCTATTTACAAATGTAGGCATGCGTGCATATTGACATTACTTGACCTGTGTCAGAGGTCATAAGAATTGATAGGGCATAGGAAACGGCTTACATCTACCAGGCAAAGTGACATATGATGCATACCTGTATGTGCTTGTGCCCGGTTCTTTGCTGATCTTTACTGATCTTTAAAGGTACAGTCCATCATTTGTAATTTGTGCATTTTGTCCGTTTGGAGCAACAAACATGCTCAAAATCTAAAGAAGGATGCTGAACAACTAACCTGATGAAGTTTCAGCTCAGCTTCAGCTGTATATTTCAAGGAAAACAGCATTCTAGGATCTCGATTTCAAACCAAAAGTTGCTGAATCATGTTTTGAATTGGGCCTGAATTCAGCGTCCGAGACACGTTCTCACTGAGCTGGTTGCAGCTGCGCGATGTCGCGCACTGATCCCACGAATTATAGCAACTGCATCATGACAACGCTTCTGCGCGCTTCGCCAAATAAAAAAAATGATTACTAACAGTTGCGTCTTTAGACGCATCGTTGGCAAGGCCTTCTTTCATTCATTTCTTCAAAATGACAGCTTGCCAGAAAGAATCATTTCACAGGGAGTTTACTCCCCTTACTATCTTTCAAACAAGTATGTTTTTCAACACTAATTACGTCAGTTACTTTTTGGATAGCTGCAAATGATGGACTGTAGCTTTAACACAAGAATTTGCAAAGGAATATTCTCTGCTTACATGTGCCATCCACATGAAATTGGGCCCCAGGCTTAGCAAAGGGTGTAACACGTGGCAGTGACTAATATGATCCTTTCCCAGTAATGGATCGCTAAAACTTAACTGTCAACACCTAATGGGGAACATTCCCTTCCCAAAAGTCCCCCCCTCCCGCCTCCATCACATAGCCGGACCCACTAGACGCTCATGTCTCTTAACAAGATGTTTCCCTCCTTTTCTATGTTGCTGTCAGCAGCCTGTTGTGGGCAACGAAAGCATGGCGGGCATGGATGACGTCCTGAATGACCCAGCTACCGAGGAGGCACTGGTCGAATTTGACCTGATTCTGAGTGAGGCCTCGGAAGGAGCCGGTGAGGCCAGGACAGCTGGAGATGGGGCCGATTGGGGACTGGGTGAGTTACTGATACTACCTTGACTGGGGTATATCTCATTGATGCATAATGCTTAATGAACCTTGTTCAAGGACTGGGTGAGTTACTGATACTACCTTGACTGGGGTATACCTCATTGATGCATAATGCTTAATGAACCTTGTTCAAGGACTGGGTGAGTTACTGATACTACCTTGACTGATTGACTGATACATGAGTGATTTGAATGATTCTTGTACTTAAAGGAAGCTTATGAATTGGGCTTTCATATCCTAGATTTTGAAAATGCTACATGGAGAACTTCCTTAAAAAATGGTCCCAACATTTGGGTTTCGGTTTTTTTGACTCACCCTGTAGTCTGTTCGTGATGACGGAAATTTATAGATACATGTATCCCAATGAAGGTAACCCTTAGTGCAGCAATCCATTTTTCTGTGGGAGTGAAATGGACGCCTTTTGCTGACAAGTCTCTTTTTTCAAAATCACAAGACATTTTAAACTATTTTTTTTAAAATGTCTTTCAGTGATTACTGGTACATGTAATTTTTTTGTGAGTTCACATTTTGTACAAGTCTGTACTTGTGTTTTGAGGATTTGGAAATCAGGAAATCATTTGAAAAAAAGAGAGATTTTTGCCTTTTTCAGAAGAGAATTTATATTTACTGGTTCATTTAAGGTAACTGCCAAACGATTGTTCAATTTCAGTTGCATTGGATTTCTAAATATGTCTAAATCAGAACAAAAAAACAGAGGCATAGTAAAATAACTTCTGCCATAAAAGGGATCATTGCACGTGCTTCAGATTGTCAGGTGTAGTGTAAAACTTCAATTGCAGCTATTGAAACTGAAATAAAAACCGCTCGTTGGAGTTTTGCTGTTTTGAAAAGATGAAAGGGCAACAGTTCTAATCATATTTGTGCTTGCCATCCACAGACAAAAAGTCTGACTTGTCGCCAACGGGTGAGGAGTGGGGGGTGGATGCTAACACCATCAGTAAGCTAAAAGAGGAGTACAAAAAATCACGCAAGGACAAGAAATTTGTGCAACGTAAGTCGGGCATGTGGGCTTCATCCCTGTCAGTGCAAAACCCAGAAAATCCCACTTTGTATCATGCTATAACATGTAGTGAATCATCGGTGTGCTTTTGTGAGAGTTTACTTCGTGAACTGTATCGGTTGGTGCTTGTGTGTTTACAAACCAATTTCGCTTTCATTTGCTGGTGTGATAGTTGTTTCTTAACCACATTATGTTGGACAATTTTTATGCTTGTGCTTAAACTGTGACTATCAAGTCATTAACCCTAGCGATCCCCAACCAGCCAAACTCCAACACCAGGGTTTGTTGGAATATGTTAGGATGAGTACTGCACTAGTAAAGCGACTGTGCTTTACATGGGATTAGGCATACCACAAATAAACAGAGTCCAACTGTTCATGTGCACAGTTTACCATATGTTGTTGGGATTTGCAAGGATGAGGAAGGTTCCTAGTAAATCACTCTAGGGGTTAGGGCTAATATAGTGCTGTGCTACATGAACGTGTCTACCAGTTTTCATGTCTTTGGCTTTCCAGTGCTGTGTAATTTACTTGCATCTTATTTTCAAAGTCCGTTTCCTTTGACCTTTGTGTTCCCATGTTAGTTTGTTCATGATCCTTATCCCAGTAATTCATGTACTGCCCCAAATCATTCTGCCTATCATTCCCTTTGCTGCCCAAAACTGCCCCAGCACTGTGTATGCTTTTTATGGATTCATCAGGGAATACATTGTAATACATTTGTAATACAATGTAATACAATGTAATACAAGTGCAAACAGGATAAAAACAAACAGATGTGCAGTGAGCCAACAGGCAACACATGCTCTTCTTTTTTTTCTGTTGTATTCCTCTCTGGTCTGTCATAGACTATGGTTGTCAAAATTTCAACATTTTGCCGCACTTTCACAACCCTTTCGCAACCATTCTTGCCCCATCCTCTTTCACCAGTGTCATGCATGTGCCAACAAACCTTCAGCTTTCCATTCGTTCACAAAGTAATGATCATATTACACTGCCAACGTTGCTGAATTCACAAAGAGACAACATTGATTGTTGTGTGAAGGATAGGAGATTTGTCTCGCTGTCAAAAGTTTGATGAAGTGAGGCTTGGACTAAACAGAAATTCATAAATACCTAAGACAGTTTACGCATTCCTATTGGTCGAGAGCCCGTCACGTGGCCGGTCTTAAACGGATGATAAAGACATGGCTAGCTGGTCTTAAACACTTTTCCAGTGTCACAATAAAATGTGGACTCCTAAAAATCCAGTGCCTCTTATCGTTTCATTGGTTGAACGTTCACAATCCTCACGTAGGCATGCGCAACACTACCAGGGAATCAGAATTTTAAAGTTCTAAATTCAAAACGCAACGCGCCAGGTGCGTTCTGCGCGACATCGCGCAGAACATGATACGCGCGCGTCAATCTCCATAAAAGGGTTGTTTACATCTTACTCGCCAGCTGAATACTCCATTAATTTGCAAGAGGGATGTTTCAAAAAGCATAAAGTGAATTTGTTGAACAAAATCGGGATGTTTTGAACGAATTATATGATTTTTTCTTACCGAAAAGGTATTTATGAATGGGAATAAATATGTGCTCCGTCGGTATTTATCACTCTGTTTAAGACCACTTAGAGTCTGGGTGCTGATAATTACCCTCGCCTCCGGCTCGGGTAATTATCAGCACCCAGACTCTAAGTGGTCTTAAACAGAGTGATAAAAACCTCCGAAGCACACATTTATTCCCTTATTAATGCATGATGTGCTTGTATACATGAATGTATCATTTTACGAGTACCGGTACGTGTACATTTTTCATAATTCGCAATGTTGAGGTACATTAATGCATTGATGATGCATGTATGATATGTACATGTACGATATGTACATGTACATGTACATGTAGCTCATTTTTTTGGAAACCTAAACTTTCATATATTTTACAACTTGGTGCAATTCTGAGCGTTTACTTTTGTCTTATTTTGTCAGCAGTTTGCTTGAAACAGACTTGTGTAGTTTTGTAATGTAGAGCATTTCCCTGATATTTTAATGTTGTACATGTAATTGTCACCATTCATCGTTGCTATTCATGCAGTCACAGTGTTTTGCAAAAGAAAAAGGAAGTGATGGTTTATATACTTTTTAGCCTTTTATTGCGGACAGTTTTCATAAATCTATTACGCATGATTGCCAGAAAGCTGCCTACCAGGCATGTCACTGATTTAAACTGCTTGTCATGTCTGTCGCCTCCCTCACCTTTGTGCTTCTTTTCCTTCTGGCGTTCTTCCCATTACATACATTGTATACTACACACATTGTATACATGTACCTGTTTTTGCACATTCAAGTCTATTGGCCATATTTTTTAGCGACTAGGCGATGCTGTGACAACATCATTTTCTGGGTACTCACAGTACATGTTCATGTATTGTGTATATTGAAGCAATAGCACTCTGCACTAATGACGTCAATGTTGCTCCGCGCCGAACGCCCGCATACCCAAGATGTCAGACAAACTTTCGAACAATCACGCGCACACATGTGCATGCACATCTGGCCACATACATTCCCATGGAAACGGTCTTGCAAACGTGCGCATAATCTTCACACGAGAAGTTCGTACAGCATGCTTGTCTGAGATCCGGGTACTCGCTTCTACTTTTAACATTAGTGCGAAGTGCTATTAAACAATTGTACACTAATCTTAAAAAAAAATATTGTAACGATATAATTTTATATTAATAGCAACATCGAAACTCATATTTGTAACCTGGGATACACGTCTGTTTGTACCCCAAAATGGCGTCGTTACAGCGCCCTCATGTGTTCACAAATACGGCCAATTGGCACTCCTTACGTAGTACCCGCCAGTTTTGAGTATCATATTTTTGTGTACCTTCCCAGGTCCCAAGAAGACTGCACTACAGGCCATGTTGGCCAATCTGGAAGGGGAGGAGGAGCCGCCCCCTCCCTCACACATTCTCATGCCGGAGCGCCCTCGGGGGGTCATCCCCAGCATCGACATGCCCGATGATGGAGGTAATGTTATACAAGATTTCCCCACTGACATGTATACTAAATGGGCCCAATGTCATGGCTCTGCTTACTGTTCGCGAAAAATCTGTGCTTACCGTAGCTGAAAATTTGTGCTTACGGTAAGCGTATTTCACTGGTTGGGCCAAAAAAAAAAATAAGTCGGTCTGTGGTCAGCGCGTGCGTCAATTTTAATCATGCGCGTCGATCTTTTTTTTTTCCCAAAATGTTCCGCGGTAGCTCCAACAGCACCCTCTATTTCCGCACCTCCTCAATTTTTTTTACCAAAGAGCCCCAAGGAATGGGAAATTGCACCAAGGCAAATGATCGAAAGCACCAAGGCAAATTATGGAGGACACCAATGTACATGAGGACACCAAAATAGCAAAATAGTACCCACCTTGTCTGTACAATCCAAGCTTGGAAAAAAAAAAAAAAAAGCCAAAAAAAAAAAAAAAGCCGCGTGGCTGCGTCAATTCCGGAACTTTGGTCTGACCAGAGACCAAATAATTTTTTTTTTTGACCTTAGCAAGGAATTGTGGCTTCTGCGCACGCGCACATCCCGTTACTGAAGATATGTGCTTACAGGGTTAACACAGACGTTTTCTGCTAGCACGGTTAGCACAGAATGGTTATCGAAAGTGCGAAATTCTGTGGTAAGCAGAGCCATGAAAATGGGCCCTAGACTGGCCGCTACATGCTTATTTGCCAATGCCCCTTGAAGCAACTGATCCGCCATCTTGGATCCCCAAAAGTCACAGCGGGATGTACATGTACATGTAAATCGGTCTGCGGTTGAGGGTTTTCCCCCACCTAAAACGACCACTGATAATAAATTATTCTTTGGATTTTGGCAATCTAAGGTGGTCAGAAAGTAGAAATCCGTATTTTTGCTGCCTTAGCTGGGTAGCCCAAGATGGCCGACAGCTGTTTCAGTGCGTAGGCATTGTCAGCCAGACCAGTTGGTGTAGAGGGCATTGGATTGCCCTGAGGGTGAAAGTACAGCAGAAGAAAGTTAAGTTAAATGCTAGCCAAGAAGGAGCACAGACATTGGCTGTGTCAGAATTACTTGGCTGTGGCTTGCAACTACATACGTGTCTATGGAGGAAGCTGAAGCCGCTTCCAATAAACATAATGTGTGTCACTGTCGGGTGAAGCCAAGTGATTGGGACGTGGCTACTCCATATTAGGACATGTGATAAGAAATTGAAGCATCTCTTTTAAAATAGTTTTTAAGAGTAAATAAAAGTAAAAAAGAAAAGTCTGTTGTACAAAAAAGGAAAGAATACAAAAGAAGTCATTTTGTGAGGCTTGAGGGGGTTTCATTAGGTGATTAGCAACTTGATGAGTCAGCCATAGTACCGTGAAGTATTTCCTTTTCTTGATCCCCATATTTCCTCCAACTTCATTCCGGCTAATTTCTCTCAAGTCTGTTTGATGGATTGAGCTAGGGACTTGCATTAAGATGGGTTTATACTCACGGCGAAAGTGAACGTGAACACAAATGTTTGACGTAACAGTATGCGTTCGCGCTGCCGATCACAAAAGATACACATTCAGTGCTGGCGAACTTTTTGTTCAATGTTTTACAGCGACAAATTCGCTTTGCATTTGCATTTGCACGAAGTATGAGCCGGCTTCAAGACATTCTTTCTGATTTTCCTGAAAGATTTGCTTTCCTTTATTTCCTTAATTGTTGCCGTATTACATTGTAAAGACCATGTTACATTTGTTTACAAATTGGATATTTTGGTCATTTAATGTCAAGTTTCAGCAAGGTGTTCTTGAACTGCATGCTTATCTCTTGGAGTGACATTGGTGTAAAAGTGGTGACATGAAATGTGGGCAGAATAACATGCAAGTGATGCCTAAATGTTTGACTGCCCGTCAGTTGCCCATTGGTAGACATCACAGGTAACATGGTATATAAAGACTAAAAACATTGAACAATGATGAACATGTGTGTACATCTGTGTGATGCATCTCCAACGTTAGACAACTCTTGGATTTCAAGCTTTCCGTGTTCGTGTCCGTTTTCTCATTATGTGTTCTCTCTGGTTGCAGTGGCAGAAGACATGCAGGGCGGTGTTGGGATGGGAGGCAGACGTCCCATGATGAACATCGGTGACGAGGAGTCCATTGAAGCGGCCCTCGGCCTGGGGGAGCTAGCTGGACTGACCATCTCCAACGAGGCAGACGCACTGAGCTACGATGTAAGTTGACTGGAGACTGTGAAAGTATTGCTTTCACCTTTAGGGCCAAAAAAAAAGTCTCCAGTTTCTGGTATGCGCGCGCGTCGCCGTAGCCATGCGCGTCAGCAAAATGAGAAAGTTTTTTTTTCAATAAAAGATGATGCCTCAAAACCGCCAAACTCACTGGTTTGACTGGAATCCTGCTGCTGCACAATTTTAACATGTTTATAGCTGGGGTTATGATCGAGAATAAGCTTTATGTGGCCTCTCTGGACTCCCATATATTTGCACTAAGTTTAGTCGGGCACCATTTGCAGTCATCAGCCGACAATTGAAGCAAAAAAAACAGGTAAAAAAAAAACAACAAAGCTGCGTTGCCGCACCACCTTTCTGGGCAAGCTCCATACCAGAAACCGGAGACTTTTTTTTTTTGGCTTTACTAAAAGAACTGTACTTTCACATCATTTTGGGCAATGTGCACAAGTACCCCCTCAACGGTAAGGAAGGGATAGTTGGGGGAGATTATTTGGAGTGACATTCGAACGTATTGCCTACGATGCCTGACGTTCACGGGAAGATGCTATGGTTTTGTGCACGTTTAAAATAAAATTGGTCGTGCCATACGCGCGCGAATCAGTACGTTTATATAAACACGGCTTTATGGGGTACCGGGAACAGAGGGCAACAATAGGGACAATGGTACCCTACAAGTCGGTCTTTAGAAATCTCAGTACCCCATATGTAAAACGCTATGGAGTTTCAGATTTCAATAGGAACAAAGGAGAATTAAAGAAGAGAAGTCAAGTGGACAATAGTGGTACCCCATTACTACCCAAAAACACGGTTGTGTGTGCATGCGTTGTGTCCCGTACACAGTTCTCTTGAAAGTGTTAAAGCGCCCTCTCTCGTTTGAGCACAGAGCCCATTGGAAGAGCAGATATCAAAATTGAAAGCGTAATTCTTCATTGGATTGAAACGATTAATTAAGTCAGATGTGGCTGGTAAATTTATTGGGGTAGTGGATGAATATACATGACGGTTACCTATGGACTCTGTAAAGGAAAAGTAGATGGCACTTTGTGGTGTACTTATGAGAGCCAGTAGTGCAGAACACGGGGTACAAGAGGTAAAAGTATAACATCTATGCTGATCACCATGTGCTAGACCACGTGGTTCTTCATTGAACACAATCTTTTATGAGTCCCTTGTGGATGCTTTCAGATTAGGCTTTGTATAGCCCTTTTCACACTAGAGCCTCTCAACCCGGGTTGAACTCAACCCTGGGCGAACCTAGTGCCGCCCCAGGTTGAGTTTCTTTATTTTTCAACCCCGCATTCAACCCTGCATCGTTTCACACTTGATTCATGCAAATCAAGCTTATCATGCTCAGTTACTACTGTTTTGAACCCTAGCAAGAATTTCAACCCGGGTTGAAAATCTCTACCCTGGTCTGGGGCAGGGTTGAGTTCAACCCGGGTTGAAATCAATCTCGGGGTTGACGCAGGGTTGACGCAGGGTTGAAATTCTTCAAATGTGAGACGATGCATGTTTTCAACCCTGCGTCAACCCGGAGATTTGTCCAGTGTGAAAAGGGCTATACTATAGCATGTACCTCTACAGCACCATTGAGGTGTGCTGCTGTGGTACAATGCCAAGTGTCCCTTTTCCTTATCTTTGTTGCTTCGTAGCCCTTTTACATGGAGTGGTTTTCTGCAGTGAAACGGGCGACATTTGATCAGTCTCTCTCCATACACGGAAGACTCTTATTTGATGGTTTCTCTATCTTTTTCCTTTCCTTTTCACCCTCTAGATTACTGCTAATAAAGAAACCTTCCGGAAAACCTGGAACCCCAAGTACACGCTGCGGAGTCACTTCGACGGCGTGCGGACGCTGGCATTTCATCCGGCCGAGACGGTTCTCATCACCGGCTCCGAGGACCACACCCTCAAGCTGTGGAATCTACAGAAGACAGTTCCCGCTAAGAAGTAAGACCTCTTTGGCTGATAAGATGGTTTTGGCCAATAAATCTTGTTTGCAGGAAAAACCACAATTGGCCATATGTTTGAGTGAACTAGGTTGCTATGAAGACACCATTTTTCTGGTACCAGCAGTAGAATATATTTTCATTTATTGAAGCAATCTAAGGGACAATTCAGAATTTTCAATGTTTTAAAATTTCGATCTTTTTTCCAAATTGTGGGTGGGTGGGTCAAGCTAAATAATTGAAAATCGAAATTCACTTTCCATGGAAAAAGAAAAAAAAAAGAAAAGAAAGATAGATCTTTTACCTTGCCTGAACTACGCGCAAGCGTTCCGATATCGCGATGCGTGTTTATATTTCTTTTCCAACTTTGTCCCCTGTATGTACTGTACATGTATGTCATTTACGTGTATATAGACCCACTGTGGCATGAGAGGGAGGTGGTTTTTCAGTAGACTTGGACACCGGGCGTTTGTAGCGGTTATAGGCCGTGCAGAGGCAGCAGGGTACCAGGTGTACTAGATTGGCTCTATAACACGCCGCGGGCGTCGATTGCCAATAGCTATAAAAACTGGACTATTCAACCACTGGACTCCAAGACTACGAGGACCGCAGCCTGTGATGTGATGTCTGCCCAAACCTGATGTTTTTCTTTCGCTCGTACCCCCCGCCCTGCAAACAGGGCGGGGGGGGGGGGGGGGGGGGGGGGGTACGAGCGAATGTTTTTCAGGTACCTCACATGACAGGCACAACCTCGTATGTCAAATGTCATCCACCTCATCCAAAAAAACGACAAAACCACGGTCATCTTTGTGGCTTCCAAAACTGCAACCTGTCTTTCCCAACAGCATATCAGCTGGCAAAACACAAGAAAACTGAAGGTCACCAGTGCAAAAGAGGAAGACCGATAACTTCACGCCGTCACTGAACTAGACACACATGTAGGGCCTACAGGGGTATACATGTTCATGTTCAAGTATATGTACATGCAAGTGCATGTACATGTACATGTTCAGTTTTTTTTATTAATCGAAATTAGGGGTGGGTGGGTGGGTCAAAATAATTTGGAAAAAAAGTCGAAATTTTAAAACATTGAAAATTCTGAATGGCCCCTAACAAATTAACTTCTATCTATGAATTTAAATATAAAATAATGTCAAAAATAACCTTGGATTTAGAAATATTTATACAAAGATATTTATACAGATATTTATACAATTGGGCTGAAAATGATTCAAAACTTCTACAGCAAATATTCCTTACACATCACTAAACGTGAGGGGATTTGTTATTTGATGTAACTTTGTGTTGCTAGAAAAACAGCAATTTAAAAGGAAAATCCATTTTTGGGGGGGGGGGGATGTGATTGTGAAATTGGCACGGGGAGAGAAACTTTAAATTGGCAAACTCATTCAGGCTGTTCTTGAAGTTACCGAGAGAAAGTGAATGCCTATAACTAGCCTGTCAGTCACCAGCTGATTAAATTGTCTGGGTCTCGAGGGGGGAGGGGCTGTAGTTGTGGCCTATGTAATGATGTCGTCGCTAATTTATAGGGACAGCCTACTGATTTCCCGACACCTTATAGGCAGAGGAAGGCTTTCATTAGAAGCTGGTTACCATGTGGCAGGGAGCCAGCGGGTAAGCCACACATCCTGCAGATAAGGAATAGGAACGGCGGGATACTGGTTCAAAGGAGTGTCCTGTTTTGGGAAATCGGGTAAAACATTTTTTACGATGTTATGTGGGGGCTTCTTAATTTAAACTTTGTGGATTTCTGCCATGTAAGGCCTGTTCAAACTTCATGGGAATGCGATGCGATTTGAGGTCGTGAAGCATGCACTGCGAAATTCGCCAGAGTTGAAAGTGTTCAACGGCACGGCAAGTATGTGCACTGCGAATTCGCAGTGCACATACTTGCCGTGAAGTCACAAATTCACGTTCGAGTTCACTTTCGTGACGAGTATGAAACTGGCTTATGAATATGTGTAAGAAAAATGCGTTCCAGTGTTAAATTCATGTCATGGTGCCTTTAACCCTAGCTCTCTAGGCCTTTTTGCTAGGATACATGTACATCCTCAATCCTGCCAAATCCTCAGATTGGCCTCATGGAAAAGTAGCATATAGCCTCAATCCTGCAAATTCCTCCATTATTTCTTGAACACTGTTGAATATGGTCCGTGGAGGGGTGACCACTGCCTGAATCCTGCAAAATCCTGCAGCAGTGACTGTCGATATGTTGAGGCTTGGCCAGTGACATCCTGGAGCAGTATGGAGGATTTCAAGCGTAATCTAGGCCTGTATTATGCATGGCTGAGCAAAAACAACGCAAGGTTCGGCCCAAGACCTTGACAAAGTGCATCCTACTAAATCAGTAACACACTTTTGCCATGTAACCTCAATCCTCCATATTCCTCCACTTTGGCAAAGAGGATTTTGAAGGATTCAGGGCAGTTAGGGTTATGAAAAATATGTGTTCAAAGGAATTGGTGACAAAACTAAATTTACATGTAATAAAACATCCTTGTCATCTTGCCTCCTCTGTTGCAATAAAGTTCAAATTTTAACCGAACATTCCTTAATGTTGCTTGAATTCCTTCTCTGACAGGGCTGCTTCGCTAGACGTTGAACCAATCTACACCTTCAGGGGACACTCGTGAGTACCAAAGCTTATCCTTCTCACCTTTCAGTCAGGAAGCAGTCAATTTCCTCCAACATCATCCAACCCTTGTCTGAGATTGTACCGTAAACCATCTGTATGCAGCATGACCAATTATTCACGTAACTTGATTGACCGTCTGTTCTGCTTGATGGAGTGCTTCCTGAATTGGCAATTTACGCATTTACATACATGTGTACACGCACCCTTTAAATAGCAAAAGCACCTAGCTGAATAATTTTTGCTAAAAAAGCATCTTAAGGTGTATTTATGTTTTAGTATATTCTCATAACAGTCTGAAACAACAGTTCGATGTCAGTAACTGAGTCCAGCCTGGGTTATTGTGTGTGTGCGCCCTTGGGCAAGGCTCGTTGTCTCTCATTGCTTCTCTCCACCCAGGAGTAATTGGGTACCCGTGAGGGCAGTGCTTGTTATTGTGGTTGATTTTCAGCTGCTTTGTGCCGAAATGGCAACATGGAGCTGTCTACTCCCCAGGGAGCTGAGATTGTCTTTGGAATGTTTCATTGGCCCAATGAGCAGGGTAATAATGGTGTAGCGCCTTGAGCCCCAAAAACTTATTCCTTTTTTTTTCTCTTTACTTGTAGGGGTCCTGTGCTAAGCCTTGTTATCAGCAGTAATGGGGAGCAGTGCTTCAGTGGTGGCACAGATGCAGCCATCCGCTGTTGGAACATCCCGGGGTCTAACATTGATCCTTACGACTCCTACGGTAAGTTGTCATTTTTGGCCCTTCTCTCAGCTGATTGTAGCTCAGCACATAGATTTGCCAAGCAATATATGTGGCTCAGCAGCTTGATGAAATTGCCTCAAGTCCCATCCTAAAGTTGGGCTCAGTTGAAGCCTTGTTAAGTTAAGTCCGTCAAGCCTACTGTTTATTGCATGTCAAATATGTACAATGGCAAAAGGGGTTCATTTTGTTTGTATACATACAAGTGCAACCAACTGTTCAGGCATGCCAACTTTTCCTCGGGTCTGCTGATTCCCTCGTTTTTTTTACTCCTCATGAATGCAATTACAAATTGAATAACACTGTGTAAAGACTTGTGTGGTTTGAAATTTCCTCGTTTTTTATTTTCTTCTAAATTTCCAGTTGCACGCCTGGCTTGTTTTGAAGTACAACCTAACAGTCATAATCCTGGTAGTCTAAATCTGGAAGTCTGAATTTAGTTTTTAATGTGAGAAATTAAAAAAGTCTGTTACAGTCCAGTTTGATTTTTGCTGGTATCAGAAGGACGACTTACTGACTCAGTGTCTGACTGACTGACATTTGTGAGCTGGGCAGTGCTATCCTATAGGATTACTCCGTAATTTGAATGGGCTAAATCTGGCCCACTGTGTAGACCAGACCAGATCTATGTTGACCACATCTATGCATGAAAAGACTTCCAGTGAACAGTCATTTTGAATCACTTGAATAGAATTATGTGCACTCTGGGACCATTTTTTACTAGTCGTGCTGTGTCTTGTTTGCAGATTCGGGTGTGTTGGCAGACACCTTCGTTGGACACACCAACACCATCTGGGGCTTGGCCTTTGACGGGACCAAGAACCAACTGGTATCCTGCGCTGCCGACGGCACTGTGCGGTTATGGGCCCCGCAGAACAAGTCACCTCTACTCAGCACTTTTAAAACGGAAACCGGTATGTCCTACCTTATGTCTTGTTTGACATGTTTCTTATGAAGTACAATAAAGATCAGCTTGGAAGGGACATCTTGCTAAACAAAAGAACATGTCATGTTATCCGATATACTCGAAAGGGTGGTGTATGCAAGAAGTTATATATGCAGATTGTGCTGTCGTTTTGAGAAATAGTATTTTATAATATAGGTTCCATATGAATTTTTATCACATAAACCACAAAATGGATAGCTGAGTATGTAGAGCTTTGGTACAGTAATCAGGTTCATATCCCTCTCTAGTCAATTGCTTTCTTCAACTTTACAGTCCAGATGAATTTTAATTAGTTATAATTCACTATTTGTGTTTAATTGTGGAGTTTGGTGCACATGTAAGGAATAAATACCATAAAATCTTTGTCGTTTTTACTTGAACCCTTACTCTGATTACATGAAATACCAGCCCATGTTTGAAGTGTTTATTCAGAACACGGTGTTCAAGTTTTGTCTGTTACAAAAAAAGTGTCGTGCTTTACTGCATAACATCCAGTTGGTACAAATTCAGCAGGTTTCCCAGTAAAAAGACTGGTGGTTAGTGTTTAACGTACATGTACTAAAACCTCATGGAATGACATGATTTTGTCAATAGGTTAAAGACAGTGGGGTGTTTTAATACCGTATTAAAACCAAAGTACAACTAAAGAGAAAACTCAAGGAAAACATAAAGCTTGAATTTTTAATACCAATATTCAGCTTTCTACACACACAAAGTTCTACGGTCTGAAGAAAACCTTTTAAACAATGTTCAACTGACCACACTGTAGAATAAATATTGCACTCTCACACTGACTTGTTGAATATGTACACAAGTTGCGCTGCTGTGCACAGCTAATGGAATACTACTTTTGCAATCGTGTGTTTAACTTTGTTGTCCAGGCCAAACACACACATGGAAAGCCTTTTATCAATCTAATCTCTCTTCTTCCTTCCTCCCCACCCTCCCAGCTTACGGCAACCCCACCTCGGTGGACTTTGTGCGCTGTGACTCCAGCCAGATTGCTGTGGGTTACCAGTCGTCGGATACCATCATATTTGACCTGGAGACGGGGGCCCCGGTAGTCACACTAGAAAGCAAAATGCCCTCAGGTAAAAACAAAATCAACAATTTCAAGTAAAGGTTTACAGATTGCTTCATTGGTCTTGCACTTTGTTTGATGTTGTGAGAAATATATTTTTTTTCCATCCTAGCATTGTCCCATTGGTTTATCATTTTACCTTTGAAGTCACAAACAGGCCTCTGTTGCCATTCTTTCAAATGGAAAGGACTGTATTATGCAATTATGTTCCGGAACAAAGACATGTTTGTCAATCGAGGTATGAGAACGCTTAACCCTAACTTCCTAGCGTGATTTACTAGGAACCATACCCATCCTGGCAAATTCCAATGCCATATTGGAAACTGTACACACATATTTCTGAGGTGTGCCAACCCAATGTAAAAGACTGTCAGTTTAGGGGTACTGTACCCATCCAGAAAGATTCCAACAAATCATGCTGTTGGGGTTTGATGGGTTGAGTTCTGTTAGGGTTAAAGAACGAATTTACTTGTGGATATGCTTTGTGAAGTACCGTCATGTGTTATTTTTCAAAATAAAAAGTATATCCAGAAAAAGTCCAGACTTTGCCAATAGTCTATCATGCTCTTCAAAAATCCTTGTAATGTTTGATATGGACCTGCAAGAGGTGAAGACTTTTAGGGCTAACTTTATAGTAGCCTTACACAGGTTTAGGACTTATTATACAGATGCATGGCTTACTTCTACTGAACGTGGATAGAGTGCTGGACTCCATCCTTGCTCTTGACAAATTAGCTTATATCAGTTCCACATATTAGGCCAATGTAGTTAAATATTTCAACGCATCAGTTTCTTGTAACTTAGTCAAGAATACAAGTGTTGGATTAGGAGTCGAGTAGGAAGATTTTATTCTTCTAGTAGGAAAATGACTGATTGTCACGCAGCTGACAAAAGGCAAGAAAGTATGAAATACAAACGATATTGCAACAGGACATGGACTTGAGTCTGTGTTCTTTTGCCAGTACGTGGACATTTTCACCATACAGTTTTATCCAAATGCAAATATTTGGATTTTTTTCCATAATCAAAAGCCAATATACTTATTGAACACTATCTGTACCACCATATATTTCAGTAAATTTTTTTGAGTTGGGGACTCAGGAAAAGAATCTGCAACACTGAACTTTTCATGCTTTAAATGTCTGGATCTTGGCTTTACAGATAATGCATATACGCAGATTAACAAAGTGGCCAGTCATCCGACGCTCCCCATTACCATCACTGCCCATGAAGACCGGCACATCCGATTCTTTGATAACACTTCAGGTAAGTGACACAGGAATATTTTTATTCCAGTAAACGAGCGAGGGGCAAAACTCTCCCAGTTGGATTTGAATCTGTTCTCTGACAGGTCGTCACCTTCCGTATTAAAAAATTTGGGTGGCTTGTTGTAGATGTGTTGCACGTCTGGTCGTTAGTAGATTTTGATTAAACACTACACGCCATATTCACATAGTTGAGACTCAAATCCAAGACTAGCAATTACACAAAATGAATCAATGAGTTTCCATGGGACTTGTTCTTCTGCATAGTCTGCGGTTCACTAGCTCTGGTTCCTTTGTGATTCTTCAGTGGATAATAATAATAATGTGTGTGTTACCTCCCGAGTGAAAATTGGAAAAAATCTCTCGGGTGGGACTCGAACCCACGACCTCCTGCTTTCTAGTGCAGATGTCTTACCACTCGACCACCGAGCTAACGGGATCGGTTGGCTGGTTCGAATCTGATGTACATAGCAGCGGGTACAGTATAGCTACCTCCGTTTAAAAAACGTCGGTGAAGGGCAAAACCTAATTTGATTTATATCACCCCGACGCAAAAATTCTATCTTATAATAATAATAATGTGGTGCCTATAAAGTGCCTTATACCATAGTCTCAATGCACTTCACAATTATTTTCCATGGTCATCAGGCCATGAAACCTGGGTTTTTGTTTTTTTGCTGCAACTCCTGGGTAGAGAGGTGCAATTATAGTGAAGTGTCCTGCCCAAGAACACAAGTTTTCTGCTTCAGGGTTCAAACCCACATAACATACAATGGGGTGCTGTGGTCCAATGGTTACGGTGTTCGACTCGTGTGCCGCGGTACACGGGTTCAAATCCTTACCGTGGGAACATGGTGCTTGCGCTCCTGAGCAAGGCACTTTACCATTATTGCTTCGTCCTTCGGATGGGACGCAAAGCCGTAGGTCCCGTGTGTTGTGTAATGCACGTTAAAGAACCCAGTAATACTTATCGCTAAGAGAAGGGGTTTGCCCCGGTGTTTCTGGCAGTGGCTGCTTAATGCGCCGCAGCACCTTGGTCTCATACTACTAGTTCTCATTAACTTGAGGGCCTTCTTGGAAAGCATTGCCTTGCACTGATCGGAGTTAACCCTCATAAAAGATGACGTAAAAAAAATAAAAAAATATGTGTCGGATACCGTAACCATTGGACCATTGCGCTCCATGTGTAAATGTGAATGTAATAGAAATGGAATGTTTTTATTTTTCTGTGACTACAGGTAAAATGGTACACAGTATGGTGGCCCATCTGGATGCGGTGACCAGTTTAGCGGTGGATCCAAATGGATTGTACTTACTTTCAGGAAGTAAGTCATTTTGATTTTTTCTTCAGTCATCAGTTGCATGTGTGACTTGTCCCCCTAAAAAGAAGACCTTCACAAAAGATTGTCCAGCATAACGGTCGTTCGTTGTAGCTATATTTAGAAGTCATTGCATAATCATGTATAAAAATGTGGATCAAAAGCGATATCTGTTATAGCCAAATGTTCAGTACAGCTGCATCCATTATTGTATCGTTCTGCTGTACTATATGTAACCAGCCCTACAAAAATAAGCCTGTTGTCAGGAAATTGACTTCTGAGTTATCTTCGAAAGAGGGCATCAATACCTTCAATTTATATATCATGGACCTCTTTCTTGCACTGAGCTAGAAAAGTCTCATTGGAGAAACTAAACGTCGGAAGTAGCAAATTCACTTTGAAAAAATAAACAACGAAAATTCTCTTCCTTGTCAGTCTTCAAACAATATTAAACTTGCCAATATAAAAAATTGGGTTACATTTTATACAAATAATGAATTTTTAGGAGTGCAACGGTAAGAATAATTTCATGAGGTGTCGGTTGGAATGTTCCATTCCACGAGGCGAAGCCAGGTAAAATGAAACATTCCATCTGTTACCGAAATTAGTCTTCTATTGCACGAATGTGAAACATTCATTATTTGTTTTATACAACACCTGAATGAAGCCTCGTCATCTGATTAGTCAGAGCCACCAATAGTGTGACCATGCAGTGGAACTAGTACTTCTATTTTTGCGGTGCGGCTGGGCCGGGCCATGGGTGGGTACAAATAATTCAGTGACATGTGATGAACAACCTACCGATCAGATTTAATCAGGCATCGCATAAAAGTAAATAAATGAATCAAACATTACTACTTCAGTAATGTAGTGTACTCTTCATTATTTCAAAACATTATGAGCTAATCACAGCTGCGACCATGTTCTATGCACGCGCGTCCATCCATTCCAACATGCGTACGCGTGTGTGTGCGCGCTGTCTGAGGCCTCTTACCCGGGCTGTTTCTATGATACAAGGTGATAGAACCAACACTTTCAAATAGAGGGGACGATCAAGGTAATGTACACCCTGTGGGGTACATCACTCATGTACCATGGTGTGTACCATGACACCGTACATGCGTGTTTGTGGCACATCATGTGCTCGGTTCTCGACCAATAAAGCATGACGATCTATTACCGAGGTATAACAATACCAATTGTTCCCCACTCACACCTGATGTTCCTGAACTGATTAACCAATTGTCTTTCCCGTGTGTGTTTGCGAGGTTCAGGTCCATATTTGGGTGCAAAAAACAGTGTTCTGCTTTCTAATTTCCTCTCTCTTTTTTTTTCAGGTCATGACTGCTCAATTCGTCTGTGGAACCTGGACAGCAAAACCTGCGTTCAGGAGATCACCTCTCACCGGAAGAAATTTGACGAGTCGATATACGATGTCGCCTTCCACCCCTCCAAGCCCTACATAGCTAGCGGTGGAGCCGACGCCCTGGCCAAAGTGTTTGTATGATAGGGCGTGGGGCTGATGTAGGATGAATGTATGCAGCTGGGCCTTGAGAAATCCTTTCTTGCTCAAACATTTCTATTTGAGAGATATGAAAATTGTAACAGAATTCTGTAATCAGCGGTCTTAAACCATGCAGTACCTCGTGCACTGCAGTGGGATTTTCTGATGTTATTCTTCAGAACATAACCGAGCAAGTGCAAATAACAAAATCTTCCTATGCACAAACTTTCATGGTCAGTTGATTTTTGTTGAATTAAAGTCAAAATTTCAAATTGAAATCCAGCATTAGTTGGTTCCCTGTTGTACACTTAATACGTTCTATTACATTTAGCTGCTAATTGCCAGTGTCAGCTAGTCGGTTGACTGTGGTTAGCTAACTGACCATTGTCAACCAGACAAGGTTTGGTCAGAGCCACTTCAACTTTATTAAAAAAAGTTGTATGTTTTCCGATACAAGCTTGTTAGATCTTACCAAAGGAAATAACAAAAGTCTGATGCAAGATAATTTAGTACGCTCTGCTTGTGGCAAAAACTAAGACCCTTGGCAATCGGCCATATTTTGAGCAAATGAGGCACTGTAATGATACTAATTTCTGAGTACACCAATTAGAAAAGTCCTGTTCGTTAAAACAGATAAGTACCATAACTTCAATCTAAAAATGTAATTTGTTAATCAAAACAACCACCTACATCAGTAACCTTGGATACATGTCTGTTTATGCCACAAAATGTCAATGTTACACCGCTCTCGTTTGTTCAAGAATAAGGCCGATAAGCGATCGGATTTCTCAAGGCCGAGTTTTAAAGTGGCTACTAGCAAGTCCTGGGCTTGCAGCTGTACAGGCCCCCTTCAGCAGTGAAGGGAGGTGAAGTGTGTTATATTAATGATGAGTTAATCAAATTTAAAAATGAGCGGGGTGAGTCAGTCAGAGGTTGTGTATGTTTGGTGAGAGAGCCAATTCCAATTCCACCAGTTGCTTGGGGGAGGAGGGGGGGGGGGGAATGGGGAAGGGAAGCGGCAGTAAATCACAGTACATGTACATGTATATGGGAAAAAGCACCTCTTTTGTCAGATTGTAGGTCCAGCCTAGCAGCACGTGAGTTAGCCAGTCAGGTTTTTATCAACTGCACCTCTGCACATCAAGCTTTGATATTCTTGTGGATAAAAAATCGGTTAAGGAAATCTCAGTGCTGCAGACTGCGGTGTGGCTTGCACGCTATTTGCTTGTAGTTGTTCACGTCATACTAACGTGTGTCATTTTCCTGCTAGCACTTGACTACTCGTGAGTAATTTCTTTGCGAGTACTCGAGTAGCGAAATCCACTACTTGCTCAGGCCAAATAAAACAAGATTGATTTCAGCCTGTAGGGCAGTGTTGATTAAATTCTGCAGTATTCAGCTTTCATGCAAGGAGACGGAAATACAGTTTGCACAAAAGTTGAAGCAGAAAAATACTTGACCACATTGTGCCGTCTAAATATTTGGCAATCTCATACCTGTTCAGAATAAGAAGTTGTCTTCAAACTTGTTTGCAACACTGTGATTTTCAACACTCACGGCAGACTGTTTATGATATTTTCCAAAGGCCCAACAGTTTCGTGTGCTTGTGGCGTTAGACTCTGTGATTGTTTTATGGTCCATAGGGACCCTCTTGTCTTTCAAATATGGCTGCAAACAAAGGCACTTTGTAGGCACTAGCAGGCCTCTCTGCATGTCACTTCTTTTCCCATCGTGCAGTGAAAGTTTGCCTGGAGATAATGAACATTTTAGACCATCCCCCTTCACACCATATCCAACTTGGATCATGTTAAATCTAGCCTTGTCACGTGCAAAAGTTGGTTTACAAGTTTGTGCAGGAGCTAATTATAATAGATTTGTGACTCGGATGTGGTGGCCCACTCTGTAGTAGTCTTCAGGATACCAGACAGAGATGGCCTGTGGACCAGCTGGCTAGCCCATGACGATGTTTAATATGGCTTATTTGGAGTGAATGAGGATGCTCTGATGACGCTTGCTGTTTTCTGGATACAAACAGCAGAATAATCATGTTCATTGAAGCAGTTTCGTAAATTGACTTAAAACATTAGGAATTGTACAAATGTCGTTATTGATTCCGGCAACATATGAACATACATCCGTAACCTCGGCATCAAGTCTGCTGATTCCCCACATTATAAAGGTTGTGAACGCACCCTCCCTCACTTAAAAATATGACCTATTGCAAACATCAAATCTCATCTGCCAACTTTCAAGCATTGCTTGGAGCAGGTCATGGTAATGAAAAATGGTGTCCACAAGAAATATACAGCTTGAACTGTGGGATGGAATTGGTTCTCATCATTGTGGAATTTTCTCAGTGCGGCTTAATATTTGTCTGTTCCACCTATAACTGCATCGGCAACAAGTGCGTGAAATCATAACAGAAAGTGACCTTCAGTGATTGAATTGACCCCAGGGTGTATCTGCATGTACAGTTAAAATCTGCACATGAACAATAATTGAATTAAGTATCTCCATTATTATGCACGAGATATAATAAATAAAAAAACACACTAATTGTCCACATCCAGTGGTCAGGGATGTTCGTGTGCCTTTATAGGGCAGTTTTAATGTCCTTGGCCATGTAAACAGACCAAAAACACTCGAAAATGAATTTGCCGCAATGATAATGTGCCACAGAACCATAATGGAGGGACAGTGTGATGTAAATACAGTATATAAATTTGTATGTGTTCTTGAATGAGCTGTGCTGGCCGAGTGTTGGGACTCGCAGCTTAGTATTCATCGTAGTGACTGTTACAGTAATTACTTGTAAACTTTTTAAAGTACATCAGTGGTCACGGGTGAAAGTATTAAAAAAAAAAAGGACTTGTACCAAGGCTTATATCATGAGCTCCATGCATGACCTGAAGAGCATGTTATGTTGCTGAGCTGTTCAATCAAAGTGAGAGTATTCCTCTTTGATGTACACTGAAGCAGGCCCACTTCAACGGTGAAAGCACTGTGCCAGCATTGTTCAGAAAATGGGGCATTAGGGGAGATGCTTTTTACCTTAGCTTGCACAATGCTTGTGCCATTGAAGGGGGCCTCATGAGCGTATAGTGACAGTGTGCTGGGATTGGTCTATTGGAAAGTTGGGATAATTCTCTTTCTACAACATTGCGGAAAGATTTTCCCATTATCCATCTGGAGGGGACAGTTGTGCATGGAGCCCATAATAGCTGTCAAATTTTAAGCATGTAACCTTTTGGTGGTGGATGCCGGTTTGTTGGTCCCAACCCTATCGCAACAGCAGGTGAATGTGAACATTTCAGTTATTTGGGAATTGCCGAACATGATTATGTAAGCATCAGAAAGACATTGAACGTACAGTTTCTGAGCCAGTTATTACATCTGAAACCTCAGGTCGTTAAGCAGTGAATATATATATGTGGTCTGGTGAAAGACATGTTGGTTTTCTTAACTTCAGTCATCCACAGATGAAGTGATACTTTTAATACCCATCCAATCAAGCATTGTGACAATTGCAGTTGAAAAGATTGCTCCTGAACACAAATTCTTATATGATCAAGGGCATTGTCCTCAAATCTTCTGAAATTGCATTCCTAATACCATGAGGAGTACATGTTTCGTGCAGTGCAATTGGCCTTATTTACAAGTATGCACACACACGGCATACAGAGCCTATTTGTGCATACATGTATATAGATATTTAAATCAAACCTTGCCCCTAGTCGGAGATCATAAAGACAATACCAGCTAGCCGATCTCTGAATCTATATGTAAGTGAGATACTAAAGCCTGCCGCACACGAGAGCTACGTGCAGAGCAAAAAGTCATTCGAGGCTGTTTGCTCAGCACGTAGCTCACAACATATCCCTGTGTGGTGCTGTGATTTTTTGCTGAGTTATCTGCCTCGCAAGGCTGTGAGGCAAATATCTACCCAACACGGGCAAGTTCTCACAGGCAATATCTCACCAACATCCGGCCAAGTACAGGCATGTAAGTCCTCCTGCAATTGCCTGATTTCATGGGTTTTTTTTAACTATAAATAACATATTGGCACCATACACGTGTTGTATACTCTTCCTTGATACCTCAAAGTTCAGGCATAAATGTCAGAGTCCACTTACATCCCTGCAAGTCGTATCCACCACCAAAAGCCATACCTTTAGGCTCAAACTCTGTTTTTTTCTTTTTTTCTGAAGATGTTCTTTCACTTCTTAAGTATAAATATGTATAATTTATTGAAATGGAAAACACAGGAGGAGCTTACATTGCCAAGCAGTGTCAAAACGACATCACGGAAATGTGTGTTTTTAAATGCCATTGTTATATAATTTTGGTGTAAAGATTTGAAGATCTTTAAAAAAAAATGTGGGGTAGGGGCGGGGCGGAGGGAGGGCGGGGGGGGGGGGGGGGTTACCGGACCCTGTTTTGTTGTCAGCTTCTAATTAATAGGTGTAGTTGCTGTGATCTGCTTGTTTCTCCATGTTTAATTTATTATTAGATCACACATGGGTCGAGATAAAAACAGAATATGTTTGGAGAGAATATTAAAGTTAATTGAGATTGGTAAAACAATCCTCTCTTATTATTTAAAGTACATGTAGCTTGTATATTTTGCGTTAGGTTTTTCTGCTCACCACTCACACGGTACTATAATACTTGCAGCTCAAGTTATAGCTAATGAAAATTACTTTGCCGATTCTTTTCTCAATGCAGATTTGTAAATTTTTCTGTAGACAAACAAGAAAAACCTGTATTAGTGGTTTTGTATTGAAACCATGAACCAAAGATTGAGCTGCTGTGTTTCTTTTATTAGTATACTGTACTAGTCATTGTTTTATTTGAGTTGCAGACTGCCAGCATATCCCGCCGGGGTATTATGAGGAAATTCTCCCACACTCTTCCCAAAGAAATGACGCTCCAATTACTTTACAATTATTGCCCAATTTGTAGGGTACCCCACTTGTCTTCTAGGTTAACCACATGTTATGGTTAGGGTTAGGTTTTAAGACGAAAATGTGTGAACCGATATGTGGAAAATAGTTAAGCTGCAAAAGGAGTGGTTCATGAAACAGTGCAGCACACACGAGGTTATCGTGTAGATGCCATTACTTGATCGTTCCTGTAGTAGAAATGTAGGCAGTACTAAAAAAAAATCAAAGTCACCGGCTTCTCTCTCGCTCACCCCACGCCCCACCCCTAACTCTTCCCCATCCCCATCCCCTTCCCCTTCCCCTTCCCCTTCCCCTTCCCCTTCCCCTACCTCTTCCCCTACCCCTTCCACTACCTCTACCCCTTCCCCTACACCTACCCCTTCCCCTTCCTCTTCCCCTTCCCCTACCCCTACCCCAACCCCTACCCCTACCCCAACCCCTACCCCAAGCCCACCCCTACCCCTACCCATCTGGATTAGGAAGTATTGCTTATCCAAATTATGCTTGGAAAACTCATATGCTTAACAAAATCAGCGGAGAGCCAATCAATACGTTATGTATGCGTGAACATGTGTTACACTACACTTCCCGACTGGTTACCTATTTTTGCTAGCAAATCTTTCTATGCTCGGCACATGTTTGTGTTTTAGGTAGTGGAATGATACTTATGATGATTGTGTGTCCCTTTTGTGACCCTTTGTGCCGGGGCTGTCTTATATCCCAAAGATATATCCTAAATAATTATGGCTAAATGTCACTCACGGTGGTGCAAAGTATTGTGGGGCAGATGTGGACAGTACTTTGTTCCATAGTGATACCCGTGTGAAACATAACAATGGGTGATATCTTTGGAACGGCTTCAGTTTACTGGTAGTCGATTACTCGAGTCTGCTATTCCTTTTGAAACTCCTGAAGGTGCCAAATGCATAGTCGGATTGTATCTCAGAAATAAATTTCAGGTTTTCATTGTCGAAATACGTCATTAGCCTGATGGAGAGTGGCAGACATGAAACAATCTTGGGTAGAAATTTGAATTTACAAACGTTGACATGAAAATCGTCAATGACACGACCATATACTGGTGTCTAAATACATAGGGAATTTCTAGAGACCTATATATTGACATAACGTAACCCTAATGCCAGTTAGTTTTGGGACTTCATCTTTAACAATTGTGTAACGACAGGCCACTTTTTTTTGAAGCAGCTTGCGGTAGGACAATTTTGATTTTACTTTTATGTTGTTCAACCCCTTTGACTCCTTTGTTCTCTGTTTCAGTGGTTTTTAGTGAAATATTGAATCGGGACAACTACTATACAGGTGATCCTAGTGTTAGGTCCGTTTATAGAAGCACAAACTGTTAGCCTTGAGGTGTTTTTTTGGATATTCCATATTATATTAGGAAGCCAGACCTTCTGTAGGACCACTGTGCAGAGTGTTATTTATATATCTATATGTTTGACATTTCACTGTAAAAATATCAACTTTGTATATTACATGATACGTGTCAAGTTCACATAACTACTAATAACATACTAATGATGTGGGCAAACCGTACGTACAATTATTTTCCGATGTTAGTGTAGAATGGAATGCGAAGAAATTCCAAACTGCAGAAAAAAAGTTCATTGTTTTTTAAGTTATACCTAATGTAAACCAAAAAAAAAATATTACGAATTTTTTGTGTCTTGTGTGCGGATAAAGACTCTTTAACTGACCACTGACCTGGTTTGTATTTTCTATTGTTTCTATTGTGTTTGAAAATGTGTCATTAAAACTTATGACATGTATGATGGTGTAAGGACTTATTCCACCTTGTTGTAGAGATATTTTAGGCAATTTCACCCTTTTGTTAAGTTCAGATTTTGTCAGTAAAGTTAAGGCCGCCATCATGTTTGCATAGCTTTTTCCGAGGTCGTATGCTGAATAACAAGGGGGTGTTTTGTTGTGATGAGGATAAAGCAGTCACATAATTGACTTCATTTTTCAGGTGGAAGACAAGGGCCATAAGTTGCCAATAGTATCAATGTCGTTTCTAAAATTACATGACACCTACCAAATATGGTTTTTTTTGGTTTTTTTTTACCATGCCGAGCACTGTAAAATATATTTCAAAGAGGCACCCTTTTCCCAATAAAATCATACATGAGGTCATGTTGGGTTCTTATATGGATAGATTAGTGATGCCAGCCATTTGTGCTGTACACTGGGACTGATGTCCACTGCGAATGCCAGGACTGTGAAGCTTCACGGTGTTTGGTAAATCCAGGGTGGTTCTGTTGTAGGAATAAAAAAAGACAAGACATGCCTTGCAAAGCTGGTCCCAGAGCACACTAGATTCTATTGAAAGTCTTTTCTCGCATGTGGTCTACACAATGGGCCGAATTTAGCCCATTCATTCGCATCACGGGGTATTCCTATATGATAGCACTGCGGTGCTCACAAGTGGCATTCAGTCAGTCAGTGAGATAAGTACAAAGATGACTCTAGGTTGGCCCTCTGGGACCATCAAAAATACCTTAATAACTTATCTCATTGTTGGAGGCCCCTTCAATGGCGGCAGCATTGTTCTATCGTTCAGACGATTTGTCACGGAGCAGTGGCTTTCCACAATAGAGTGCACAATGGTTTCGCCATTGAAGTGGGCCTCGTATGTATACACATTTGGCTTTACCTACTATAGGTACACTATGGGGACTCGTACGTGAACACCATCTGTTGGCCATTTAGAAAAGATTTTGAATCTGCATGCATGTTTCTGTGAACAGAAAGCTGAACCACTTGAAAGTACTAGTGGTCAGTCCTTAAAGTTTAACACACGCTGGAAACCTGTTAGAGAGATGTATGAAAATTAAAACAATTTTCTTTGTGGAAATTGCCTGGAAATTTTAGAAACTGTTTTTAAACAGATTTCAAGTGTGTGTAAAGTCTTAGAAAAAGTGTGGCCATCCAACTGAATTCTCTATATTTAAATTGTTACTGTAGGGTCATCTGTTTTATTCAAGTTTCAATTGTTGTAATAAACAATATGCTGATGTATCTGTATTCTGTACTACCACCATATAATGTCGCCCAGATTTTTTTTTGTAGGTAGAAAATTAAATCGACAAATTCTGTGCTGTATAAAAAAAGAATGTTGCATTACTGCAGACATTTGGTTTTGTTTGTGTCTCATATGAGGTACAAAGTAATAAAATTGTTTTGAATTTGTAATCGTGTCCTGTCGTGAATTTCTTTCTGTGGGGCTTCAATGTGTTGTGAGTGTGTAGAGCGCCTTCGCCCTGTGCCCTGAGTATCATCCGTTCGACGGAGCCCGTGAGCTCCGCGCCAACGTCAGACAGTTTATCCCTGCGTACAAGGTTGTGTGATCTCGTAAAAGGAATAGCTATGTGTAATGCATAAGTAAAGAGCACAAATTGAGCAATCAGGTTTAATACTTATACAGGAAACACAAATGCTAAAAAGTTATATTGATAATTAAAGAGCCTAATTAACAAAAGAATTAAAGGGAATATACAACATTTGCAAACATCGAAAAACAAAACTACCGAGTTTTTACAAAATACCTTACTAGGATGTTGGTAAATGACAGTCTTTGAGTCTAAAGCATCCTGTAAATAATGGCACCAGGTGTAAAGTCATTTCAAGAAATTTGGTAATTTGGTCGGCCGTTTACTCACAAAATTTGTCAAAGTAAAATGCATGTGGGCAGCTTGATGGCCAGATATGAGACCCCGGGTGACAAAAAATCTAACAAGCCACCGAGCTCAAAGAAATAGTTGTGTGCCTTGAAGTCGACACACGCGACCTCGGAATTTTAGCAGGGTTTTAAGTTTGTTGCACTAAACAGAGGGATCAGAAACCATGTTTCAAGAAAAACCGTGAAAATAACTTTCGCACTAGAGTTAATTAAGTACTTAACCTCACGAGTGTTATCGCCACGAAGCTCTGGAGTCGCTATAGTTATTTGCTCGTACTTAGGCCTATACTGAATACCATACAAATAACTGTTGCAGTGGATTTCGACACCACACTATTTTAAAAGGTATTTTAAGCAAGGTCAGTCCAGTAAAATTAAAAGCACTATTTTAATTGGATTGTTTCTCAACTAATTGAACTATTAGAGGTTTTTTTGGCTGCTTCAGGTTTGTGTTTTTCCATTTCTTTGTAATTTTCAAGCGACGAAGGTCGATCGAAAGTTGCTGGTAAAAAGGGTGGAATCCAAACGGATTCTCAATTATGATGAAACGAAACTTGAAATTTCACGCTGCAAACTCTTATAAGTGGCTGGAATTATCGTGAAGAACCATGAAAAAATACGTTCGCGCTTTCTAGTTAATTAACTACTTAACCTCACGAGTGATATCGCCATGAATCTCTGGCGTCCGTAAGGCATCGCTCGTAATTACTTACCACCATATGTGGTGCAGTGGTTTTCGTTACCACTACTTTTTTTTTTAATGGGTAGCTTAATATTTTAAGCAAGGTTAAACCAAAGCGGGCAGAAAAGCTTCAATTTAATTAACTACCTAACCTCACGAGTGTTATCGCCACGAAACTCTGGCGTCTGTGGCAGTGGCATTGCTCGTAACTTCTGCCCGCAATAAAAACTGGTGAAGTGGCTTTTGTAACCAATAATTTTTTTCAAGGGAAGCTTAATATTTTTAAGCAAGGTTAAAGCAATAAAAATGTAAAATGTAAGTATACTTTTAATTAACTTGTTTCTCAAAGCGGGCAAGACTATATTGCACTCAAAAACGCTTGAATTTAATTTAAAAAAAAAAACAGGCCTAAGAATTTTTGTGGTTGGAGGTTTGTGTTTTCCATTTATTTCTTTTTTCAAGCGACGAGGGTCGATCGAAAGCTGCTGGTATTACAACGGTGAGATCTAGACAAATGCTCAATCACTCTGCGAACTTATATAAATGACGAGAATTGCCTTACCGGGACTAGTTTGCAACAGGACGAAGAGACATCAACTGTTCACCATGGCTGCTCGGAATCTGCTGGTCGGCTTGGCTGTTGTTGCCGTTTTGATGAACCAATCCTTGGTATGTTTTCCAATTTCTATTTTATAAAATAATGAGTGAAGAATGCTTCCTCGTTTTAAAAGGGTATTTTTTTTCATGTGCCCTACATCCTAATGAAATAAAACGTGATAGAGTTATCTTCGCGCAGTTCAAGTTAACTTACTCACTTTCTAACCAAAGTAGGGGTTTTCCCCAGTAATTTTAAGACTTGTATCACACGAATTCCTTATATCAATACTTTAATTTCGTCCCGAACATCGCCAAGCTCAATTCTCAATTTGAATTTCAAAAGGACACCACTAGATTTCATTTAAGGTTCAGTATAATTCAAAATTTTAGCTTACCGATTCGTCCTAAATTTGTGAAATTCGTCTAGTGTAGCAATCGGCATTGAATTGAAAAAGCAAATTCGGGTGGTTTTTTTGTCATTCGTTTTAATGTTGTTGCCATTACATTTCGTTTCTGGTGACTTACAACGCTACGATTAGAAAATGTGCCCAATCTTTGGACTTATTGGAAGAAAAATGTGCGCATTTAAACAATTATAATTTCAACATATATGTCCTTTATTATGTATAAAAAAGTAGTTAGCTATAACCTCGAATTTTATTTTATGCGTTCACAATTAGCATAAGAATCATGTATAAATATCGATTTAGTGCTCTTCCAATGTATACTGTCGTCTTAAGGCAGTTTTAAGTTTAGACAAGCAAATCCAAACAATGAGCACACGTTTTCGTCCCGGGTATTCGTTTTCGCCTAGTCTATACCAAACCTTGTCATTCAGAAATCAAATTCGTCTAATTGATTTATATGAGACGAATTCGATCACTAAATGCTGCCATTCGGCAACAGCTTAGACAAAATTTGATCTGTTATGACGAATATTCTCGCCCCGGTGACTAAAGAGAATGAAAACTTTAAAATTGAATGGTAAATGACGAAATGTGTTTGTTAAAGGCGTATGATTTTTTTTGCGGACGAATTTGAATGATTGAGTTGGTGACTTTGAATGAAAAATCTTTAAATAGCCGGGAAAAGACAAGTACAAATTAATTTGATGAAAATACCTTTTATTTTGCACCTGAACATGTATCTTATCCTTTTTAGTCCTATGTTAAACTTTTCAGTATCATAAATATGTCAAAATATTAAATAAATTGCACAAATGAAAGATAATTGCACAGTAGGGGTTCTTTTGCTTAATTGGCATTTTCTCAACAACTCCCATATGCTGTTTTTATGAATTTTTCAGCATTTGAAAGAAAACGCCATTCAGCTTTACTGTGATATCCAAAACATAAAACGTCACAGATTACGTTTTTGAAAAACGGTAAATATTTTAGGGTTGCATTTTTTTGGGGGGGACAACCTGTGATTCTTGTGTGACTCCTTGGTTATGTTTTTTTGCAATCTATACATCTTCACATTCACTTAAAGGGAATGTTGCTCTTTCTGCAAGTTCCAGTAGTAAATGGATTTGCATGCATGGGAGAGTGAATGCTATAGCAAGTATTGCTTAACGGACTTGTTTCACGTTTTCGGCTTGAAGATGCTGGAAAAACCAAGAAAACCAACCATGTTTTTGTAGTCTGGTTCCCTGACCCCAGTTAAGACGAAACGGAGCAGTTTGTTGAGTTTGGGAATTGTACGGTCAGAGAATCAGACCGGCAGGCTTCTACCCCTTGTGTGTAATCAATTGCAAAGAAAATGCAGAACAACTAATTATGAACAATTAAGAACGGTTTTGAAAAAAGCCAGAAAATTACAATTTTTCTTGAAAATTTCAGCACACCAGGAGCCACGATTTTACAGGGTGCTTTAGAATGTCATTCCATAACAATGATCAATTATTTGATCATTTCGATTTTCGATGTTTGCAAATCTTCCCTTTAATTTGATGTTTTTTTTTTTTAGCAATACATTTTGTTTATTAATATATGTGTCATAGAATAGGACCAGGTTGACTTCTATCAGGGAGGGGTTGTGGACTCCACCTCGGGGGGTTGAGAGTGTGTACCCTTGGGATTGAATAACAGCTCTGGACTGCACTCACTGATCTTGAACTTGATTATCTCATCATTTAATTATCTTGGTTCGTCTTCATTGATCATCAATTAGCATTGGCACATGGTAGAAAACATCGGTATCGTAGAAAAACAAAACCCCCAAGCCCGCCTGCTCTCACTCACAGCCGCCTACTGCAATAAACAATATAGGGCCGAGTTGGTTGCACGTGTACGGATACGCACCATTATTTCAGAAAAACAGGCGTTCGTACGCATCAAAAAGCACACATTTTCCAGCTTGTATAATCAAGCCATTCAACTAAAAGTTCCCTCATCGGAGGAATCCTTCCCCCCAAAAGAGTGAAATTCGCCGAGAATTCCAGCAACCATCAACATCTTTCAGGCTCATCGACAGCGACAAGCGGAGGGAGCGAGAAGCCTAACAAGTTACGCACTCGTCCTGAGCGGACTTATCACTCCGCACTTATTAAGTGTTCAATTTAATTAACAAAAGTTATAATATGCCCCATAAACTACTCAAACAGAATCAAGACTCTGTTATGTAAAGCCAAATTTCCCTTTTGATAAGTATACGATATTCCAAAGCTTGTAAAAGCAGGTACTATATATTCTAATGGTTGAGAATGGATACAGTTGTTTACATGGGTTAAGTGGCATCTGCCCAGATATATCGTGCTTGACATTAAAGGGACTTCTTCATTGCATAGACACAAATCGATGAAGTCCACACAATCCAATGGGTTAAAGGGGAAAATACCCCGTTCTCCCACATATGTATAAGAAAAATTATCAAACATTGTTTGTTATGGACGATTTAAATTGAAATTAAATGTAGCGTTTTCGAATTACTCACCATGGGCAATGAAATCGCGCAGAACGCTAATGGCATATGATTTCCCGCCATTTCTATAGAGAGTCGAAAAGAAAAAAAAATGTTTGTATTTCTTTGCTTTTAGTCTTTGGAATTACTTGACGAAAGTGCGATTCAACGTTTATTTGAAGTTGACAGCATTGAGAAAGGTACGTGAAATTTAAGGAAATTTAACCCATTGTCACCTCACGCGTACGGCATTTTCTACTGTGATTTTTTAAAGTCATTTATTGCTTCTTAATAATGATTGTGAAATTAGATGATCGTATTTCGCAACATTCGGTTGTTTGCTGTTGTCTAAAATGGTGCTTCATTTAAAGTTGTATTGACATTTCTGCCTTGTCGACTTTCTGCGTCCTTTCTGAAAACGTCTTTTGAATAACCGTCACAGCCCCGGAACATGAGCTTGTCTACCCCCGAGTGGTGACGGAAAAGGGCGCTTTTGCCGTCACTGGCGACGCGCTCAGCTCGGATACCTTGCGGCTGACATTCCAAGCCTTCGGTGAGGATTTCGACCTGTGGCTCAAGCGGGACGACTTCGGCATCGCACCGGACTTCGAAATGAGGGTGATATCTAAGGAGGGTACCCGACAACAACCGATCCGAACCGACTGTTTGTACTCGGGCAAATGGAACATGGATCCTACATCCCTGGTCACCGCAGAAACCAGCGATGGTTTGGTGAGTTGGATCGGTGGCATGATGCGGAGGTACAAGGCAGTCAGCCTTCGGCATGCATGATGCAGTGAATTAAACTGTTTGACATTGTCCCACTATTCTAACCTCCTGAAATGTGTCAAAAACCTCTATTCAATGATTTCTTTTATATACGTTTCGGGAATTCCCTTGAAACAGGAGTCGATTATACAATGGATGTGTTGGTTGGTATCGTCCATTTCTTTTGCTGACAATGCTGATGAAACTGGTTCCCATAAACCTTATCATGGAAAGGCGTATAGGATCATTTGAATTGATCACCAAAGCACCCCACTGAATAATTATCAAAACTTAACTTTATTTTAAAGAAATTAAGAATTGTATAGGTGATTTCAAATTGGAAATAAAAAGTATTAGGACAGTTTTCTAAAAAAGAAGAAGCAGAAGAAGAATTTTTAATTCACTCAGATGCAACACCAACACTGTATAATACGCTTTGAACATTTTCTTTGGATTTAGAGTGGTTTTAACCTATAATTGAAAACAAACAAAAGGCATAATAAGCAAATGAATATATGCCTTTAAAGTTATACTCAAAGCTGTAATTTTTTCAGGAAGTCACTAAAAGTGAAAGTCTTTTTTTGTTTTTATTACACCTCTTTGATTCGCAGCATGTCATGATTCACGGGAAGGGCGGACCTATCTACGTCACGCCCTTGAAGGATCAACCACCAAGCAACAGGGGGCTCGGCCTAGCCCACGTTGCCTACAAAGGCAGCAATGAAATCCATTGTGCTACTGACAATACCATGGGTGAGTGCAGATGTCGATTCCATGTGGACAATTTATTTGGTTTTATTTTGTCCATCGGCATCGTTTGCAGACTCTTAAGGCATATATGTTTTTTTTCTGAACTATATCATGTTGTAACTTATCCATAATGCCTCAGTGAACCATGTGACTTGTACAGCGAGACTGTAAATGTATAAAATTACTGTTTAAATTCTAAAAGAAATGTACCGAACAATATTAAAATCCACTTTTCAAAGAAAATACAAACGGTTAGGATGATCAGATAATATGCTAATTTACTGATTAATTTTTGTTCTTAATATAAAGTCAATTTGAGGAGTTTGTGAGTAGAACAACTATTATAATTAATGTACCACCATTTTTTGTTCATAGGTCCTGCCAGATTTACCAGCTTAAACTCTGCATCCAAGCCTGCTCGACATGCTTCGCAAAAAGTACTGGAACTAGCGATGTATTCTGATTACGAGTTGTACTCGAAACATGGGGCTGATACCGGCATGAAAATACTCAGGCTCTACGCAGCGGTAGGTGTGTTTTGAAGTAACAGCACTTTGTTATAAATAAAACTCATACAGGCGTTTAACAGTAAAAGACAAGCTGTTGTTAGCGGGCAAATTCATGTTTACTTTACAATTCATCGTGTGAAAATTTCGAGGTCCGTTTGAAGTTTGCAAAAACGATATCTATTTTGCTCAACGCTGCTGCATATAGAGCAGGTTTGGTCACGAACTAATTAGTTAACCATATATAGTTCGACTAAACTTCCCTCGAGCGAAGGCTAGTTGGACTACTCACTCTTTTTCACGCCTCCACCATGGGCATGCGCAGAGCCTCAATCTGGCAACTTTACACAATAGACATTGCCGGTTCAGTGATTCCCGTGTCGGTTCAGAGCACTGTAACCGGCTAGTTTTATTGTGTAAAGTTGCCAGATCGAGGCTCTGCATGTCCAGTGGCGGAGTGTGAAAAGAGCGAGAGTATGCATGTCGCACGGTTGCATCGCTGGTTACCAACAGCTGCGCACATCAGAATAAAAAGCACAACGGGGATCAAAGACTTTAGACCATCGTTTGACTAGAGGCCTTTGCGCGTTGCTGTAAGCGCCTAGCTAGCTGGGCGAACGTGCGCTAGTCGAATTACCCGCATCCTCGCCAAAAAATGCTCTTAGTAATATGTCTTGAACTCACTCCCTGACGGGCTAAACGTACGGTAGTTTCTTGTATTTGATAATCATGACGAAAGTTGTTTACATAGCAAAGATTCAAAATGTTGCTTGTGTAGTGTTCTGCATGAGATAATTAAAGGACCACTGGCGTATTCAGCTTTTGATGTCAGGTGGGGGCAACGGCACTCGCACATCTGCGCCGAAATGTAAACGTGTTTTTTTCTCTGGACACTTGTCCTCCTTAAAATAAAAAAAGCGGGTGAGGGGCTCGGGGCTGGTACCCATCATCCTAATGGGGGCGCTCCTCAAAACCGAATCGCTAACCATTTTTAGAAGTAGTTACTGAAACAAATATCTTTCACAAAAATCCGCCGGGGTGGCAAAGTGCCCCCCCCCCCGCCCCCGCCCCTCTGGATACGCCACCGTTAAGGACAGATTTGTTTTCTGCATGTCAAGCGGAAGGGGGCTAATGCTCGCAATCGACTATCATTGTCTAGTCGACTGCGAGCATTTAGCCTCCTTCCGCATGATGGCGCTATTTATGTAAACCCCTTCTCTTGATCTGCAACTATAGGTTGCTGGGCTCCTCGAACTGCCATCCCTCTCCAGTGGTAATCTCATGGTGAAACTTACCAGCGGTGGAGTGATCATGATTCTGTGAGTAGACTATGACACGCACTTCTCAGCTTTGGTAAATTACAAATGACAGACACAACTATTCCGCCATGTTTTTTGAGACGGCGTTTTAACGACGTCTTTTTCGAGGTACTTAATCTCAAAATTAAAGAATGTTTGAAATCATTTTGTTTTTCAGATTTAAGCTTGCCTTATATTATTAGAATAATGCTTGGATATACATGTAGGCCTAGGCCTATATCTGTTTATACCCGACATTGGCGTCGTGACAGCGCCCTCATTTTGTTTAAGAATAAGACATTGGTATATGCCTACAAACCCTTCCATTTTAAAAGTAAACCATCCGTTATTTTATAACGTGGACATGAATGATCGCCAGTCATTCATCGTAACACGCAGAGAGTCTCATAGTCGAAAAATATGTTCCGACTCGATCAACATGCTTACTGAGATATCTGACGATTTGCGCTCAGGGAAAAAAACAAACAAGAAAAAGTGTCAAAAGAAAAATGAAAATCCAAGCCATTGTTATAATTATGGTTGATCCATGTCTAAACTGAGATTAGGGTCTGGTGCTCAGATGAACATTCTTGCTAAAGGTTCCGGATCATTATAGCTTATTTCAAACTTTGGACTCCATTTCCATGTAAACCAAATTAGACATTATAACGCATGTACATGAAACAATGACATGAAACGCTCTGTATTTTAACTTCTTACCTAATTAGAATGAGTTGCAGACTTCAACCGATCTTAACGATTCATTGGATAAGTGTGCAGTCCATGCAAAAGCCAACAGGAAAGCTCCCGGTGTGCAGTTCCACTTTGACAACGCTGCTTACATATCAGGGTCAGTCACAGATCCATGCTTAACAGAAACTCCTTAAAAACAAGCAAGCTTTAAGGGAAAAAAGTCTTCGGTTTCTGGAATGGATCGAGCTTGCCCCAAAAGTGGTGCGGCGGCGCGTTTTTTCTCTCTACTTTTAAGTGATATTTCGGCTGATGTTGCAGATGACGCTTCCATCCCCTTAAAACTCTAAAAAGATATCCTTCAGGGTGGAGCTTGAGGTGACCTCAGTAAGGCCATAAGGTCTGATAATTCTGCACCCACTTACGATCTCGACCGACACGAACCATTCTTCAGGAAATGTGGATAGTCACGACAAAACAAAACAGAGAAAACGGTAACGTCAGACCACACAGCGGCAGACATCGGGCATGTACATGTACTGCCAGGCTGGTCATTAGTCTGCTCCCTTACATATTACGCTAATTAAAAAGCGTTTACAGCTAGGTTCATATGCACTACCATCGCTTTTTCTCAGTCTTGCCTCGAGACGCACAATTACAAATTACAACACCGTCTGCAAATGGTGCCCGACTAAACTGCAATATAAATGGGAGCCCAGAGAGGCCACATAAAGCTTATACATGTACTCGATCGTAACCCAATCTAAAACACGTTAAAATTGTGCAGCAGCATGGATTGCAGTCAAATCAGTTAGTTTGGCGGTTTTGAGACATTATCTTACATAGAAAAAAGTTTTAATTTTGCCAACGCGCATGGCTACGGCGATGCACGCGCAGACCAGAAACCGGGACTTTTTTCGGCCTAAACTAAGCTCTTTGGCTTTCCGCTTTCTTTCTCCCATGTGTGAATTTGTGTTTAAAATATAAGACAATTATCGAAAATCTATGCTCTTCTCAGGAAATTTAGAAAAAGGGTATATTTTCAGCCTTATTAAGGAAGCTAAGGAACTTCGGCAACGGTAATCAGGAAATTCAATTATTATAAGATGGAATTTTTGCGTCGGGGTGATATAAATCAAATTAGGTTTTGCCCTTCACCGACGTTTTTAAACAATGTATACTCAGTGTGTTACCTCCCGAATGAAAGTTGGAAAAAACCACTCGGGTGGGACTCGAACCCACGACCTCCTGCTTTCTAGTGCAGATGTCTTACCACTCGACCACCGAGCTAACGGGATCGGTTGGCTGGTTCGAATCTGATGTACATACCAGCGGGTACCGCATAAGCTATTATAAGATGGAAATTCCAAGCATACCCCATTCACCCTTATAATAATAAAAATAGTAAAACAGACTGTTATAAAGCGTTTTAAACGGGTGTCAAGCGCTTTCCAATTATTATTACCCCTCTTCAACGGGCGAACACTCGTGAAACCTTCTCAACTCCCCGGGAGCATACCGGGCCGGTATAGGCAGCGCCATTCGGCGCTCTTGGCCGTAATAAACCCCTCACAGTAACCAACACTATACCTTCACAGGTACCCATCTACTCCTGGGTGGAGAAAGGCAATGAGTGATAGCGCCATGCTGCAAGGGCACACGCACCATAACCCTGGGCAGGACTCGCAAAAATATTACCCCCAAACTATAAATTCAAAGCTCCAATCTACAAATGCACTCGCATTTAGGCGTCACTAGATTCTTGTAACGAGTTTGTGTGTTTGCCCTTGTACTAACAGGTTCGACTTATCCGGAATGTACACGGGCTTAGGATACGTTGGTGTATGTGGAAATGACTACAGCGTATCGATATCCGAGTATTTCGGGCCGGAGGGCAATGCCGCTGTAGTAGCCCATGAGATAGGACACAAGTAAGTAAATGATTGGCCACAATTTGTATGTATTAATAAGGGCCAGTCTAGTGAACGATTTAAAAAATGACCTTACCTCATGTGTGGCATGTCTGACAAGCGTGGCAATGTTGCTTGAAGTGCTTTCCTCGTGGCCTGGGTTCGATTTCCGGCTCACTCCTGTGTCACGAGGGTTTTTTTTCCGGGTTCCTCCGGTTTTCCGCCCTCCGCTATACATGTACATTCAATCTTGATGTGCTTCGCGGGCAGGATCTAGGAATGGGTCCTTTGGTGGCTGCCTAAGGCACCTCTACAGGGTCAGTAAAAAAAAAATAGCGGATCCCAAACACCCCAAAATATAATTTAAAAAAGTATGAGGCACCAAAAACAATAATGACTGGAAAGCCAATTTCATAAGCTACTTGTATGTTAAATGAGAAAAATACTGACATGCTCAATCCATTAAAAAAAATCACCATTTCACCACGCAATGACCAAAATATAACCACGCAAAATATCACCACGCAATGACCCTAAAACCTGTCTCGTCCAAAAAAAAAAAAATTCATCGTGCGTTTTTAATGTTTGGAACAACAAAGAAAATGAAACAGAATACTTGTTTCAACAACGATCAAGAACAGACTATAGTACACAATATCTTTATTAACAACCCTTATAAGCAAACAATATGATTTATAAAATCCACTTTCTTTAAAAGATGGGCCTTCAAAAGGACTTTGTTGAATATTTTAACAATTAAACTGAGGTTTCATTAATGGTGATGTTTGAAGACAATTGTGACGACGATTCTTGAAATCGCATTTTTGGACGAGACAGGTTTTAGGGTCATATGTTTCAATAAAATGGTGATATTCTTTGAACGGATTGAGCAATCAAAGTATCTAAAAGTAGCTCATGAAATTGGCTTTCTAGTCATTATTATTATTGGTTCTACACATATTTGTTTGAATATCAAATATAATTTTGGGGGTTTGGGTTCCGCTTTTTTTTTTTTTTTTTTTTTGCCTCACCCTGTATATGTGCACATATTAGGAATGTTGACCAACATTTGGCAAGCAACCTTCTTGTCCACCTTTGTGGAAAGTATTTATTTCAGAGCATCAGTAATTGATGAATTCTGTTTCTCCCCTTTCCTCCGTACCCACAGTTTGGGATGTCCGCACGACGCTGACCCATGTAGTTATACGGATTACATCATGGCATCGGTTATGGATCCGAGTGCCTCAGAATGGTCGACTTGTAGCAAGAGTTACTACAATACCTTCGTGGGGTAACAACCGAACAATTCCATAATTTTGTTTCCGTACTTTAAAATACGGACATAAAAATGATTTTTTAAGGGTTTCATTAGTGAAGGATAACATTTATTGAAATGCAACTGTTCACGAGAATTTGTAGTTGCTATTTACTAAAACTGTATTGGTTTTTCAGCTTCCTTCAAGTTGAACTTGCCACTGACATACCGCGCAAGCTGTTACTGCTACGTAAAATCGCTAAAGAAAATGCAGTAAAAACGAAATGTAATCAAACTAGTCCTTTGCCCAAAGATATAAGTTCTTTCCATTTTCATCTGTGTATTTCCATCACAAATAAGCACCTGCGTCCAGTTTCCCACTCCAATTTGATCAGTGAATCGTCAACATTGATGTGAAATCATTCGAATGGCCACTGTGTGAAAACATGGAATGAATTTGGGCGCTACTGCCACCCGTATAGGCCTATCTAAAGCACCTTAAATGGTGTTGAACCTTTTTCTCGTAAAGCGTTACAAGACATTTTACGTAATACTTTGTTTCAGGTCCGCAAAGGATGATAACGGTGTAGCCTGCTATGACGACGGTGGCTGGTAAACTGGAGAGGCGTGACGTCATACCAAGCGTTCTTCCGATGCGACCGCTGTTGCGTCACAGTGCAAAATCTTTAAAATTCGTTTACTTTAAGAGTTGTTAGATTATGACAAAAGTGCATGTGCATTATTACTTTTTGTCTGACAGTTTAATGGTGGCAGGTAATTTAATTTAATACGCACTCTTCAATTATCTACAGGCATATTAACATTAGGTATTATAAGCGTATAAGGGTATCGATAAGGGCTTGACTTGTTAACTGTTTTGGTAATAATTCCGCTAATTAATAATTACGAATTATACGATTTACACCTTTATGTAATGATGTTATCATCTTCCGCAACCCAGAACCAGTGGCGTCACTATACGAGGGAGGTGGGAATGGTGGGGGTGCCACGGGGAGCGCTCGATCCCCCCCTCCTCCTCCCCCCCGGTTGCCCGTGCCCCATTAAAATCTTAAATTAAACCACAACAGTAAGTCATTTGTTTCAGCCCCCCCCCCCGTTTGAAAAATCATTTTTATGCATTCTCGGGTTCCCCTCTCTCCCAAGTTTAACTCTAGTGACGCCACTACCTGGGATTTTGGATTTGGTTTTTACTTTTGATTTTCTTTTCATCGAGGGTTTGGATTTTAATGTGTTGAGTTGTGCTCAAGGGGTTTGGTATCAATTTGTGTCAGTACTATTTTGTTGGAAATGTAGCTAGTGAGTTTGGTTCCATTTAGAGGGACACTAAGAGTGCATTGCATTTTAAAAGGAACGCCTTGCGGTAAGAATACAATTTGCCAAAAATACAGATTCACACAAAGTTCATGTCATTTGATAGCTGTTCGTTTTGACCATGCCACAGGCTGGAGACGGAACTTGATATCCCCCTATGCCAGATTTTGATGTAACTTATTGATGGTGGAATCATCTTTCTACCCCCGCAGCTTTGTTTAGGCAGAAGTGGAATACTTTAACTAACTACTATCCTTCTGAGCAAGAGAACAAAATAAATCAACACCGACGTTTCACATCGCAATTTACTTGTCAACTTGGTGTGCGCTTTAATTCAGTTTCAAACTAGTCTCGATATCTGGTTGGAATAGGCACTTGCAGAATTAAAAAAACAAGGCATATTTTCCAATATAAAACAAAAATGCACAGAGGCGTTACCAGCTTGGGTGGGGCGTGGGGCGGTACAGTAAGTTTTTTGTTAAAAGAAGAGTGCCCTTTTTCACAAGTGCCCTTTTTTTCACGTGTTTTATTTTTTAAAGAGTGCCCTTTTTTATGTCATGCGAACTTTGAAAATTGACCTTTTTACTGATACAATTATAGTTATGCACGCACGCGCATAAATGGGCCTGGTGGCAAAAAGCGTTCGGATCATTTTCTGTTAATTTGTCCAGGGTGTGTCGCTTTTTTTTTAGAAATGTCCCTTTAATCGCCATGGACGTCATCAGTTGATGTTTTATTCATTTTTAAAATTTAAATAATTGTTTCTGATCGCAAAATATTACATGAAATGCAATCAGATTGACTTCAAAAGACCCTAAGGTAAAGTTGGTCCTTAACAAGTTTCGTCATGATGAAGTCATCCTGGGCATGTGACGTAATCTTAAGGCTACATATTTTAAAGTTTGATATCTATAGTTCTAGAGAGCCAAATGGGTTAATATACAGTTACGTATGTGTTATGTATGACAAATTAATCTGACGTCAGGATGACGTCAACGTGTATTTTATATATTGAGATTAATTTGTACTAAGTTCAAAGTTTTCATTATTTTTTATTGCCAATTCCGCCATTATCCTAAAGCCGATCAACTACAAACTTCAAAACAACTTCAAATCAACCAAACCACAGCCCAATATTAAGCAAGGTTTCCTGAAAAAAAATGAGAAATTTCAGAGTCTACAATTTTATTATAGACAAACTTACCCAAATTTCAGGTTTTTACTAACAACAACAGATAGACCGAGATATTAGCATGGCACCCTTCCACACAGGGCAAAAATACCCCACAAAGGATAATTGTAAATCACCCCTGTTTCAAAGTTCCAAACACCACGAGTTTTGCTGACAAATCCTGGACAAACGCACAGAAAATGAAGAGGTTTGTAGCCATTCAATGGACAGCTTTCGCCTTTGGCCGCCAGGCCCATTTATGCGCATGCGTGCATAATTATGAATCTATTAGTAAAAAGGCCTAATTGCAGACCAGCCGTCGTGAAATAATGTCCTGATTAATCCCGTAATAAATGAAACGGGACGTCGCAGTCAGTGGCCGTGTCACGCACAGAGCCCCGTTTGACCTCAGTTTCTTGTCCCGAGGTCAAGCACGCATGGCCCAAAAGCGTACGCGAGATTTTACGAGATCTATTCGAGACTACAGAAAAACACGAAAAGTGCCTGGATACATGCACTGTTTGGCCAAGGTGGCTAAATAAGTGAAAAGTTGAAATCGTGTGCTTTATTTTGATACCAAAAATTACTGCTTTTGACAAATATAAAGTGTTGTTACGGCCTGTCAAACAAAATCATATTTTGTATCAACAAAATCGAGGGCCGATAGTATTTAGGTGTTCATTCGATTCTTTAAAAAAGGCCGAAAGAAACGGCAAGGCTCAGTAGATAGAGGAAAGTATACGTTTCATTTTCATGTGAAACACGTGCAGGAGACTTCTAATGTTAGGTCCAAAAAGGATTTCATGATTTGCAATCACAATGTACGCGTGTAAACGAACGTAGGTACGCCGACGTACGTTGGCCTGAAAACATTGTGAATAGCACGTGCTAACGCAACCTCGACCCCAGTGCTTACTTTATTTCCAACCTCGTTTCCAATAGTAAGCCCTGGATAGGAAACTTTCTTCCTATATCCTGATTCGATACCGCAATTGGCTAGAAATGGATTTATATCGTGTACTTGGTGTTGTTACTCACAACGTGCAGTACGTGTTTTCGCGATCATTCGTCCACGCCTTCTCGAAAATATTCATGTCCTTTCCCAATTTGTTAATATTAATATAAAAAAGTACTGCGTGTGTTGTCTCGATATAAGATCGTAACAGTTTAATTAAAATAAAATCGTGTTTTCGTAACTTCTGCCATGCTCGCGCTGCGACGAATTGATTCTGTTTTTACCCCAGACACCGCATACAAAAACAAACGCAAATGTAACGCATTGGCAGGCACCAGACTATTCCTCATTTGCATTCGTGTTTAAAAATCTGGCACATGCAAATGATCCAATACCAGGTTGAGAGAGCAGGTAGTGATGGGCGCGTACTGCTCGACACCCTGGGGACGAGGTTGGTGCTGACCTGCTTTTCACCGTGCAATGAATGACTTATGAATATTAAGCAGGCCATACTTGAGCTCGACCAATCAGTGGGCGTATGGGTCACAAGGTCACACCGTGTTTGGGTTCCTCGCTCTATGCTTTACAATGGCGACGATCTTTTCGCGTTGTGAAAAATGGTAGTTGTTGGAAACATTAGGTGAACATCGAATTCTTAAAATATTAATGATATCACGTTCACGAGATTTTTTGTAGATGAAGGTTCACTCTTTCCTTTGATTACCTCAATATTTGGGAGACTTTCGTCGTTCTCGAAAAAACCCGGACATTTCATGACCTAATTTTTAGTCGATTTGGCCGTGAAATAATATTGTCAAATTACATCGAAATCCTTTTTTTGAGGAAAAATTCCTTGATGGATGTATGAAGTAGCGTTAACTACCTAAAACAACTTTGTTTGTTTGGATCGGTTGTGGTTTGCCATGAAAATTGCGAATTTTCTGAAGCCCTTTCCACGGCCATCGTTCGCTGGCCTGGCGTTCCTGTTTGTTGTGTGGACGAGAAAATAGAGCAGCTACGCGTGACACGGCAACTGACTGGTGGATCGTAAACAAAGTCTGGTCTTCTTTGGACAATAGCCCTTTCTACGCTTGGTTGTCAAACTGCCCTTTTGCCAACCACGGGTTGCAAAACTATGGAAGGTCCAAAACTACAGAAATGAAGAAGATTTATTACAGATAACCACAATATTATTTGCGAAAGCGAACGCGAATCACGGTGACGTCGTGGCAAGTATTCGGCGCTGCGAATTCGTAAAAGTTGAACATTATAATAATAATAATAATAATAAAATTCTTATATAGCGCCAAATCCTTCAAATTGACGTTCAAGGCGCTTTACAATCATTAACAAAAAAACCAAAAAAAAACACCAGTCCAAGAGCCAGGGGTCATTTATTTTTTGGAAATGACCAAGTGTTTAGTGGGTATTTTTGGAAAGGTTACACCATGGGGAATTCGAATTGGCTAGTCTTATGGTTTCCTGGCGGTGGACCTGGATACCAGGAGCAGATATAAAGTGACGTCACATAAACAGTGTTTAGGAGATGGAACAGCCGTCGGGTCAGTAATGAACTGTGTACACAGAAAGTATACGTACAACTGACCCAGCGGCTATTGGATGGCGTACTCAACGATGTGCAGCACTGAGAAGATTACAGGCATTATGTTTACGTTTTATTACCTTTTTAAATGATTTAATATCAATAGACGAGCATTTAGCGGAGATGTCTGAGTACTATGAACAGCACATTCGAACATTTGGTTACGCAAATGTAGGTGTTGGTTGCCTTTTTGGACCACGGATAAATCATTATAGACACCAAAATTGCTCAACTGTGAGACACACTTAATTTGGTAATTTAACTTTCAACCTACAAACAAACACAAAAATGTCAAAAGTTTATTTGGCGACCATTGACCAAATTGGGTTGGCTTTCACTTCTGAATCTTGTACACGCGGACTCATTGAACTTGCTTGAGGAATCGAGTTCTATGGAACTTGTTGGCCGTCTCTTTCACCTCCAAGACGGTCTTCAATGCTACTTTAGAGGACCTGGTAAGTCACTGCACAGCCCTCCTCACCAGCTGATGGCAAAACTAGTGCCCGCTGAGCCTTCAACAAAGGTGCTGGTCGCATGGAGGGATGGGGTGCTGAAACATATCATGAATGTAGATGATCGAGAGACCAAAAACCTCCCTCGCGGAAGGGATGTCTTCATCTAGGAACAGAGCTGGTTGATATTCTGGCACTACACCGAGAATATCCTGCTTTTATGTTATTTGTGTGGCTCTGGAGTCGCAGCTGCTTCAATCGCTTGGGTAGGAGAGGTCATCTTTACTGCCCTTGGCCCTCATTTGACATTGACTCAGAGTTGCTGGCGCACTCGAGGTCTGGGGCAAGATGCGAAGTTACCATACGTACGAAAGTCCAAATCCTGTCGATGCTTAAGTTCAATCATGGTGGCTGTATAGGGTTTTGTTGAACATCCTAACAAATCCATCCCATGTGGGTTATACATGTATGGAATGTTTCTTGTTTTGCCCTAAATTATTCCTAAAATATTACATACTTAAAGGGAATGTACAACATTTGCTTTTGCTGCAATTTTCAGAAAAAAAATGGATTGGGAGGATTAGTAGTTATAGCAATGTTAAACTGACTTGTTTCACGTTTTGGGCTTGTTTATGCTGGAAAAACAAAAAAAAACAACCCAATCATTTTCTTGTAGACTAGTTCCCCGATCCCACTTAAGATGAAACGGAGAAACGTAAAGACTTTGGGGAATTCGGGCGATTCACAATGCAGTGCGCCACACCAAGAGTTTGCCGCGGAGAGTCCATTTTTCAAGTTTACGGTCGACAAAACACGGCCCATTTAAATGCGTGTCAGTAGACACGGCCGACCAGCCTTGAAAAAAATTCTCTTGAAAATGTCAGCACACCAGGAGCCACGATTTTACAGGATGCTTTAGACTGTCCATCTCTAACAATTCAGTAAGGTATTTCGTGATAACTTGGTCATTTTGTTTTTTGATGTTTGCCAATGTTGTATCTTCCCTTTAAATGGAGCGAATGTTCAACTGAGCTCAAGGTGGCCTCATTTTGTATCCAAGGGCGGATCCGGGGATCCAAAATAATTTGGTTAATGTGTTCACAAAATTATTGTCTCAGATCGCACCACAGAACATCTAGAATCCAAAAAAACTTGGGTTAGCCCCGAACCCCATTCCGTAATTTTTGGACCCCTTTTTTGGTTGACCAAAATTATTGTGCCCCCCCCCCCCAAAAAAATGTGTTCTGTATTCGCCCTTGTTTGTATGAAAGCGTACCACAAGTTGAAATCGGAACCAAAACACAGAACAGATGATTATTACTTCGGAGAAGCATACGTGGTATGTTGTTTACTCATGTCGTGGGTCCTTTGCTGAGGACCTTTTGTTTTGCTTCCCTGACAAATTACCATGCAGGTTTAGGATTATATAGCAAACCTAGTGCCATTATTGAAATAATTCTATTTGACTCAGCTCGTGTAGATTTGTGTCAATTATTAAAGTTCAGGTTCTGAACAGTTTTGCTAAGGATTATGCGGCAGCCGCTGCTAGACAACATACAAAATGAAATTATCCTGATCATATAATGATCCTGGAGGTGAGATGGGTGCATACCTATGTTCCCCAATACCGATGTTCCCCAATACCGATGTTTCCCGAAATCCTTCCTCTTACCCTAACCCTAATCCTAACCCTAAGGGTGCAGTGAACTAATTCAAGTGAGAATTTGTACGCGAGCTGATTAGCATAAAAAGTGACCCCACAGTTTCTTTTGAAAACGGAGACCGTTTGGCTTTAAAAACGGTGGAATTGTGTAAATGTAGCCAAGGATCAACTCCCTGGTTTTTGGGCTTCCATCTGAGGGCAGACTTGATAAAACTACGGTTGAAAAATGGGTCCTATCGTTTGCCTGAGAAAGTGGAAGGATGCCACTTGTAAAACGGCTACATGCAGGCTTGGGAACTATCACTTTTCGGGAGTTGATTTTGTTTTGGTGTGAATATTTAAAAATGTAATCAGCTAGTCTACCCAAAATTGAAAAGAAATGAAAAGATGAAGTACTAGACAATAATTTAATTTTTGTTTGAGAAACCCCAGTGATGTCGGCTTGCATGTTATTTGGCCCTGAACTTTGTTGATTTTACACTGTTTTCAATGGAGCTTGAATTGGTTCAGTGCACCCCTAACCCCAACCCTAATTCGGGGAACATCAGTATTGGGGAACATAGGTTGTGCAAAAGCGTCTCCGTCACCAGAGCGCACAACATGTACAGCGCCCTGTTGTGATTTACTGTTATAATCGTCCAATCCTTATTCAATCACGTTATTTACCGTTAATTCTTGCTCCGTAAAATCCTTGTTTATGACTCCTAATCATCATTTGCCTTTATTATCCAATTACCAGGTTTATCATAAATACCCCCTGTGCGTGAATTACAGAAAGTGAGTACAATTTTGGTTGATTAAGATATGATACTTGGGGGGATTTACTTCATGTTTATTGTCAATTTTGGGTTGCAATTTACGCTGTACTAACGCATATGGGAATTTACATGTCATGCCGTACGCGTGTTTATACACATGTCTGTGGGCACTTTACTGGGAATATTGAGGGTTTCATAGTATTTAGGGTCTTTCCATGAATATAGCTGCTATTAAACCAATGTTTGAGGTTGTTAATACGTATTTGGGGCCATTTTCCTCCATATTTGTGGTCATGTAAGACATGTTATGTACATGTACATGTTATGTACATGTACATGTTATGTACATCTACATGTTTTTGTCAGCCTAATTATGGGCACACTAGACCCGTGAACGTGGCTACGTTCACGGGTCTATGGGCACACATGTGTTTACATGTATATTGTTAATGTTTATTGTATGATTAGGGTTCCCCAGGCCTGTGCACATGGTAACTATAAGTACCCCTTTATGTTTATTCTTCCCTTTAGAACCACAAATCTCTAAAATTAATATCAACTGCGAAAGAATGAATGTAATATAATTTAAGGGATTAACTGCAGTGTAAAGCCATGTACAAGTGCACGGTGTATGCGAATGCGAAGCGAATTCAACGTCATGAGACATTCGCCAGAATATACAGGCCCTATACCATCTTGCCAGTTCCTAATGTTCTTGGGTTTTTTTGCGAATTTATAGGCCAAGGGTCACAAGGGGCAGCAGCGGTCATTTTGCTGTATTTCCTTTATACTTCCCCAATTCTATAAACTGACTTGGGTCAAATTTTGTTCAGATAAAGCAGTGTTTACTGTCAGATCTGCACTATTTGCACACACAGGTCAATGTTCACAGTCCACCTATACTTTACATCAAATTTCTTGGCAATGCCAGATCCAACACTCCGAGGCGGAAATTCACAGGAGGCCCAACAAAGGTAATCCTTACTTTAAGGACACCTCTATTTTGTACGAGTTCTGTTCAAAACTGACTTTTGCAGATGCCTGTCCAGTACCAAAGTGACTTTTGCAGGCTAGAGCAGTCTTTTTACTTCAGATAGGCCTAAACTCATGTTAGTTGTAATTTTAAAAGCACTTTCAAAGAAATGTGACTTTCCTACCTTTTTTTGCAGTTCGCCATCTTGCTTTTTAATATATTTTCTGTTTGTCATTGCCATCTTTTTTTACCCCTCATAAATCAAAGCCCTGCCCTCTTTCTACAAAATTAAACCTGCTGATATTCATCAAGAGGTGTCATTGCCAACTGTTCAAATGTGCCAAGAAATATCAGAATGTCACTTTAGAGGGTCATTTAGACAGCTGTTTTGGTGAGTCTTTTAACGTTATAAAAATTACAGGAAAGGGGTCCTAAAGGTAAGGATTACCCCAACAGGAAAGTGACTCACCTATGGGCAAAATTATGTATGGTTATATGTAGCGGATCAAAAGATAAAATGCTGTCGCTTGTATTTACCCGACGGAGGCGCGTGGCGTTGTATACAACGCCACGTTCACGGGTCTAGAACGGACTCACCGCAAACCATAGCCGCCGCAAAGTCGTTCATAGCGCGCGGGCTGTGCATGCCATCTTGGACAGTGGCGTAGCCACCGGGGGGGGGGGGGGGGGGGGGGGGGGGGGGGGGGGGGGGGGGGGGGGGGGGGGGCGTTGGGGGGGGGGCGTTGGGGGGGGGGCGTTGGGGGGGCGTTGGGGGGGGGCGTTGGGGGGGCGTTGGGGGGGGGGCGTTGGGGGGACGCCCCCCATGAAACCTTGTCGCCCCCCCCCCCCCCAGTCGCCCCCACTGAGATTTGGAGTTTCAAAAAAAATTATCATTCATCTAAATCTAAATAGTCGCGAATGATCCACATGATGATCACTGAGAAACGACCCTTCGACCGGCGACCGCGGACAGTAAGCTGACAACCGGCGTGACATAGCGCATGATGATAATCTAAAATGCGTATTAACACCCACTGCACTGCTCGCTCACACCACGGAACACGTATTATAGACAGGTGGTCCGTGAGTCACACAGTTTCAGTCAGCGATATCACGCGAATCGGCCACGCACAAACTTTTTCCTCCATTCATATAAGCTAAATAGTAATAATAGACCAATTAAAATTCCTTGAAATTAGTGGCGTAGCCCGGGGGGGGGGACGACAGGCCCCCCCCCCCATGAAACCTTGTCGCCCCCCCCCCAGTCGCCCCCCCCCCCCCCCCCCCCCCCACTGAGATTTTGAGTTTCTAAAAAAATTATCATTGATCTACATGACGCCATGGGCGTCAATCCAGGGGGGAACAGGGGGACTGGTCCCCCCCCCCCACTTTTTGAAGGGTGGGGGACACAATATCAAATGTCCCCCCCCCCCAGATTTTTGAACTCGTGTCTCATTTACAGGGCCCTATTATGTACTACAATGTACCTTTTGCTTAGAAAATATTGGTTAAAGTGGTCAGAACTTGCCTCAGATAGCACCACAGAGCATTTAGAATTCAAAATTTTTCGGGGCCTTAAGCGGGCCCCGAACCCACGCCTATAGCTCAGAATACCGATGGCTGATCCAATGACTCCAACCTCGAAAACGATGTTCAAATAATTATCTTTTGCTAAGGAAATATTAGTTAAAGCATGGAGGAAAGTGGTAAGAAATTGCTTCAAATCACACCACAGAACATCTAGAATCCAATTTTTTTCGGGGCCCTTAAGCGGGCCCCGAACCCCCACGCCGTAAGGGCTTCGCGCTCGCATCAGTTCTGATCAGGGTATGTTCCCCCCCCCCCACTTTTGAGAAGCGATTGACGCCCCTGCTTGACGCCCCCCCATGAAATGTTCAGCCCCCCAGCGCCCCCCCACTGAAAAATTCCTGGCTACGCCACTGTCCACAGGCTATTCCAGCTCATTAAATATGCAAGGCGAGGTCACGCACGGGAATTTATGATACGTTGCAAAGAAAAGGAAGCACTTTCGCGTGCACTGCGGACTGGCTGTTCAACAACATTATGATTATTGTTGTAGGTGGAGCTCGATAGTTCATTGCTGCAGTAATGGCGCCTACGGTACAGGACCACGGATGGGCTTGGATGGTACTGTTAGGTGCACACATCGGTCTAGTGCTCACCTCAGGGTTTTTGCAATCACTCGGCGTTTTCTACATCGAATGGAAGGAGTTCTTCGATTTGACTGCTACGGATGCAAGTTGGCTTGTCAGCGTGCCCTTTTTGGTCGCCAGTCCATTGTGTAAGTTTCATCGGAAAATTTCATGTTTTGATTCTTATTTTCAAACATCTAATTAAACCATAATGAGTTATCGTTCCTGAGAAAGGATGAAAAAAAAACACGGCTCTCATCGGTTGCACGACGGTGTACGCATACGTTTTTCCTGTCGAACGCCAATGTGGTTTCTCATACGTCTGCAAAAGGCGAGCACTTTACTTAACTATATAGCTTGGTTTGTTGTCTTTTGGGGGTGGGGTTGCAAATGGGGAACCCTGAAATTCGTTCTTGCACGAAATAACACAAAACGCCCACATTTAAACGATGGTTGTGTTATACAATGCTCTTTCCGATAAACATCATTCGAGAAGCATTGCTCAATCGGGCACTGTCCATGCCGTAGTGTCCCTTTAAAAACCAACGTTTTTGTTATGGCTATAATGACGCTTTTTAAACCACTGAATCCATTCGTTATTGTACGCGCATCTATATGTAGACTTAAAAATATAGAGCCTAATCGATAAATTAGCCTTCATGGATTAAGCGCCTTCTGATTGGACGAGTGTAATGTATACAGTAGAATGTCACAGGTGCATGTGTACTAGCATTCGCTCTGGCTGACGCCAAAACCTTCCATTTCTACGATCACCGCGCACAGATATATATTTTACTTAGGTGATTCTGGTGGTAGTGTAGAATAGTGCCATTGGTATTGTATCGAATAACAAAAGGAATATAGGTGCACGGAGATAATTAATTGCGTATCATCATGAAACGACGACCAGTCTCCGTACATACGCATGGATTATTAGCTATCTTGGACCTTCGATTTATCAAAAAATATGCCTCACACCACGGCCTACGGTGGCCCCTTTCGAGAAATATCGATCTGTTCCGGCTAACCCCTACGGAGTGATCAATAATTACTTCCGGCCACTTAAAGTCATATTGTCCGACAGATTATACACTCCCCACACTAGAGCGCACGTGCGTCAACAGTCCATTGTCCACAGGATTATCTGGGATCAATGCTCACCTCCGGCCACCTACGTCAACAGTCTATTGTCCGAGAGGATTACTGCCGGCCACAGCTGGTCGTGTTCGGATTGCGTAAATCGCATGTAATACACGTGTAAATACATAACTACATGTATACTGTATTGTTAGGGCTAAGGTCAAATTGTACTATGAATTTTTATATTTCCCCCCCATACATACATGTATATGCAATCTTTCCCATAGAATAGGTCAAACTGTGCTCGGTTCCTTACCCACACCTATTTCCTATTCATCTTATCCATTCAATTAGGGGTCAAACTGTGCCAGAATTTCCTAACCCCATTAATTCATATTTATATCTGTATCTACATATTTACATATTTATGTGACCTTTACATATTTTATGCCCAAGGTCAAACTGTACCAGACAGTCCCCCTACACTACTTACCAGGTGCAGTTTATTCATCGTAATTCTCGAATAAACAGCCCACCGAGTGTTGTTTAAACAAGAGATAAGAGTTACAGAATTCGTTGGCTTTAAATAAGTGGCAGACGCGAGGGCTTCCTTGCTCTATGGTGAGAGACTGCGGATATTTTTTGGCAAAAAAAAATGTTTTCTTTTTAAAACTTTAAGGATTAATATTTAGTGCAAGGAGTGAAGTATACATATTTAGACTTCTTCTCAAGTTACTAGTACAAAAGGGTAAAATGTTGAAATGTCGAATATCCGAGTGTTGTAAATTCGAGCCGGGAGGATTACGGTTGCGCCGAGAGGGATTGAGACCATTATACGGCCGACAAAGAAAAGAAAATTCCCATAAGGCCTATGTCTGCAAAATTTCACTAAATCGATAGATGGGTAAAGCATAGAGAAAAGACATCCAAACTTTCTATTATAAGCGAAATAATTGCGAATAATTCGGTATCAAAACAGTCTCAGCCCAACTCATTTTACATCGAGGTTTACATCCAGGCACTTGAACACCCATTTTTCATCGCGGATAGAACAGATTTCCGGCTTTGGAATGAATTTGGTCCGTCGTTAATGACAGCAATTTTAATTTGTTTTTAAATCATTTTACGAAAGGGGGAATGATAAAAATGTATAAGCGCCTTGAAAAAAATCGGTGCATTGGTAAACCCAGCCCAATACATTTTATGATGAGACGGATATTCGGTTTTTTCAACATTCACTGCCATTGGGTGGAACGAAAACCAGTAATTCAGTCAGACGATTTTGTTCCATCGCTAATTTCAGAAATGTCCAGATTCGATAGATGGGTTAAGGCACATCTAAAGTTTAATTTATTAGCGCCCCAAATAATTCGGTATCGAAACAGTCTCAGTCCAACTAATTTCATATTGAGGTTAAAATCCAGGCAAAACATTTTTTTACATACATCGTTCATCAGAATTACGGATTCCAGCTTTGAAATGAATGTGTTCCATCTTTAATGAGACAATTTCGGTGTTTTTTTTGTTAAATCATCTTACGAAAGGGGAATGAAATAGAATCCTGCCCCGAAAAAATCGACGCACTGGCAAGCCCTTTTGAAATTCCTTCAAATCCACAGTGCAATCGGGTCGGGAAGGGCCACGTTCTCAGGCCGAGGGCCCAGAGATGAGAGTGCCCGGCCCGTGTTGACAGGCGCGGTCCGCTGATCAGAGTGCACGTACGTGCCGTTCGTTGCGCCCCGCACACCGCCGAGGTCTGATGAGGCAGCCGCGGCCGATAACGGGTTCAGCTATTGTTTTGGACGGGAAAATATTGCAAAAATAGCAAACGGACTGGGGTTTGTACCCGAACACAGTGCTCGCCCAAAACGCACCCATTTTGCCGATAAGCACAGAGCCCCTTGCTAATGATATAAACAATCATAATGATGACATTTTTCAGACATATTAACTTTTTTGTGGTTGTAGTCAGTATCGGCCGTATTATATCATGGCCTTATAATCCCTCTCAGTGCCGCTCCCGGCTCAAATTTACAACAGTCGATCGTATATTCGACATTTTGTACTACAAAAAAGAGTGCAACTTGAGAATAAGTAGCTAAATTGATACTTCACTAAACTTGCACTGAATATTAATATTGTCAAGTTTTAAAAAAATATATCTATCTTCGGCCCAAATGTCACACAACTTCCATCGTGTGCCACATAAGCCAATGAATTACGTAACTCCGTTTGTCGCCTATCAGCTTGTGCTAACAAATTATCATGACCTGGATCATTAAACGGGACAGGTGGACATCGGCCTTGGAGCTCAGACCATCATGTCATGCACTCCTCAATGCATAGATGATGCACATAACACTATGGGTAGTACAGACACAGCTGGGGGTACTGCCCAAACAATGATGAACGCATTGCGTATGCTTAAAGAATTACCCACAATTCCGGTTTTTACCGTTTAGGTCTGGCTCTAATCACTTACGCGATCCCCTGACGTCTCATACACTGACTTTAGGCAAAATAGTCAGACTTTCGCGGTCTAGTAACCAGACTGTGACTCTTAACGAAACATCGAATGAAAAGTGAAACATCAAATGCATATTGCAAAAGATCGAATGCAAACATACCGATGAAACATTGAATACAAATAGCTCGAAATGTCGAACATATTTGTAAAACATTGCTCACATATTGAGAATATCGCAAATATATTGGAAAACATCACACACAATTGTATCGAAAAACATCGCACATTTAATGCAAAACATCGAACATAATATTAGAAACATCGCACATATATATCGTCAAACATCGCACATATAAATTGAAAATCGCATATAAATGTAAAACATCGCATACATTGAACATCGCACATATATTGTAAAACATCGCACACATATATTAAACATCGCACACATAATAAAAAACATCGCACACTTATGTTGAACATCGCACATAAATGTAAAAGATAACAAACACATATTGAACATCCAACAAAAGCATTGAATATTGCAACGTTTGACACGCCATAGATACCAGGGGTTAATCTGGGGTGAATGGTGGACTTTGAGGGCCGGGTAGCTCAAATTACATTGTGTCATGGATTGATTCCCAGCAGGCGTCTGATATTATACTGCCAAAATTTAGCACGCGAAGTGTTTTAACATGTCAGAGATTTCCAGGAGTTCTTTGGTGATGTTGTGCGCTTTCTTGAAAATCACGCAATCTGAAGAATTCGCGCGCATTCTTAAGAATGAGCGCGCAGTCTTAAGAATGAGCGCGCATTCTTAAGAATGTGCACGCGTTCTTAAGAATGAGCGCTCTTTCTTTAGAATGAGCGCGCAGTCTTAAGAATGAGCGCGCATTCTTAAGAATGTGCACGCGTTCTTAAGAATGAGCGCTCTTTCTTAAGATTGCGTGGGAATATCACGTGCACAATTTATGAATTTTGCGCAATCTTAACAAACATTGCACGACATAATTATGTTAAATGAAATGTATAGCGGTTAAAAGGGAAACAATTCATATAAAGAGGAAAGAAAATTCTCTATGCTTCTGTACTCGTATGACTACGATAATTTGAATCAAATTAAACATTATTGTTTTTTTCTGTCCACTATGGGAAGTTTTGTAATAACGGAGGACTGGGAACTAGTCTGGGAAGTGCTTTGTTTAGACTAGACAAGTCCCTGTATGTATCATATGCATGCCACGAAAAAAAAACGATGTCCAGAAGCTGCCAAATTTGCTCTTTTGACTAGATAGAATCCAGCTCTGCGGCGTAATGGTGGGGGTGTGAACAATAAATTGGTGGCAATTTAAATGGGAAATAGCATTAGCGCTATGGGATGTCATAGTATTCATTCTCATTCTTCACATTCTTCATTCTTACCTCCCCCCCCCGCTTTTATTATCCCAAAAATCAGAATTCTTTCCAATACACTATTATTATGTCTCTTATTTTTTCCCCGGTCCCCCCCCCCCAATACGCGTATACTTTTCATATCAACTCTACTTTTTAGCGCCTTGCGTTGCAACCGTATAATGATTAAGAATCAGTGAACGAGGATGCAGCTAGACTTGCCAAGCGCAGCAGGTGCTCGGCAACCTCGTGCCCCGTGGGTACGATCTTGCAGCGCCATGTTGTTTCCCATCATGCCCTGCGCGATCGTAACGAGCACGCGCCCCTGGAGTCGAGGCTGGGTGCTCGGTATCGACAAGACCGTTATCTTGTCGCGCATTCTTAAGAATGTGCGCTCAATCTGGAAGAGTAATTTTTTACGAAGATTGCGCAAGGATCCAGTTGCACAATCATAAGAATGCGCATTCTTAAGAATGCGTGATTTTCAAGAAAGCGCACAACAGTGATATCCACGACACTGCATTTTCGGTGAAGGAATGAGTTTAGATCCTTTAATGTAGGCTCATTATCTGCAACAGAAAAATGAGACACCAACTTAACCAAAACGTTTGAGCACTTTCTTGTAGTTTTAACATGAGGTGTTTCGAAGTGACGCTGTACCTATTGATAAAGCATAGTCCTACACTTGGGTACAGAGCGAAAAATCAAATAATGGCCAAAAATGATTCATAGCTGGTACAATGTATTATTCCTTTTTTTTAAACTGACCTTTATGGTGCAGGTTTTTTCACTGGCATTCTAGCAACTCGTGTCGGTATACGCCATGTAGCCATAGTTGGGGCTGCAATTACCGGACTTTCAACTGTACTTGGGTCAATCGCCTCCAATATCACACAGCTGTACATCTTCAATGGACTGACCGGTGAGTAGGGCCTAGTTGTCAAATCGAAATCGTGGTTCATTCTAAGAGCTATATTGTAATTTCATAGCAAATGGTTCATGGCCGCTGGATCGTCTTGATATAACTCGAAGTCTGGTGTAACAACTTTGTGAATGTTCCCTGAATATGACTTTGTTTTTCTTTTTGGACAACTGTAAGATAAGCCATAACTCCCATGATTCTCCTTCGTTCCAAGCTCATTTCAGCATGTACAACGTTTTGGGGAGCAAGAACCATCACCTTTTGTAAGATTCAGATGAAGGCTCCAGTTTTCTTAGATTTAACGTGTTGGTCGAAAGGTTTATCGGCCGCTCCTTTTGCATTATGTCCTTCACATCTGAAAAAACGCCGATCAGGATGGTTCTGCTCCATTATAGTTTGTAATTATGGATACAACAAAAGGTTGCTATTTTTTTGGTGGGTAAATTTGCGTAAATACAAACTTGTCTTCTCAATCCAAATAGCCCACCCTTTTTTGTGTCCTCACAATATGCCGTATTTTTCATTGAAGTCAATTGGGAGCAGTTAATTATTTCGATGATACTATAGTAAATTAGAAAATTAGATTAACTTTTGGATGACAATGATCACCCAATTTTAGATTAACGTTTGGATGACAATGATCACCCAATTAAGCTAGTAGATCTTTAAACCTGAAATTATTTCGATGTTTAGGTGTCGGGTTGGTGATGACTGTTTCCCCGGGCACAATAATGATCTCTCGGTACTTCAAGGAACGCTACACATTCGCCACAGGAGTTGTTTTACTTGGAGTGAATGTGGGACAAATGGTCTTCCCGCGCTTAATTCGTCTCCTGGTTGTGAACTACGGATGGCGAGGCGCCATGTTTATCATTGGCGCTTTGCAGATGAACGGGGTTGCTGCTTGCGCCCTCTTCCGGCCGCTCAAGTCCAATCTCAGTCATCCAACCCCACAGCATGAGCAACAGGACCGTGATAGTGACCGAACTAGACGAGACAAAATGAACGCACTATCAAGAAGATACCTTCGCGTTTTCTCCAACATCAACGTAATGTTGATTCTGTTGGCAAATTATGTTTACACGATTGGTTTAATGACAAACATTATTCATCTACCGGCGCGCACCAAGGAGGCAGGTTGGTCACGTGACCGAAGTGCCATGTTGCTCTTCGCCTTCGGTCTGGTATCACTCATCACACGATCCACACACGGCTGGTTTGTGGACAGGAACTACATCAGACCCTTCAAACTCCACTTAGTGACTGTTCTTGGGATGACTGTCACTGCCTTCTTAAATCCTGTCTCGGACGGCTACGGCTTCTTAGTCGCCTACGCAGTCGTTTTGGGAACCTTTGTCGGAATCTCCACACCTCTTTTTATCGTGAACACGAAGAACGTGGCCAGTCCGTCGGAGCAGCCGGCCGCACTCAGCTTGATTTGGGCGTCAACCTTCCTTTCCGATGGCTTCGGGCCAGTTGTTGCGGGTAAGTACAAGTTTAATTTGTGACCGCCGACTATATTTCAGTTGCATCGTGTTGAAAGCGCCCTCTATTGGTGTTTATAGCGCCCTCTACTGAAGGTTTTCTAGAAAACTTTTATATTCATAGCAGCATAAAAAGGTAGTATAGAATCCGTTGCAATAACTCAACTTTTTCAACCTAGTACGGTTGGCCAACAATGTCGCATGAAGGTGTTTGTACAGTGATCCTGGAGTGTCATATCACATTGCGGTATAACTTATCTTTTTGATGATGTAAAATTCTTTTATATGTAGAGACTATCTTATAATTAATCTTTCCGAGATAAATAACAAATCAACAAGTCGACCTGATGTGTCTGATTAAGGTTACTTCGTAATTGTCGCGGTAATAATAGACACCTATAGAGCGCCCTCACTAATGACAGAACTTCGCTCTGATACGCATGAGCAGACACTTTATAAGCTCTACTGTCACTGAATATAAGACTAAGTTCGTGCAAGGACTGTAGTTGACCAATGGGTTAACCATAGTCCGACTAACGGTTGCCCGAACTCTGTCTAGTCGACGGTGGTTGACTACGCTAGTCGACTATTTGGAACCAATCTACTGGGGCTGGTTGCATCGCTGGTAACCAATAGCAGCGCGCATTCATAACGCTAGCAGAGAGCCAGGATCCAGAAGTTGTGCGATGACATTTTGACCAGCGTTTGACTAGAGACGTTCGCACGTTGCTATCAGTGCACAGGCGTAAGGTACGTCACAAATCAACCACTAGTCGACCAGTGGTCCTTGCCCGAACTTGGCCCAAAATAACAAAATTCGTCTTTCGTGAGGGCGCTCTGCACAAGGGGTCCAAACATTCGGATGTTTTGTGTTTCGTTTGTAATTCAGGCAAGATTTACGACGCCACTGGGAGTTACGTCGCGCCGTTCTTGACCGGGGGCGCCCTTTGCCTGCTGTCATTCCTGCTGTTATGCGTGGTAGTCAGACTCGTGGGAATTCAGAAACAAGATAAACTCCAAAAGCCCGGGTTTCCAGATCGCATCGTCGTAACCAACGCCGACAGCACGGAAGATGTCGAGACGCAGCCTCTCGGTGCAGAAACAGTCTGTGACGTCATTCAACCAAGTTAATAGCGCATATATATATTACGTCCCAGCAAACACATAATGCTGTGATAACATTTGTGTAAAGTCGTACCGATGTTATATCTATAACATTCGAAAATAACATTTTAATGACTATATAGAAACATCTTGACATATACACAAACATTTTAATAACGTGATTTAAATGCCTCAAATTTGACGTTTAATCATGTATTTTAAAGCGATAATGCTGTGATAACATTTTTGTAAAGTCGTACCGATGTTATATCTATGACATTCGAAAATAACATTTTAATGACTATATAGAAACATCATGAGTTTTGCATGTGCAAGTATGCAAATGAGGAATAGTATGGTGCCTGCATGTGCGTTACATTAGCGTTTCTTTTTGTATGCGGGGTCTGGGGTAAAAACAGAGTCAATTCGTCGCAGCGCGAGCATGGCGTGAGTTATGAAAACACGATTTATTTCATTAAACTGTTACGATCTTATCGAGACAACATGCAGTATCACATTTCATATTAATGTGACCAAATTGGAAAGGAAATTAGTATTTTCGAGAAGGCGTGGACGAATGATCGCAAAAACTCGCACTGCACGTTGTGAATAACACCACCAAGTACACGATATAAATCCATTTCTAGCCAATTGCGGTATAAAATCAGGACACAGGAAGCAAGTTTCCTTTTCAGGGCTTACTATTGGAAACGAGGTTGGAAATAAAGTAAGTACTGGGGACGAGGTTGAATTAGGAGCATCTCGCTCGAACTTCAAAAGTTGAAATGAATTAATTGATTACTTGTCGTGGGCCGATTTTTTTGTTCGATGTCTCATTGGAAAGCTCATAACTAATGGTTGGTTGGTTGGTTGGCCGCATAAGATCCAATGGGGATCATGCTACCGCTCCTTGGGCTGACTGTTTCCGGTGCGCCCGTCCTTCCTTGCGCCACTTCTTCTCCGCCGCATCTGCTCCCTCATGGACTGCTTTCCGCCACGCTCCCCCATGGGCGTCGCCAGGATTTTTTCTAGAGGGGGGCAAAAAAAAATTTGGCCAAAAAATGCTTGTATTTCTCAACAAATTTTCGATTTATCAGTGTTAGGGGGGGGGGCAGGGACATTTTGCCTCCCCCAACTCATTAAATTTACACCACTTTGCTTCGCGCCTCTCTTTTTTGTTTTTTGTTTTTTTTTTGTTTTTTTTTGGCTTTTCCAGGGGGGGGGGGGGCAAGTGCCCCCCTTGCCCCCCCCCCCCCCCCCCCCCTCGCGACGCCCATGCGCTCCCCTCACAGCACATAACTCCTCCACTCCGCGTTCCTTGATCTGGCAGTGTCGTAGGTCGTCCCGTACGCGGTCTTGGAAACGGAGTAGAGGTCTTCCACGAACTCGGGCTCCAGTGCTGAAAAGAGTTCTCTTGGGAAGACGGTCTTGCGGCATCCTACAGACATGTCCAAACCATCTGAGCCGGCGCTCTGTGAGGATGGTATGCATGCTTGCACCTTGAGTACGCTGCAGAACCTCTGCGTTTGACACTCGGTCCCACCACTTGACACCTAGAATCCTCCTCAGATTGCGCAGGTGGAAGCTGTTGAGCCTGGTGATCTGGTGATCATAACTAATATAATGTTAGAAAATTATCAATTCAAATTGAAAATCTATTTCTCAAGGCGCCACACCCATAAAGCACGTATACACCCACTTTAAGGAACAAAATTGCTAAAATCTTAAGAAGGGTGCATTACAACTTACTTCTTGTAGTTTTAGCTCAAAAAAGTAATTTTGTAGTAGTTTTTTTTAAACAGAAACGTATAGGCCTAGTCCTTATATGCACATGTTTTTAGGTCTCGTAAATGGATTATGTTGCTAACAGACATAAACCATCTTCAATGGTTTTCTTCCAAATGATACCATTTAAGGCGTTAGAATTTCACAGGGTATGGCAAGGATTTTCTCGTTTAATAATCGGTAGATACGTTTACGGGTAGCTGCACTCATGTTCATATACGTGCTTTAAAGAAAGAACGTGTGATTCGTGATGCGTCGTTTCTGATGTGTTAGAGTACAGGTTTCTGAACACGTAATATTTGCCACTCGCAGTTTCAATGACTTCACACAAATAGCTTAATGACCGCCTCCGACAAAACTCGGCGTACAGATTCCCTATGTGCTCATCAAACGTCAATACGTTTACTAAACAGTTTGATTAAAATGTAACATTGTGCGGAAGAACTAAAATATCCAACGTGGTACACATATTATTGTTTTCCTTAATTGAATTTCCATAGGAAAGTATTTAACAGAACTCGCACATTTCCTTCAGTGCACTCGAGACTCGCATCCAAAATCAAAACTTTTTTTACGCCATCAATACTTTACATTTTACAGTCAACCTATCCATTTTTTTTCCAATCAATTTCTCACTAACCACGATTTATTTCTTTGGCTTTGTGTTAGAAAATGTTGATTGTTTAGTTCTATACAGATAAACTAGCCAGCATGAAAGGGGAACGCCACTCGGGGCTTACCCATCTCCTTTCCGCACCCCCGCTCGCAATTTGGGGATTACAACAATGAATTTTTTATTGAGTGCCCAATTCCAGAAATGGAGGTGCCGTGAGACTGTCCGCTGTAATACTTTTTAAAAACAAACCTGTTTGTGGCTTTCATCGTTTCTAGCGAATTGCCAGTCTTAATAATGATGATTCTTTCACAACTATAGGAGAGTTGGAGGTGACTGTTTCTGTCTTTCAATAAAAAGCCTGCAAAATTTGTTCTGTTTTTGAGTTATTAAATGACAAACGTGGGGTGGCAAATGTAAGCTAGGACGTCATGAAATCACTTTTGTTCAAAGTAAAACCTTAGTGGCACAGATCAGCATTTTTGACTCGGCATTGCACGAACGACGCACAGTTATAGTCCATTTCGCAGAGTGAGTAAAAACGAGTATCACCGGCGTCTCCCCACAAGCCGTCTATCCACATCGATGCCAAATCCCCGTCTCCTGGCCATTGATTCGGCTGACCATCTCTCCAGTGACGGTAGCCAACCCCTGCCGCTTCATCCTCGGCGCATACCCACGTTCCCTCCACAGCTCTGTCGGTGCAGTCGAACCACAAATTCTCGTGAATTGCGGTTGCAACCTGGGCCATGAAGTGGTTCTCCTCATCGGAGCTTGGGACCGCCATGCGAGCGCCGTGGCTACGACACACTGGGTGGATATCTACCCATAGCATTTTTTGGGGTGTTATCATATAGCAGGACTGGTTCCAGGCAATCCATCCAAACGGACAGTGTTGAAAGCTACAGCCGCCGATCTGCTTCAAGATGAAAAACAGCACAAATGTGAAAACAAACAGTCGGTAGATTTCAGCCACAGCGACAGCCATGATGCCCCGTGTTTAGTCAGTCACAACCCAACACTCCTGCCGCAGTTCAAAGTTGTTTGTGCAAATTGGCGGAGTATTTCACTTGTCTTGCCTTTTTAAGCAAGGTCGATAATAGAAGACTCTTGATTGGACGCCTACAAAAAAAGGCTACATTGGTGGAGACTCTTGTTTTGTGAATTCGGTATTTTTCCTCTGTATAGCGCCCACGCTGCAGACCTTTTCTGACCGTGATTAATTTGATGGATGCAGTAATATTATTAACTTCTGTTTAATTAGTGACTTGTGTTTACTAGTGTGTGAGACACCCACAACCTCTAGATGTGGGTATTCACGGTGCGTTTAGCACTAACCGCAAACTAGCAATCAAGTGTTGACCTATTCGAACGCATTTAAATCAATGTGAGATAATTATTGTTCACGCATCACACCCTCTACATAAATATCTTAATATTTATATTAAAAAAAGGTAAAAGGCATCACTGCTTTTACTAAATCGATGTTGACGGACGAATTTGAATATTAGAAATGATATATTCGGTCCTGGATCTACAGTTCATTTGGTCACTGGATAGCATAATGGTCGCATGTAGGCGGATAGCGTTTAGGGCTGCCAGGACCTGCGTTCAAAACCCCTCCGTCAACATTAGCTTCAAGTTTGGCTGAGATATTGGCTAAAAGGCAAATTTCTGGTAAACCGGCACTTTAGAATTTACACATTTACATGCCAAAGACACACATGACACACTTCAGGAATGATACTTGACACTCAAAATATGGGTTTAAACACCTTACTTGTATTGTGTAGTTATGAGCAATATTGCCAAAAACATTATTTTCCCGTAATGGCGGCACTAATTTGCTTTAATACTCCTATAGCACAGACACATGTGGTCACTTACACAATAGTATATTGTGATCTTTGACCCTGAAAACATGGGTTTAGACACCTTACTTGTTCAGATATCAGCAATATTGGCTGAGATATAGTGAAAAATTGATTTTTCGGCAATGGCGGCACTAATTTGCATAAAAACAATACATGGGACATTTTTGAATTTATTTTTAACATAGCAAATCGTTTTCTAGGCATTTTTTCTGATCGAGAGACGTCCATTAGAAGTTGCTTTCCGAGGATGCACGATAACCCCTTCTTTCCATTCAACTGTATGTGAATTGTTTTCGTTTTGCTGAAAGAACACGTACCTTTTTTGCGATCCGTGGACAGAACTTCAAAACAGTGTTTGTATTTAAAATTCCGTAACTTGAAGAAGTACATGAGTGATTTGAATGATTCTTGTACTAAAAGAAAGCTTATGAATTGTGAAAGTGCTACATAAAAATGCTCCCGACATTCGGGTTTCGTTTTTTTTTCCTCACCCTGTAGTTCTAACTCCAGAAACCAAATGTCATGTACTGGTTCTTTGCAACATCTTCGGAGAACATTTTATCGCGAAACAACATTACTTATTATCGAGGCTGCAGTTAGTTTAAATTTATAGTGCCTGGTGCATTATAGGACGCGAGGTCAGGGGCGGAACCAGAATTGTGTGTGTGTGGGTTTTTTTTGGCGGGGGGTCATCAGCAAATCAATGCTGAAATGTAGACACTTGGTCTCCGTAAAATCAATAGGTTGAGGGAGGGTAAAATCAATAGGTTGAGGGGGGGGGGGGGCTCGTACCATATTTGCAATGCGGGCGTTGTTAAAATCCGACCATCGTTAACACTACATATATTACAGAATAGGCCTAGTGTACAAGTACCCCGTAACCCAGCTGAGGCTGTCCGAAGTTGTGCACAGGCGGACATTACTACCAGTATATTACTACCCCCCCCCCCCAAATAGCTGAAGGGGGGTGAACCCCCCCCCCAAAAAAAAAAAAAACCACCTCTCTCTGAATCCGCGCCTGGAGGTATCCATGACTTGCTGATGCAGGTAGGACTTCGGTTCATTAAGCATCTCTTTTACCGTGAAAAATACGATCGATTGTCCACCTGCGATGACATTTAGCTTCAAATTATATCACGGGCGTCGCCAGACAAAATTGAATAGGGTGGGGTTAGGGTGAGTGTGTCGTGGTGGTGGTGGTGGGCGGGGGAATCACCACACATTTGCTGATTGCCTGATACGGACTTTTTCTCCCTCAGTATAACCATACCGCCGCAAAATGCGGGGGGGGGGGGGGGGGGGGGGTTGACATAATTTGACAATAGCGAACGCTATTTATGGCGCCATATACCTCCTAGCCCTTCGCATACACCATTTTATAAGTGTAGGGGTACCAACCCATCACTCAGCAAAAGCTTCCGTATATGTACATGCTGGCTGTATTTGGTAATGAGTGAAAGGTTATAAAAAACATGATATGTGACGGTTCTAAATAATTTTGATTTATTTGTCACTGAACTGCTCAGCTTTTCACAATATATTTTAATAAAGCTGGACAGAACGTACGGTGTTGCATTATCAAGCTTAAATTTCCTTGCAATAAAATCAGAGTAAAAGTGGACGATATTTTAATTGCAAAATTTAAATCAGAATTCATACCATTAAATATTTAAAGCAGACGATTACTACAAGGAAAAGTTATGAATAAATTGTTATTCTTATATAATAAATAATGAATAGTAGTGAATACAAAGTATGTACATAAAAAGAGAAGTTTGGGTTGCCCGAGAATAAGTCACCGATCTCCAAGTAAAAATCTGGCTAGCTCGTTGCCCAATCTATAGCTGGGGGGGGGGGGGGGGGGGGGGGGAAATCGAAGGGGGAGGGGGGACGGAACATGATTTGACACTTGGAGGCGCTGTTCATAAACGTTTATATACGTATTTATGTACGAAAACGCGTATAACGGTCCTTTCGGTGGTTCATATTGCTAAATATACATAAAATTACCAGCAATATCTTCACTTCGAATCTCTCCTATTCCTTTTCCTTTTTTATTTCCCTCTCTCCCTTTTTTTTCTGGTGGGGGGGGGGGGGGGGGGGCTTTCCGGGGGGGGGGGGGCAGGTGCACCCCTTGCCCCATCCTAGCGACGCCCAAGAATGGGTTATCCAGATTTTGTTACATGGAGATCAGTGGGATAGGTACATTTTGTCAAAAGAATAAATATAGTTATTAATAAATACTCATAATCCCTAAGCTTAAGATTACGATCAAAGTGTTGTAGGCTGCGAAAATCCGTATTACTTTCTTTTATATAGGCAACATACATCACCCCCTCTATTTTCCCATGACCTTTATTTTGTATCACCGGTGAGGGCGCAGGACGCTCTCATTATATGGACAGTCAAGTACAGCATAGTTTCATTGTTGTGAAGGGTTTGGGTTGTAAGTTTTTTCTGAATGAAGTTTCTTATAAAAGGCTACCGGTGGCCTCATACTTATTTTAACATGCAAAATAAACTGCTAGAACTGCGTACTGACTGTACTGTCCAAAAAATCAAAAAAGGTGCAGGGCCATTGAAAAAGATTCTGCTAGGATCGGAATCATGGCCTCGAACATTTTCAATTTATTGTAAGAGTTGCCTTTAAATATGTCACTATCTTTCCACCCCCTTCGAAAAAGCACGAATTCCGGTCGTCTTTAACCCACGCAGACTCGGCAGCTCTTTGGACACATGGTGCGAGTGTTTGGATCATAATAGCATTCAATGGCACTCGCCAGGTGCACACAAAATGCTGCTTTATCCTTGCAATCTGAAAAAGAAATAAATGTAACCCAAATCACCAATAGTTGAAATCTCTGCATAAAGATCTTTACATAGAGCAACCATTCCTAGGTAAAGTCAACGATGAAAATAACCAAAAATGCCAGTGTGCAAGCAGGCAACGTCACAAAAGATTGTTCAGGATATTCGTCCATTTTGCGAAGAAGCCATTACCGTGATGACCGATTGGAAATTGTTCGAGTAGTACCGGTAGCACTTTAAATGCACAATATGATAGTTTGAATAGGTCATACTTTAAGAGAGCTGTACAAAACAACAATTGTTCGCGTTCGAACACGAGAAAATCTCTTTATTGAAGCCGTTTAGTAACTTTAATTTGCGTAAGCAATATTTAGTAACTTACTTAAATCGAAAAAAAATAGAGAGTATAATAAGTAATTTTTGAGCTGTTGCAAAATGTATAACAATACGCCAATAACCTTGAATTCACGTCTTTTATACACCAATAGCGCCCTCATTCGTTTAAGAATAAGGACCAAACCTACCTGGATCGATGGGGTCACATGATTCCCCGTCAAAGTTGAGCCTGAAACCTTGGTAACAATGGCAACGGTAACTACCCATCGTGTTGACACAGACATGCTCGCAGTTGTCTACGCCCTTGGCACATTCGTTAATATCTGAATATTAATAACCCCAAAAAAGGAGGTAAAATTTACTGATCAATTTAATCATGGTTCCACTTCGTTTATTTTTCCCATTTCTGTTTCTTAATTGTATGTGCGCTCTTAAAACACCTCGTCAGATTTGTGTCTGCATTTTCTTAAGTATACAGGGTGAGTAAAAAAAACCGAAACCCAAATATCGGGACCATTGTTTTATTGAAGTTCTAAATGTAGCTCATTGAAAATTCGGGATATGAAAGCTCAATTCATAAGCTTTCTTTTAGTACAAAAATCATTCAAATCATTAAGGTAGTTTTCAAGTTACGGACTTTTAAACACAAGCACCATTTTCAAGTTTTGTCCACGGATCACAAACAGGTAAGTGTTCTTTTCAGCAAAACGAAAACAAATCACATAGGGATCTGTATGAATTGTTTTCGTTTTGCTGAAAGAACGCACACCTTTTGTGTGATCCGTGGACAGAACTTAAACCGGTGGTTGTGTATAAAAGTATATACCATGAAAAGTACTTGAGTGATTTGAACGATTTTTGTACTAAAAGAAAGCTTATGAATTGGGCTTTCATATCCTAGATTTTGAAAGTGCTATATGCAGAACTTCACTAAAACAATAGTCCCGACATTTGGGTTTCGTGTTTTTTGACTCACCCTGTATTGCCAGGTCAAAAATCGGATACCATTGTGTCTGCTTTTAAAGAAAGAACATTGAAACCGCTTACCGACACATTCTTCCTCAAAATAGTCGTACATGAGTCCCCGATTGTCACACTTGCATCGACAGTTATCTTCGTCAAGAGAAGCACCATCGAAACAGAGCAGCCCTCGGCAAGCTAGTCAAATAAATAAATAAAACAAATCAGTGTTCACCTTCGTCCGAAGTTCGCCAATTTTTCCAAACCATATTTCAAAGGTCCTGGTCACAGAAAGCCCACACAATGTCTTAAAGTTTCGAAGAAAAAGTTGGAAAACAATCGATTGTTTACAATGTCATGTAACGCGGCATCGATTTTCGGCATTATTTCAAGCAGTGACGAAGCCATCGAATGTTTAGCCCACCCGTTAAAGTACATGGCAACACATTTGTTGTGCATTGTTTGCGTTTGAAACAAATAGTTCTTGAAATCTTAAGAAGGGTGCATTACAACTAACTTGTTGAATTTCAGCTCAATGGATACTATACACATTGAGAAAACAGAAACATTAGGCCTTATGCATATTTGTTTTGGATCTGGATTCCGTTGCTAACGCACGTTTAACACATTTGCTCGCGGGTACATTTTCTTAATCCACCTTCCATGTTTTCTTCCGAATGATATCATTTCAGGCGGAATCATTTAACAGGGTCAGTCATATCTTCACTTTGAAGAATACGTTTCGGGTCAGGGGCGTAAATCCCGGGGGATGGGGGTATATATCCCCCCACTTTTTGACCAGGGGGGATGGGCTATTGAATCATCCCCCACTGTTTCGTGATGAGAAAAAAATGCGGATTTCGAGGTATTTTTCGAACATCTCAACAACCAAAATGTATTCAATAGCACTGAAAAATGCAAAAGCTTTAAAAATGTGCCGTTTTGATGTAAGCGCGAGCATACATATTGATATACATCTATATCCTGAAGAGCGACCCCTAGTGTAATGTAGTTTCCAGGCCCCCTGTCTAGCTTGTGATTAACTCAACACAGTACAGACCCCAATATCATGCCACCATTTCAGTCATGTTCCCTGTATCCAATAACAGTGATGAATGATACTTTTTTTTTGCAAAAAGGAAATAGACCATTTTTCCTTCCAGCCTCGCTTTAGTTACATTGATTTGAATGGGAAAAACAAATGGCTGCATGATAATGGTCTATTGCAGCTTTCCGCGAACTGATACCACGCAAACTATGTTGTTATTTGATTATGTTTTCAACAGTCAGTGAGTTGAAATACAAATGTGTCCCGCTGATACAAAACCAACGCCGCGCCGTGCCTTGCGGAACGAAGTTACGTCAGTAAAACCAAAACAAATTCCAAACCTCTGGAGTCAAGTGGTTCTGAGGTAACTCACATAATTCTCGGAACCACACACTGCACTTGACCGAGTGATTGATTACCCACAACAACTGACGTGAGCCACATTTCCTACCTTTAAGATGAGAAGGTTTCCGCAGTGGCGGTGAAGATTTTGGTTATGTGGTATTCGAAGTATGTGGCATACAAAGAAAGGAGCCCACAACCGATACTTCACTTCATTCTATTCTGGTTTTTACAGGAAATCAACATAAGGGAGTTGACATAATCAATGTATACATACGGATGACGTGGGGTTGCGGCAGGCAGAGTTTCCCATTGGCATGCAGATTGTAACCGCTGGGGCAGTTGCACTGATAGGATCCTTTCAAGTTTGTGCAAGTTCCTCCTTGGCAATTTGACTCGTCCTCACACTCGTCAATATCTGATGAAGAATGGGGTTCAAGAAATGGTATAATATTCTTTCAAAGTTTTTATCATGGAGGCAAAGTTATTCTTCAAGAGCCCGAACATCAAATGAGAAGTATTTTTTTTCTGCTGATTCTATTTTGACTCCTACAATTGCATCTTCAACTGACCCACAAAAACCGCATAATTTAGAGGCACGCTATACAGCCTATACTTTTTGATGATGTGCACGTGGAAAAAAAACTTGCTCGTGCTGAAAACATGTATATGTTTTACAGCGGGCTTAAAAAAGACAAGATTAAACTTTTTATTTTGACAACTTCGACTGGGATACAAACTGGCCACGCAATCTTTGTCACAGTAAACGAAATATCGTGCCATAACGGAAAGAGACAAGATTTTCACAGGAGTCTAAAATGACAGCGGCGCACAGCCTTACCTTTGCATTTTCCGGCCCGTTCGTTGTAAGCGAAGCCCGGCTGTACACAATCGCAAGTACAGAGATCCTCCTGGAGAAAGGAGTCGCCCTCGCATACACGATGGCAAGCTTCGGCTACGCAGTAGAAAAGATGATGGTTAAAGATGACTGTCTGCGCTATTCAACAAAATCCTTTCTTCTTAACAATTTCAACTTGTGTATTTTATTTAAACAAAGATAAATATTTTGTGTTCTATTTAGGGGATTAGCAACCAGGAGAGCCGTGAAGACGACTGCTTTTAAATCGATGCTACTCATCCCTTCCTGGATTCGTGAAATATAAATGGAAGAAAGAAATGGGGAAAAGCGCGTCCCTAGCTTCATTGAGCCCCCCCCCCCCAGAAGTTGGTTCTGGATCCGTCGGTGTGCTGGGCTGAGTGACTACAGAAGAACACAATTATCGTGGATAACAAGTGATGGAAACTCTCAAACACTCCCGAAAGCACCAGCACGTTTGTTTATGCTATGGTGTAAATCGAGGATTTTCTGTTGTTCCTCATCATCGATCTTTTTACTCCAACTTTTGTGCAACAGCTGTCATTGGTTTTTGTACACGTTTTGTAATCGAGGTCGTCCTCGATTTGACTCATGTCCTCAATAATATTACTCGATGATATGTCACATGTGTGTCCTCGATTTACACCTTAACAAACCCACAAACACACAGTTTGTTTATGGTTTAAATCGAAGATTTTCTTATTGTTCCTCATCATCGATCTTTTGTTCATACCTTAACTTTTTTTGGCAACAGCTTCCATTGGTTTTGTACACGTTTTCTGATCGAGGACGTCCTCGATTTGACTCATGTCCTCAATTACACATGATGTTTGACATGTATGTCCTCGATTTACACCATGAACAAACTCACAAAAACAGAACAAAACACGATTGACTCACCAGCAATGAATGGCACTGTAGTTGAAGGCAATGATGGGCTAGTGACTGCCTGTGTTGTAATTCTTGTCGTTGTTGGTACAATCAGCTGGAGGGAAATCGAAGATGGGATGGGAATATTACAAACCCAACGAACAGAAAACGAGAGAGAGGTTGCCTAAATAGCTTGACCAACAACAAAACTGATAAGACTGACCCAAAAGAAGTAAATATCTCGACCTGAGAGGGGCGTAAAAACGGGGCACGCCTCCAAACCCCTCATGCTCTCAGTACTAGCCCCATCCGTGGTGAGTCCTACGTGGGCCCATGCAGTTAAAAAGCTGGCGAAGAACAAAGATCTTTGTGTTGAAACTATGACCACACCCACTGATTATACCAATTACCCCATTGCCATACCACTGGCCTCTATAGGATAGGTATGTAAATTGTCCGCAAATAAATACAGGGTGCGTACAAAAGAAAGTGACCGAATTTGAATTTTTTTCTTTTTTTACTATTTGGGGCTTGCTCCATTTCATTTAAAAAAAAAAAGGAATAAAGTACATCTCATTGACTTTCAACTGTGAAAATTTCACGTCATTTGCATTCTGTTCGCAAGTTATGTCTATTTCAAAAAAAAAGATCACAAAACTCGGCTGTCCACCACTGATCATATACCGCTCTACGAACTGAGGAATGCCCATTAAGTACAATATAACGAGAATGTTTTCCCACCTCGATGAACGAACGAGAACTTGCAAAGGAAAACATACAAATATCACCATCAATTTTTCAGAAAACAAGGTGACTTGCTCCTCATATTCAACTAACACAAAATCCGACCGTAAAGACAATGTTTCAGTCCTGATTTCAATTAATAATATCTCATTTATATTTGAATGCCTGTGTGTAATCTGTAATTCTCACTCAGCTCAATAGATTCCAATGGCATTCCATGACCAGCTATAAAAATGGGTTATTAGTAAAACATGCATTAGGCCTACTTCTGATGGCATGGATCAATTTCAGTAATTATTATTTTTTCAGATAAGTGGAAGAACATGCTACTTTAAGACATGCTTCAATGATGTATCAAAGTTGATTGAGTTTTGGAATAAAATCTTTAATCCGGGTCACCCTGTATACGTGCAAGTCACGTACTCAGCTTGGACGTGAGAAATAACAGTACGCTCAATATTATCGTCAGAGTTATTGCAGCGTAATGCGTGAGGATTAAACGTCAAAATATTAAAGGTCATGTAGTTTTCTCATATTTGCTGGTCCAAGAGGATTCAGTGAATCACTCACTGTCACTTGTGAGCCGGGCGGTGCTATCGTATAGGAGTACTCAGGAACGTCACTGAATGAGCTATATTTGACCCTTTGTGCATAGACCAGATCATAGAGCAAGACTTCCATTAAACAGCCATTTTGAATCGGCTCAATACAATTTTCTGCGCTCTGGGACCAGTTTTACTAGGCTTGCCTTGTCTTGTTTTCTCTTCTCCAGCTAACGTCAACAATTTTATTAACCCATCCAGTTTTCAAGTAATGTGAAAGAACAAAAACACAGCATCACCCGGCCAAATATACACTTTTAATAGTAAACATATATGTCCACCTTAACTGTAAAAAACACACCAAAAACAGTAAACCTGTGCATGCATGCAAGTATATACATGTATAACTGGTAATTACGCCTTTATCCTGTTGACAAGACCGACTTGACCTCCGCACGATTTATGTTCACAATTGTCAAAGTTGGCGCAGATGTATTTCATATACATGTGTATCTAACGATGACATGTGATAGGGCATGTTCCAGATTCTAGACATTCTACAGAAATCCTATCCGAGCTCGAATTGTGATTGCTCTGCCACAAACAGAAGCCAAAGGTATATTTTAATTGTGCATAAACCATTCTAAAAATACACCAACTGAAATCAGACTTTCGAGAAACAACCATGATGGGATATTTTGAAATGTGGATCGAGAGTATTGCCAGCTTTACTTTGATATCAGGCATCCTTATCAACAGCAGACATCGTCATTCATTGACATATATCATTACATATGCCTTGCTTGTGTGCTTCCATAGTTTTGTGAAACCAGTTGTTGGTCTTTCGAGACAGTTACGGAGACAGTTACGGAATTTAATATTACAAAAGCTGAAGAGTATTTTCAAGCTAGGAAACGGGTATTGTTATTGAAACTCAAGCAAACGTTGCTGACGATGTGACGGGACTCGGCAAACGAGTCATCTGAATCGACTTCTTTCAACTTACCCCCCCCCCCCCCAAAAAAAAGAAGAAGTGGAATATGTCATGATACAACAGTGACAGTCTTGGTTTAACTGTCTTTTTAATAATGCACTGCATGGACGTTACACCTAATTAGTATAAATAGTCGGTATCTCTCTTCTAATACCCAACCCCCGGTCCCAGTTGAAAACTGCAAAAGCTGTGTGAACAGCAGGGAGCCTATTATCGGCACTCATCCAATGTCTTTTACATCTTAATTTGAGCTCAAGCCTATTCCAAGTCACAGAATAGTTTCATCAACGGCTACCTGTCCCACAATATGAGGTAGACAGAAGCGTCTGAGCTTAATATACTCACTTTATGCAGGATTACAACGCTCTACACAGCTATTTCATATACATGTACTCTGACAATTCCAGCGTAATGTCTGTGACAGAGCACAAGTGAATCATAACCTGAAAATATATTTTGCAAATCTTATTCAACCATCACATAGTAATGGTCAAGGAACAGACTACGAGTTTCAGATCATTTGTCGGTATCATTAATTAACTATCATGGTTAATTGGGTCTGTCACGGAGATTACACTGATCCCTTTCATGACGCAGGAATTGTCCACATGCTGATACGCTTTAAAAACAAAATACTGCATCGTGTATCAAGTGTAAGAAAACACACGGCACGGTGTTTCATTAATTATTGCAGAAAATTAAAAGTGGGGTCAAGCTCCACCTTTCAGGTGTTGATGACTTGATGTATCTACGAGCATGTACGTTCGCTTCTGGAATAGTATTTTAATGAAGTACGTGAGCTTTATTCCTGCACCGCAACGACAGGAAATTGCAAACCCCCACGACCCCACGCGGAAATGATTATGTTTGTGCATTGGGGAAGTTGTCAAGAATATTTGTATCCATCATACCACATTGAACAAGACTGCATTATGCATACGCATGCAGGCCAAGAATCAAAGTGATAATGGTTGCCATGTTCCCGTGGAATGCCACAGATAACATCGCGGAGCATTCATTGCAAGTCACATGATCAAGTGCAGACATCAAAGGAGCAACATTATGTTGTCCACATAAGCACGTAAAACCGCCGCGCCAACTTGGTTCTGCAATTACATTTATGATTAAAATTGATCACTAAAATATATTTCAAAAAATAGAGTATTACTTTACAATACTAGCAATGACGGCCAAAATAGTTTCTATCAGCGGGAAATTGTAAATTCACTTTTTGCTTTGGTATTTGTTTCACAATATTTGCGGCTATATGATTCTGTTTTATGAGCAAAACTTATTCATTTAAATGAAGACCAAGGGTCTTGTCGGTAATTTCGAATTCTTATCCTCTGTCTATAGTCCGTAAACCAAGTCCACGGAGTCAACAAGCAATTTGTGTTGCGATTGTATTGTATTGTATTGTTTTTATTTCCATTTGTCACAAATTAATATAATGCAAATGAAACAGATTATTTACTACAACAATAACTAAAATTAATAGAATGCTAATACATGTACAACACTTTTGATCAATTAAACATATATGGTGACAGGTGGGGGAACCAGGAAAAAAAGCCTAAGCTTATACAGAGCCTAGTCCTGTTTGTGAATAACTTATGAAATAAACAACAATTATAGCTATAATTTAAAACAGTGGTCAATAAATTAATTTGACCATGAATTCTTGTTCTAGCGTTTAAGTGCAAATCAAGGGCCTGTATATGATCGACTCTGGAGTTTTCGATACTATGTTTTCCTGACAATCACAAGTTATTATAAGATAGAATTTTGCGTCGGGGTGATATAAATCACAAGTTAAACATAATGTTATTGTTCAACTTGTAAAATAAATTGGCAGCAAGTTTGCGGTGTGTTAAGTCTTGAAAACACCTCCCTTGAGCTTTGTCAACTTTAATATAACGCATAGATACATTAAACAAAATATGGCCTCCAGTCTTAAAGGTGATACGACGTCTGCTTTTGTCGCTATTTTACGGAATACCTGGCACAAGGATTATATAGGACGCTTGATACTAATGCTTGACTTACAATCAATCGTAGCAATTTTGGTGGCTGCGTATTTTAATGTTCGCGAATATTGTACATAACCTTTAATACCTTCATGCGCTCTTATTATTGCTCCTTCGTTACATCCAACAAGAATTCATGGTCAAATTGTACACCTGCACATACTCACCTGCTGCTATACATGTATGTAACTCTGCAACACATTATGGAACAGTCTTTTATCCGCGTGTCTGATCATTTGGGGGAAGGTCAGGGAACTTGAGAACTCATATCGGAACTCCTAAAGTCTCATGTCTCCCTGTCACGTTCAATGGATATAGCCAAATAAAATCGAACGCCAACACATTCCTGTGATGTATAAAACAATTATGTTAGGCCGTGTGCGTGTTGCCTATACTCGAGGAAAGATTCGGATGAGCCACATACTCAGACTCGCATGATGTTTCAGACTGTTCAATAAATTAAGAAACACAGTTTCCACCACATTACCTTTGGTCTTCGCCTCTTTTGTTTCCCGCGCCTTGGGCGACGGCACTCGACCAAGTCCACCACAAATAGCAAGCACAGGAAGAAAATGACGAACGTAAACACTTTCATTTTCAAGTGGTATAAGCAAAACACCTCAAGTCCGAGATCCCGACGATATTCTGGTGACTTTGATTGAGAAACAAAGTCAATATGTTTCATATAGGAGTTGATTCAGTACATGTGCGGTGCGGCGTTGTTCCCTCTTTAGTTTCTGGCGCTCTGTGTGGAGACTCGGTGAGCCGATTGTTTTTTTTTTATGGTCTCCCGATCCCCGTGGTGTCGGCTTGCTGTTCCGGTGTGATTAATTTGCTGCGGACTCGGTTTTCTATCTCGCCATCATTATAGATCCGCATTGGAGGATCCCGTTCCCGGGTTTACTCATCAACATAAACCCATGTACTGGCTTCACTCTACCGGGTTCAATGTCCAAATGTTTTAAACAGTCACCCGACCAACCACACAGGGCATTGCAAAAAAAAACTTAATATTTTCCAGTCGTGAAATACCGGGTTAACGACTTGGAAGTCATTTCAAGCCCCTGTCACACCTTTGCGTATCCTAATTCCTTATGAGTTCCTTATCAAAAATTTTCAATACGCAGCCGTACGCTCAATTAACCTCGAAATGTTTTGATCACTTTGACTTAGGCCTATGTGCGACGCACATCTAGCGTACAAGTAACGAAATCAGCGCATCCATTGCGTATGAGATGCGTATGAGTTGCGTATGCAGTGTACAACATTATTTTTCGGGCTGCGAATAGGTCAGTATGCAGTGCGCACCCGACTGATGCCGACCGCATGCTTGACGCACTTCTGAGCGTATTCCCGCCGCATTTCCGCCGCTCGCCGTTCAGCGTGCGTTGCATCTGCACTGCAAGTACGCTATGTATACGTCCAATACAGGTGGCTCACATGCTGACGGGGCGCGTCACGAACACATAGCGTACTCGTAACGCACTCGACCGATGCGGGACCGATGCGTTGCGTATTTATAACTTATGACCTGCGCAACAGCGTACGCAGCGTAGTTTTGTGCATGCCCAAAACTATCTGCGTACTGGGCCGTACCATGCGTATATCTGCGTACATAAAACCTACACAAAACGAGAGAGATGCATATGAGGTGCGTATCGTGCGTACGACTGCGTATGAAAAAAATGTCAATGCGCAACTCATAAGGAATTAGGATACGTCGGCATTCGCTATGAGTTCGTTCAGCGTGCGTTGTATCTGCGCTACAAGTATACGTCCAATTTAGGCGGCTCATATGCTGACGGGGTGCGTGCCGGGAGGTCAGCGTATTACCGCGTATGAACCGCTAAATCCCCACGAACACATAGCGTACTCGTACCGTGCTCGACCGATGCGGGACCGATGCGTTGCGTATTTATAACTTATGACCTGCGTAACAGCGTACGCAGCGTAGTTTTGTGCATGCCCAAAACTATCCGGCGTACTGGGCCGTACCATGCGTATGCCTGCGTACACAAAACTTATACAAAACGATAGAGATGCATATGAGGTGCGTATTGTGCGTACGACTGCGTATGAAAAAAATGTCAATGCGCAACTCATAAGGAATTAGGATACGCAGAAGTGTGACAGGGCCCTAACGGATGATGAGCCCTTATGTGCGATCGAGCACGATCAAACAATGTAGCAACATTATGATTGTTTGTATAGGCCTACCACAACTTGACTACCACGAATTGAATAAACATGTGTACTCAAAACAGAGAACAGAGAAGTGGTGTATAACTGAGTCATTTTCAAAACAGCCACAACCAAGGCACCGAAAATCGAACAATCTATGACTGCAGCTTCCGTAATGAATGGCGTCCGATAGACGAGCTTTAAATATAATAGTCAGATGGTCCCTCAAGCCCATGCACCGGCGTAGCTACGGGGGGACGTGGGGGCGCACGCCCCCCCCCCCTCCCAAAGTTCGCGCCCCCAGTCGCTTCCCCCCACCCCCCACCCCTGGAAATTTGGCAGCTGGAGAAAAAGACAGATTTTGTGCGTATTTTCCTCCCAAACGCTTTCTTTTGGCGAGTGGCTGTTTATTTTAACGTCCATGGAAAGTAAATAGCGGCAGTTATTGTATAACTATAACCATGCATATATATATGTTTTGAACAGCGCCCCCATGAGAAGATGGTGTCCAGCCCCTCCCCCCCCCCCCTTTTTTTTGATTTTACGGAGGCCGGGTGTCCGGGGAAAAATACCTTGTCTACCTTTCAGCACAGATGACATTTTTGGGCGCCCCCACACGCCCCCTACGATGAGAACCCTTCGCCACTGCTCAAGCCCAAGCCCCCCTCCCCCCTCCTCCTCCGCTTTTCGAACTGTCCCGGTGTTGACAACAAATCGCCGCCGCTGATACCTCTCTTATTTCAAGAAATGGATTCAATTCGCTTTTTTCGTGCGAAAATTGAAACTATGGACAAGGCGATTTGGAGTGCAATTAATTCAATCGATTAGATCAAGTTTCCGCACTTGAGTTTCCGTGACTCTTTTTCAAAGCATTTCTAAACTTCTAATCCGTCTGGCCCCTATAGTTTCACTTTTGGAAAAATTAACAATTGAAAGTTTGGAAGTCACACAAAGAAATTAACCGTAGCGGGGCTAGAACTAGTCTAGGGTGACCGTTTAAGCCGATTTTCGGCTAATTTTGACAGATTTTTTTGTTAAAAAAACGAGTTTGACAGAATATTTGACAGAATTAATTTTTTTTGACAGATTTCTGTCAGAATTCTGCAAGAATGGTTATTGAGCAGAAACACATTGCAAATTTGAAAAAAAAAGCTTCAAATTTTCAAACAGACCCTTGCATAATGGGACAGGTTGGCTTGTCTAGGTGCTGAGATTCACTTTCCTGAAATTTACGCAATAATTTCATAACATCTTTTTGTGTCTATACATAGTTTATAATGTAATTTGAACCTTAATTGGGGCAATACTACAACACCTGCATGTGATTTTAAGTGTTTATAGTGTATTTCGAGTAATTCTGGGGAATTTGACCGATTTTGATAAATCTGCTAGATTTTTGAAGTGCATTTAGCAGAAATTGGCAATAATCTTACGGTCACCCTGAACTAGTCTGAGGATCGAGAATGTCAGACATTCAGTCGGAGAGGTCTTTAGAAACTGTGACGTCATTTCGATCGGAAATGTGGACTCAGCTGTAGATTGGTCAATTTTGATGTCATGTTTTTGTAATACAACAACGGGTTACGGAAAACAGGATAGAAGAAGCCTGCTGAATGGTCAGAATTTCGAGGTCAAGACGCAGGCCTGTTTTGCATTATTAATCACTGAATCTGCTCGCGTATCATATCCTCTTGAACAGCAAGACTCGGGTTGAACCCGCGACTTCCGGATTACCGTTCCGGCGCTCTACCGAGTATATACCAGCCCATCATGTCAGTGTCTTTCTTCAAGCTGTAAGGGCCGCTTGTCAAAAGTCTTTGTAAATGTGAGATTTTAATAAGCTCAAACAAAGTATGTTGTAGTTGGTTATGTGGCCATGATATACGTATCGAATAACTATATAGAAAACAACAGCCAAGCGTACTCACCAGTGTAGGCTAATTTACACCTCATGACTGATTCAAACTGTTTTAATCAGTAATGACTGGGGCAATGTCAATGACCGCTCCGCTCAGTGAACCTCTGATTTAAGTGCCAATACGATCGAAATGTTGGCATTGCGTTGATACAAATTAACGATAGGCACTGTGGTTTGATATATTAATAATATAATTAGTATTATCATCATCGATCGATCCTCTATACACGTTACATTTTTGTTGCCAATTAAAAAGCTGATCAGAGACAACGTGTGATGAACACCATAACAAAAACCTGCAAAAAATGACGTTTCACATCTCTATATGAGCTAATAACGTTTCCACGGAATACCTTTTGGAGTCACCCCCCCCCCCCCCAATGTCTGCATTAATTTCTCCTCAGTTTCTTCATACTTCCATTTTTATATCAAGTATTATACAGTACCGGGTACCTTGCATATTAAAAAGAGTATAGGCCTACTCCATTTGCTAACACAGAGCAGGTACTTTGATAGTTTAATAGGCCTGCTCGCGTGACGCGCAAGATGATAATTAGCAGAGTATATATATCTTTGAAATTGATGTCGTGCAATAATCCGTACGGTCTGAATATGGCGTAATTAAGGAGGGACGCTGGGGAAAACAGTTCAATGAAGATGCGTATGCGTGTAATGCTTATTCTTTTGCTGTCTGCTTTCGGCATAACCGTCTTTCGCATCTGACGGCTGAAAAATACGTATCATTGTTAATTAGACGCACATTTTGCCTTCCGCCATATCCACTCCAAAACAATAGATTTGTAATGAGAGATATCACATTTAATTGGCAAGTACATTTTTCAATCAATGAATAATTATTTTTGTTTTCAATGAAATTAAAATAGCAAGAAAATATACTTTACATAACAATTTCTGTTTAAAAAAGTTTCGTGTACTTTAAGTTAGACTGACTCATGTTATTTTGAACAAAAAAATGGGAGTGGTTGAGATTGGCTCCCTCCCCACATTCGAATGGAAGGATCGGAAACCAGTGCGTAACTTCACTGAACGCCCAACGAGCTATCCATATTTTTTACATAAAGATCAGTTCCCCCACCATGCCCCCTACCCCACACCAACACAAAATGGGCCCCGGTGGATTTGTACAAACTACTGATAGGCCCTTTAAGAAACTGTTTTTAGAAATTGTACGAGGTTTTTTTTTATGTATATGGGTGTATGTCGTTCAGATTCTTTCAAGTTTCTTTCTATTTCTTGAGTAGGAAGGTGGAATTTCATTTTGGCAGGCAACTTGACAGTAAAGACCCGCAATGACACCGAGTTGACATGGGCTTTCAGCCTGTTGTGTAAAATAGCGCCCCCTTTTGGCCGTCATGTTAGTAATAGTCGGGTCCCCGTTCGATGACCGGTTTTCCTGTTGTAAATCCGCTCGAAAGTCTGGTGACGTGATTGCGCGCAAACAGTACAGATCGCAAATTTATTTCGGTTTACTTCACAATTAATCTTCTGCCAGTGCCAACCAAAATGGCTCAAGAATTTACCGTTGTTACCGCTAGTTATGTCAATTTACAGATCACTAGTACTCTTAATAATTTCCCGTCGGAAAAACGATTTCAAAAAGATGTGACTATCGGAACACTGAAGGTAAACTACGTTTATTAGCCTCATAATGAAAAGTTGCCCCATAAATGTGGCCTATTTACTGGACTGCCTCCGTAAACATAGGCCACACATCCACATGTACAAAAATCGTGTCGACGGAGCCAAATTTTGATTTTCACATTTAGGCTTAGTTTGTAGGTTTTTTTTGCTTTAGAAGCATACTCACCCTCTTTATAGGCTAATCAGAAAGTGCTGCCTTTTTCAGATGTATATTTTTCGTGAAATTTCCAGATTCATTTTTACACGTTTGCGTATCAAAATTTCAACATGAAATTTCACAAAAATTAGACATCTGAAAAAGGCAGCACTTTCTGATTAGCCTGTAAAGAGGGTGAGTATGCTTCTAAAGCAAAAAAAACCTACAAACTAAGCCTAAATGTGAAAATCAAAATTTGGCTCCGTCGACACGATTTTTGTACATGTGGATGTGTGGATGTGTGGCCTATGTTTACGGAGGCAGTCCAGTAAATAGGCCACATTTATGGGGCTAAATGAAAAGTTGATATAGTCAATGATTAGACCCGTGAACGTGGCTTGTAAACTACGCCACGCTGTTGTGTATTTCAGAACCTGGCGAAATTGTCCCTCTGACTCCCTCCATTACACACACTGGACGTTATTTTGCAAATGTAAGGAAGTGTATATTTTGCCGGAGGTAACGCCGGCAAACTCACGTTTACTAAAGGTTTGCCGGCGGCAATCCATATCAACAGAGGGCGCTATACTCTTTAAGATAGGGCTGAATTATAATATGTATTAAATTCCCACCAAAGTTGTGTAGCACATTCGGTACAGTGGATAAGCAATTGCTCTAGTGAGTGGGATGTCCCGACCCGAGTTCGAATCCTGATCCTTGCCACATTTTTAAGGTTTTTTTTTTTCATCCCCAAATAGGCCTAAATAAGAATATTCTTCTTTTATTATTTTAACATGTCATTGTCTCAAACATTTTATTGCAGAGTATTACATTTTCTTTTTCAGATTTGTGGCTCTGGAGGATTTTTTTTAAAAGGGAAATAAAGTCCGAAATTATAAAATGGTCTGTATCCCATCTTGTGAATACGAGGTTACAACGATAATATTGGCACGGAGCCAGACTAAAATTTGTCACCGGAAAATGTTTAAGTACAAAAAAACAGTAACTGCGCATGTTCAGTGCATATCCGGCAAACTAACGTTTACTGAAGGTTTGCCGTCTCCGGCAAAATATCCACTGCCCAAATGTAATAAGTACTCACATATGAAGCTGTCTTGAAATCTGTTTGTACATCAAAACTTGCATTTGACGAAATTTGAGGAAAATTCTGGCCCCGGTTTATGAAGTCCTGCTAGCTGCCATTTTCTCCCAAGTGACGCATGCGCATTGCGTTTTATTGTACCGTCCTTCGTATAATTCGACGGCTGTTTACTGTCGCAGCTAAAAGAGACATCGTTTTAGACAAGTTTCAAGTCCTTTCCTCTCTCACCGCACTGCACGCGGGTGCACGTGCGCCCACGTGCGTGTGCGCACACGTACACGAGATGAGCCGAGCAGCCAATCGGGTGCGGGTTTTTTTTCGGGGTTGCGACATGAAACAGCCGTCAATCTGTCCAAGTGACTCGTCCGGGGTCATTTGTCAGGGTCACTTGTCGGGTTAAAATGAAATTTCTACACGTTTGTATGGGTCTTTACTGATGGGCAAATTTCGTCGAAATTACACAGCTTAAACAATCGGACGGGCAAATTTAGATTTCTAGGTGAGTACTCAACACCCATACGGAATTATGTATGTCGGATCGATTTCGCTAGGTTTTAAAATAAACAACAACGTGGCATTGTATACAACGCCACGTTCACGGGTCTAGGCAATGATAGGCAAACGGACATAAGGATAAGCTCAAGTACGCGGGGCGCTGCATACACACACTGTACTACAGAACACACGCTACACAACAGGCGCGCACATTTATATACAATGTAGGCAGTGTATATTTTGCCAGAGACGGCAAACCTTTAGTAAACGTTAGTTTGCCGGATATGCACTGAACATGCGCAGTTACCGTTTTTTTTCGTACTTAAACATTTTCCGGTGAAAAGTTTTAGTCTGGCTCCATGCCAAAATTATCGTTGTTACCTGGTATTCACAAGATGGGATTCAGACCATTTTATAATTTCGGACTTTATTTCCCTTTTAAAAAAAATCCTCCAGAGCCACAAATCTGAAAAAGAAAATGTAATACTCTGCAAAAAATGTTTGAGACATGTTAAAATGATAAAAGAAGAATATTCTTATTTATTTGGGGATGAGAAAAAAAACCTTTAAAATGTGGTGCGGTCGGATTCGAACGCGAGTCATCCCGCTTACTAGAGCCTTTGCTTAACCATTACACCAAACGTGCTACACAACTTTTGGTGGGAATTTAATACATCTTATAATTCAGCCCTATTTTAAAGAGTACAGCGCCCTCTGTTGATATGGATTGCTGCCGGCAAACCTTTGGTAATCGTTAGTTTGCCGTCATTACCTCCGGCAAAATATCCACTATCTACAATGTACATGTACATAATACGCGCGCGCGTGTGTGTGGGTGGCTAACCATGGGCTAACTTATCAAAACACTGGCTGGCTATATGTTTTCAAGCCAAAATGGTCGTCGGAATTTATTGTCCATTTAGCATGCTTCTTCTTATATCAGCGTTTAGAGACTTTTAGAAACTTTATGAATGACGTCACCCCAAGGTTGCTGAACTTTTTGTTTTGACGCTGTGGTAAAAAACACTTGGACATGCGTACTAAAAAGCTAGTTTACGCTTCGTGATGTGCACTATTGAATAGGAGCACAAAGCGTGGATGTGTTTTTTCAAACTAAAATGGTCGTTATTGGCCGAGCACTGTCAATGACAAATTTCATCCTTATTTTTTATAGAAAGCTGAAGATGTCTTCTTTCATGTTCTGATCACCCCAGATATCTGTGTTTGTATTCCATACCGGTACATCATTGAAGCCAATACGCCCAAAACCGAAACGCACGATCAGCAAATGAGCATGTTTTTTTTGCTCTACACAAACAGCATAGTGTTTTTTCCCCATACCATCGCACACTGTCCAGGCACGCGCTGTTGTGACCAGACAATGCCAGACGGCCAACCGTAAACACAGGCTAATATAGGACTACAGTTCCAATCCTACTTGGCACAACACGGCAACACGGAAGGGGCGTAGGCGTCGTGCCATACTTAGTCTGGCAATAGACCAATGCCATCTGCTCACACTATGCATATATACGGTACCAAATTGTAAGTCTGGTTTCTGCCACGCAAGATGTTTCAGGCGTTGTACAATCTTGTACATAATTTTTCTGTTTTGCCTCTGTGCCCGACCTTTAAACATGCTTGGCCACCAGTTGCGCCAGGCTTGTCATTTTTCCACTGCTGTGTTAATATAACTCTCAACTTCGAGAGTACATGTGTACTAGTCGGAACCCTTTTTAATCTAAAAAGAAATTAAGATTTATCAAAGAGATTAAAGTTTTACATGTGGTGTAAATAAATTGCCGAAGCCCATTGTGACATTGTCTCTATTGCGAGTAAAGAGTTCGTTTTTAAAACAAATTTTCCCATCCAAATAAATGCAAATTTCTGAATTATTTTCATGGATAATAGGAGTAAATTGTCCTTTTATGTCAGGACACTTGTTTTATTTTTAGAGCCATGCAGATGCTTTATTATCACTGTTTGAAATTGACTAATTTTGCGTGGTTACAGATACAACCGTTCAAACCAATGGACTCCTAGTACCAGATTGGGAAGTTGAGTGCAGAAAAACTTTAAAAAACAAAATCAGGTCAACTTTAGTCAATACTAAGCTGACAAAATTCTCTAAAGGAGACTTGGCATGTACCACATTTGGCAAGTGCCAAATGAAGAAACAAAACTTTTTTTAACTGTTGTCATGAGGGAAAAGTCTTGAGTACTTGCAGATCAAGTAAGTACTAAGAAAGTAAGTACCTGTCTGACTACAGGTACAGGTAAGTATGAAGACTTCAACACTTGGAATGTGAAAGGATGCAAAAGAGTGTGATGCGAGTAACCACAATGAACCAATTGCACGTCGGTGAAGTTGCTGGCTGCTGTCTCAGTGGTTTCTGGTTCTAAACATTCCTTTGGTTTTGATCCCAGGGCAAGTTGGAGATGGTGACTGGCTCAGTGAGTGCATCCATGGAGCTCCAGCTGTTCAACAAGGATGGTCAGCTAGTGGTGATTATGAGTGATGATAATGCACTCTTAGGTTCTTATCCCGTGGAGGATGGCATGAGGATACACGTGAGTTAATCCTGGAAACCCAAGTTGTTAGATTACAGCCTTCTGACCTTTTCTTTATAGATCTCTCTCAAAGGACGCCATCGTCGTAGGAAAATTACAGCTGCGTGTTCAAGGCCATCAGATGCGTGTGCGCACAGTGTGCAAAATGTTCTAAACACGCGTGCGTGTTGCTTTGAAATATGGCACAGCCGATGTGTCACGAAAATTTGACGCCCAAGATGCTGCTGAACGTGGCAATCTGTAGGAAGTGATGTCATTTTAGAGAGACCTATTGCTGATTTTATGTTTGTTTGCTAGTCCCAGATACAGATGGCCAGCCTATGGGAAGTTCCTGGGCGAACGATAGTTAACCTTAGTTCGACTAACTTTGTTAAATCGAAGGATTGTTGGACTACTTTAGTTGACTACACTTATGTGTTTAGAACAAAAACACAGGGCAGTGTTCAATCACTGGTTACCAAAGCCGCATGCATCATAAAGCACACCAGGGAACCAGGACCATTGTTTGACTAGTAATGTGTCTATTACTGATAAGTGCCAAACTAGGTGAACGTGAACATTGGACCGAACACCCTATTACATGTTCCCACTACCAATCAACCCAGCCCAACTAATGACAGGTTGTATTTTCCCTCCAATCAGGTGCAAGACAGCGACCCAAACAGGTTAAGAGGGGAATTTGAAGATCTGTCCAAAGTAGAAAAGTATGAAATCACAGACGACGATTACTCCAAAAGAACAGGTCAGTAGTCCTGGTCAAGGAAAAGCGCTCGTAAGTCACTTTAAAGAAAGCAATGAGATCCTCAAATTAAGATCAGAATGAAACTCGCTGTTTTAGATTATTTGCTCTTTTACGCTAAGTAGCAGAAGTACGTGTTGTCAGTACGGAAAAATGTCACACTGCTGTGTGGTAGAAATAAGCAGGTTTGTTATTCTCTTGTCACAGATTCCGTACTTGCATTCAAGAAGAAGCACAAGATGGGCCAGTTCAGAGAAGAAGATCCCGAGGAGGCCGCTCAGCGGGAAGCCCTGAAGAAGGAGAAAGAGGCAGAGGAGGAGAGACTAGCAGGGGCGATAGAGGTCGGGTCGAGATGTCAGGTCAACATTCCCAGCGCTCCACCCGTTAAGAGAGGAACAGTCATGTTTGTCGGTGAGTTGCTAAACAGTCAAACAAGGATGTAAGGCCTCTGGTTGTGTACAGTGGCTTTGCAATAAACTGATCCATTAATGTCACTCATCACGCTGTAGTGGCAGTCATTATTCCCATCACCCTGGGCCCTTTCGCTAAGATGCATCCTCAATTCTTCAAAATTAAACTCCCTCTACTTAAAAATTGGATCCTGCCTCAATCTTCCAAAATCATCTGTTACATGTATGTCTTGAACTCTTGATATTGGTCAGTGGAGGGGCAACCACTGCCTTAACTATAACCAACCCAATCCATCAACATCCATCCCTTCATTGTGGTTGATTTTGGGGGACTTGGTCCAGGAGGCCTGGCGTGAGTAAATATTGATGGAGTATGATGGACTTGGGCCTAATGGCCTGAAGCTGTGCTAGGGGTATCCAATTGAGTTTGCCTACCTTCCTGTTCTGCTATTGTCATATAAGCCATGTGTAGCAAGTCCATGAATGTCAACCAGTGCGTCAGTGGTGGATTCCATTATGTCATGTACAGTTTTGTAATGGACGCACAGTGATTGATGGATTTTGATGGACTTGGTCCAGTTCCTGGTAAAAGATGCTAGAGAGTTAAGGCAAAGCCATCCAACTCACTTTTAAGATGGATAAAATCCCACATAATGTAGGTATACATTTATGCGTGGCCGAAAATAAACAATGCAAGGTTGTTTTTTTCCCCAGAATCAACCAAAACTGAATCAGGAGGTGCCCTGAATCCTCCATAAATTAAACAGCACTTTAACAGGCATAAAGGCTCAATCCTCCAAAAGCCATCAAAAGTGCCTGGTTGATTTTGAAGGATTGAGGAGAGTTAGAGTTGATGAGCTGGCTGCTAAAATGACCTGTTTAAAGGAAAATCTTAACGTTATTCCTCAAGAATATTACTTTGAATGATGTTTCTTTTTCTTTGTGTACATGTTGAATTTCTTGTGGCTGATACCATGATCCTCAAACGTGTCAAACTTTGTTCAGTGTTTTCCTGACTCTGCATGCTCCAAAGCAACACTGCATATACAAGTGCATGCACGTCGGACAATTTGAGCACTAGTATCAGACATTAATCACAGCTGCAATGGGCTCCGTGCACAAACTAGAGAGGGCGCTTTTTACCACTTTCGAGGGCCCAGTGGTTGGGACATACTGCGTGAGTGTACTGGTTTGCGCGCATAAAGCGCAAAGTACGCATGACTACATGTAATTTTATTTATTTATTGAAACCAGTTGTGTCTTTGCATGGGCGTCAGACGGCATCAGCAATGGGTTCGAATGCCTCTCCTGTGGTCTCCCCCAACTCTCCCTTTCTTACCGTTGAGGGGGTACTTGTGTATGGAGCCCATTGGTCACAATAACAAAGGCTGGGGCTCAGTGGATCAGTCTATTCTTTGTGTAAAATTTAACGATTTTTTTTTTTTTGTGGTTATTACAGGAAAAACAGATTTCAAGCCTGGTTTCTGGATTGGAGTCAAATTTGATGAACCAATGGGAAAGAACGATGGAAGGTTTGTGAATTCAGTTATTTTTTTCATTATTTCTGGTAATGAAACCAAACATTCCTTAAAAGTGCCCTTAACACTGCAGCTTGCACTTCAGTGGAAACCTGTCTAGAACAATGAGAAGAAATTACAGTTTTAGAGGTGGGAGGAAAACCCCAGAAGAATATTCGGGGAAAACCCACGGAATCAGGCAGGTACTGAAAACCCAATCCACATACTGGCCAAGGCGGGATTTTAACCCGGGACACAGCAGTGGAAGGCGAGGAAAGAACCGTTATGCCAATCTTGCTCTGATCTTGTTTCTATTTCTGGTAATGAAACCAATGATTCCTCACAAGCGCCCAAGACACTGTAGCTCGCACGCCTGAAGAAACCTGTCTAGAAAAGACATTGAAAAAATTACAGTTATAGAGGTGGGAGGGAAACCCCAGAAGAATATTCCGGGAAAACCCACGGAATCAGGCACTGACTGAAAACCCAATCCACATACTGGCCTAGGTGGGATTCTAACCTGGGACACAGCAGTGGAAGGCGAGGAAAGAACCGTTATGCCAATCTTGCTCTGATCTTGTTTCTATTTCTGGTAATGAAACCAATAATTCCTCACAAGCGCCCAAGACACCGTAGCTCGTACACGCCTGAAGAAACCTGTCTAGAGAAGACAATGAAGAAATTACAGTTATAGAGTTGGGAGGAAAACCCCAGAAGAATATTCCGGGAAAACCCACGGAATCAGGCACTGACTGAAAACCCAATCCACATATTGGCCTAGGCGGGATTAGAACTCGTGTCCCAGTGGTGAAATGCGAGGAAAGAACTGCTACACCAACCTTGCTCTTATCTTGCCCCTTAACTGGAATCCTCCCAAATCTTACGAACTCTTATTTTTTTTGGTTGCTGGTCCTAGAGGGCAAGCCTATCGTCCTCTTTGTAGCTGACTGACTGACTGACTGACTCCCCGACTGGCTTACTCCCCCACTCCCCTGACTTTCACCAATTAGACTTGCATAGTCTCACCCTGACCCAAAAGTATGAAATTAAATCACCCTGTAATGCCAATGAATAGGCTAAATACGGCCCATTGCAATGTGTAGGGCATGCGCACGAAAAGACTTTTAGCGAATAGCCTTTGTAAATCGATCCAGTAGATTTGTGTGCTCTTGGACCCGCTTTGCTTGCCTTGTCTAGTATGTTTAAATTCCTTTTTGTGAATAAATTTTGTATTGCTAGAAAAATAGCAATTCAAAAATCAAATCAATTCTGACGTGCAACTCAGAAATAGCACATGTATTAATGATATAGTCCATCATTTGTAATTTGTGCATTTTGTTCGTTTGAAGCAACAAAAGTGTTCAAAATCTAATGAAGGATACTGAACAACTAATCTGATGAAGTTTCAGCTCAGCTTCAGCTGTATATTCCGAGAAAAACAGCATTCTAGGATCTCAATTTCAAATCAAAAGTTGCTGAATCATGTTTTGAATTGTTTTGAATTGCAGCTATACGCGATGACGCGCACTGATCCGACGAATTATAGCAACCGGTGCGTCTTAAGACGCACCGTTGGAAAGGCCTTCTTTCGTTGGTTACTTCAAAATGATAGCTTGCCAGAAAGCTTAATTTCACAGGGAGTTTAGTCCACTTACTATCTTTCAACCAAGTATGTTTTTTTTAACAATAATACGCCAGTTACTTTTTCGGATGGCTGCAAATGATGGACTATAGCTTTAATAATGGAATAAATAGTGTGGGAGAACAGTTTTAATTGTCCTGATTCAGGGGCCACCTTCATTTCTTGCCGGTGTTTTATCATCCGTTTAAAACCACCCACGTGACAGGGTCTCAACCAATAAACTGTCTCAGGTATTTAAGAATAACAAATGGTTTTTTCCCCTTGCAGTGTCCAGGGCAAGAGGTATTTTGAGTGCCAGCCCAAGTATGGCAGCTTTGTCAAACCACAGTTTGTGACAACGGGGGATTTCCCTGAAGAGGATGTAGACATGGAAGACGATGAGATGTGAAAACTGAAACATGGAGTCAAGTTGGAGCATTTGGAAATGTCAGAAAATTTGCATGGTAAAACAATGAAATATTCAAAAGGCAAGCTCGGTGGCATAAGTAAGAGGGGGTGGGGGGATTTCCCAAGGCCTGTTTCCCCCGCCCTTGTGCCCCCCCCCCCCCCCCTGTTCCAGCCTCCCTTGCCCCTCTCCCCACTCCAGCGCCACCGCTCAGAATTCGGAAAAGGCATAAATAGCTTTATATTGTTTGAAACCATGGATGTGGATCCAAACTGTTTGAGGCTCCTATGATTTGGCTTCTGTCTCAAAGCTGGCAAAGTTTCCTAGATATGTTATTCAAATTCAGCAAAATTGTCCAACTTCTTTAAATAAAAACATTCCAAAATTGTCCAAAAAGGTCCTCAAATTTCATCAGTTGAGGTTTTAGCACCCTGTTGTTTTTCCTTGGGGGAATATGGGCTAGAAGGACAAATTAGAACATGCTGGTGATAGTTTTTTTTCTTTTGAAATGAAATGGAGTCCATATTTGGCAAATTTTAGGTCACGTCTCAATTTCATGGAAAGGCTGGTTGACAAAAACGGGTTACCTGAAAAAAATCCCATGCAAGGTATATTCTTGTGGTTGCTTGCAATTGTTTTTACTCAACGCAATACGTGTGTTCACTTGTGTTTTCTGCTATATGGATTTATGAATGTTTGACCTGAACTAAGGAAAGATCAATTTCTGCAATGCCTTTAAAAAAAAACATAACACACTATTTCCCACGGTGGTGTGAAACACGCCGTGGGCTTGAGCTGCTTATGTTGGTTGGTTGGTTGGTTGGTTGGTGGGTTGGTTGGTTGGTGGACACTTTACTCAGCCTTTTTTGTATTCATACAACTCGAGTATAACAGCTTTGCATTCGAAGACTGGTTTTGCAAACACTGTTGCGCATGCATCTAAATAGCACATTTTTGCATATTTGATCATGCCCCATTCGTTTTCTTTTCGGTACTCTCCAGGCACCGGTATGGCCCCGGTGCTCGGACGGTACCGTAAGTCGTCTTCACACGTTACCCGGCTGCCGTGGGTTGTACCACTTGGTACTTGTTCTAATTGTTCTGCAAACAGTAACAACAAAATGATCTTTGATTTACACCGTAAAACAACGTCATTTTCTGAAATTTAATCAGAAACTCATTCACAAGCTGTCGATATTCATTGTATATAATCAAACATCGTTACAGATAGTTGGATCTTGCAGCTTGTTTATTAATGCATTTCACTTGGTTTCTCAGAAAACGTTCATCGTCATTAAGTTCAACACACTTTGCTTCAAAGAAATTATTCTATTATAAAGATTATGCAGCTTGACCACATTCGAGTCACAAGATTTGTTTTCCTCAGTCAAGTATCAAACCAAAGTTAAAGGTTCTTAGGATCGGGGGGGGGGGGGGGGGCTCAAAATCCTGAGTAAGGTGCACAGCAACTAACATACATGAGGAATTATAAGATTGAATTTTTGCGTCGGGGTGATATAAATCAAATTAGGTTCTGCCCTGCACCGACGTTTAAACACTGTATACTCGGTGTGTTGCCTCCCGAGTGAAAGTTGGAAAAAGGTGGGTGGGGCTTATAATCTTATAATAGTTTACGCGGTATCCGCTGCTATGTACATCAGATTCGAACCAGCCAACCGATCCCGTTAGCTCGGTGGTCGAGTGGTAAGACATCTGCACTAGAAAGCAGGAGGTCGTGGGTTCGAGTCCCACCCGAGTGATTTTTTCCAACTTTCACACTGAGTATACAGTGTTTAAACATCGGTGCAGGGCAAAACCTTATTTGATTGATATACATGAGGAAGTTTTAGCTCAGTGACAACTACAGTCAAGTATCGTTAATACAAACTCGTTCGGACCTAGCCAAACTGTTTGTTATATCAGAATTTTGTGCTAAGAGGAACATCAGTCCCATTCATTGTGCACATAAATGCACAGTCGGGACTAAGGCTTTATGTTTGTTATAACCAGAATTTTGTATTAACAGAGTTTGTACTAACGAGATTAAACTGTATACAGTTTGATAAAACAGAGAAAACATGTTCATACTTTTTCGGGTCTCATATTTGGATTCCGTTTTAATCTGCCTTCAATTATAGCATTACACAGGGTGTTGTACCAATCCCCATCTTCAGTTGGATAAACGTTTCTCTTATTAGCTCTGTTCACATTTTCCCAATGTTCATACGTGCCTTTAATTAAGCAATTAACCTTGCACTTTTTTTTCGATTAGCAAAACAAGGTTGCCAACCATTTTGTTATCAGTTGTATATTGTTTGGAACTGGTCCTCTTCTTACTTCTGCTTAGCATGGGAAATTGCTTAGCGTACTACCTGGGGAGCACTGGATTTTGAGTTGGCCTTAATGCTAAAGTTTATGACATCTTCGTATTCCATATTTTTGTTCATTTTCCATTTTTACATTAATTTTTACATGTCATATGTTTTATGCACTTAACAGCAAAGATATGATTTGCTTGTAATTATTTTTGTGCTATTAGCACATGTATATAAAGTTTGTTTTTATAAATTGTATCACAGTTAAGTTATAAAAACTCAGACTGATATAGATAATCACAAGTTGAGTGTCGGGGGGGGGGTTGCAATTTGGATGAGCAAGCTACTTTTGAGAGCTGCATGTCCTAGTGCAGTTCATGTGCAGCACATGAAAGTGGCAATGTTATACTGTGTTCAAATAAATGTATTAAGAAGGGAGATCATTGTATGACTAAGTATTCTTGTGATATTGTGAATAGTGCTTTATGTCTTCAATTATGAAGCTGTGTTCCTTGTAACTGTAAGAATCACGACACAATTAAAGTTGCTCTTCAAACATGTTGGATTTCTTTCTCCTAACGAATTTTCAATTTTTATGTTTATTTAAACATAAACAAACACCTTTTTTTCGATTTTGGGTGTTTCCAACCCTCTGAAATTACGCCTTTTTTTTGGGGGGGGATGCTTTTGCGCCCATGGCACATTTTTTTATAGCCAGTATTTCAAAACTTAACGTACTAGGTGGATTTTTTTTACGTTGATATATCATTTTAAAGAAAAATAGCCATTAAGAAACAATTTTTTTTTTTCGGGGGGAAACTGTAAACCACTAGAAGGCATCCGAGGAAAGTAGCAGGCTCGTTCAAGCAAAATTGATCGTGTACCTGCAATGGTTAAGGTTTTGAAACCTTCAATCAACCCTGTTCATCCAAAGAAGTGGACATATTATTTGCGTATAGGCCTGCACCAATCTGCCATCGCAGTTTCTTTGTACAATAGCTGGATGCAGACCAATAAATAAACTGCTATAGACCTCAGCGATAATTATGCCCACTTCCAAAAGTTTTGCAAAAATTAAACTGTCCAAGGTGTTTGAGACACCCATCAAAGTAAAGCTTATTTCATAATCTTTCATTTTCTGTTCAATTATTTGGGGTTAACCAATGACTTTTGGGAGAAACTTCTGTTCAAAGATGATCACCCCTAAAAGTAGTCCTGAAGCCAATCGCGATTTTGAAAAAAGGATGCCTACGCTCCATTGCAAAATGCAGCAATTTTAGGGCCCAATTTCGTCCGAATTTCACAAAAATACGAGCTCGCAGTCCTGTTTACAGCTTCCACCCTTCTTTTATACAAACCCTCAAGTTAATGTCCCACAAAATGCTCTAACAGTGAAAATATTGAGGGCCTGCAAATCGTGATTTGGCCGGAGTGGGCCCAATTCCGGACCTATTAACTGGCCTGCACCCAGCTAATAAATGCTTTTGCCATGCAAGAGGGCGGACAAAGCAAGACTTTCATGTTTTGAGTGCATGTCTTGAGACACGGTTAAGTTCCCAAAGGCCATCATAATTATAAGATGTCACACCACAAACAGCCAGGCGTTATCCAAACATAATGTACAGGTTAAAAATAGGCTACATACTTTAGCAAACTGTGAAGTTACACGTTTTTGGCATTAGTCATTCAATGAGTCCACCTAATTGAAAATGTTTGGGTTCAGGCATAGTAGAGCAAGGAGAAATACTAGCGATATCATATACTATCTTCTCATAATGCAAGACCACAAAGATACAAATGAGAAACCTCATTGTCCACAATCCCACATTCACCTTGAACTTGAAGTCAATATAGTGTCCACATCAAAAAGGATTTCCCAATTGCTCCGTATTTTGATGACACCATGTTGTGTGCTGTGCCACAGGATCGTCAACTGATCCCAAACTCACAGTGAGACCTCTTCTCCAGTAAGCTCTGATCGTAACTGTTTCTCTTTGGCCATTGCTTCTCGCGTCAACTTGTGATCATGACCCAGAGCCAGTCTGTACTCTATGTAGAGAGAGACGGGAGACAATCGAATACTCAAAACCATGTTAATCTGCATCAAAGGCATGTAGGATAATTTGCATTTCATGCATTTTGTTCCTTTCCAATAATAAAAACACCACTCAAAATCCAAAGAAGAACGTTCAAAACCTAACCCCTTGAATGTGCAGCTCAGTGGATATTAGACTTTTCGAGAAAACAGTGAAAAACAATGCACAACATTTTTGTAACGACACGCGATTTCGTCAATCGTCAATAGCACTCTTTATTAAAAAAAAAAATCGGTCAACTGACTGATCGTTGGAAACCACCTACAGTTCTTGATTTCTTGTAAATTAGATGGAATACAATAGTTTCACAGTGTGTTTTAGTACCAGTATGATCTTAAAACCAAGTAAGCTTAGTTTACTTTTGGGATAAATGCAAATGATCCAATATGCCTTTTCGTACATAGGGCTAGATGTGTGGTCAATAATATCAACTGCCCGTGTACATACATTTTGAAAAAAATCTGAACTTTTCAGATCCTTTTTCATCTCATACCTCTGACGACGTTGTGTATGATAGGTAGTACTTCTCTCCGTATACTCAGCCGTATGGGAAATGGGATGTCCACGTGCTCTTGACGACTTCGTCTCTGAATCACCTCCAAGTGACCTTTATACTTGAAGAAGCCAATGAAAGAGGCCGTGGGTCATTCCATCAATTTGGGGTCCAATAGTCTGAGACAGACTCTGTCTTATTAGATATGCAAGAATAATTCGATTTGAATTTAAACTAAATTTATTCGTTTACGCCGCTGTTTAAACTCACTCTTTTGAGATAGAAAACATTTAAGAATTTGTCCTGAATTTACAAAATCTTATCAGATGTAATAGGGGCACGAAAAATATTGGATGACAAATTTATACCATTACACTGTACTAAAACGTGTTTACAAAATTGTAATAATTCTAGTTATTTTGTGAGCCAGTTCGATATTCTAAGTGCGCGTGGGTGCATCGAAAAATAACTGTATTCACATCGGGATAAACCATACGGCGTCTAGCGTAATGCTTCGAGGGTACAGCAAAACGTAACTTTCTGAGAAAAAAAAAACTCATCATGCTGATTTTTCACGTTTTACAGTACTCAAACATGTACTGGAAGTTTACTCCGAACACTTTTTGATTGAACGAATAACTGCGAATTCGGTTACCTTTGCCCATGTACTTGTGTATATGTAGTATTTATCCATGCATTATTTATTTAATATTGTGAAGCATATACGTACCTTTTCCATGGACTGCAACTTGACTCCAGCTTTATTCTTCGATTTCATCTGCCATTTCATCAGGCTGGTGACAACGGTTACCGTGGCAACGAGGGAGTCTAGTTTTGCACATGCATGCAAAGATGGGATCATAAGTGTTTATGCAACCATTGCAAAATAGTCGAAAATGGCGAATTCACGTTCGTAGCTATATGATTCGACATTGTTTTTGGAATGAAATTTCAAGTGTTTCGGTTCCTGCAGTTTCATTCAAGTCATGGTTTTCTGCACTTTAATAATTATCACTTCGCCACAATGTAGCTGAAAATCCGGGAATAGAGCCCTACCTTTAAACAAGAAGGAACAGATGCAGTTGATGCCCATGGTTTCTTCTGGGCCTTTCTTGTTTAATTTTGTTTGTGGATAACTGTTATTTAACTTTTGATGGTATACCCTAAATATTTTATCATGATTTCAGAAATTGGTCCACAACACCCTTGTAAAACGGGAAGGGGGTTTCTTCCTTTTCTACCCCCATTTTGCTATCATTCTATTTTATTTGTCAGGTATCTCTGGGTCACAGCCTGAAGACCTTCAGTAGATTTTCTTGACCTCGATTGTGTGAAGCCGGGGATATAAAGGTTTTTGTTTTCCTTTTTCAAAAGTTACCCTTTACTGACACAGTACACGTTGTGTTGGTATATAAACGACGTGGTCGCAAAACTAATGTGAGATGTAGCATAATGTCATGAAATAAACGCCTGCCCAGTAAAACCCAGAATAGGCCATATTTTGAGAGATAGAGAGGGGGCGTTGTAAGAACGCCATTTTCTGGGTGCAAACAGTAAAAAGTCTTGGGTTTTTTTTTTTTTTCAAAGCAAAGCTGCAATTTGCGTCTTTTTTTTTTTTTTTTTTTTTTTTTAAATGACATTAATAAAGCCCCTTCATTCGTATTGCCTATTGGAAGGATTTTATTTTTTGAACAAGAAGTACCTCGTTTAACACCGCCCTCAGCCGCACGGCTCTCATCTGATGCAGCTGCTTGAGGTTTCTAAAAAGTGCAATAGAGAGGCATGAAGCATTCGTTCTCTAAAAGTTTCAAGATTTGTCATTCGGACTCATGAGAAATTGTGGTACTGAATCTTCGTTTATCATTTGTCAAACTGTTTCGTTTACTTGTTTCTAAGTTTAATGAAAGCTTGATTTTCTTGATCGAAAATATGCGATGTTGTGCAAACAATGAGATGATTTTCCCTCCTTTCCTTTTATTTTAAAGCTGATTTTTAAAGTTTCATTTTAAAGTTGCTTTGTTTTTGATAGAAACCGGAGCACATACCTTGTCTTTTGGTGCTTGATGTCTTTTCGCAAATAGTGCTGTAAAGGAAGAAATGTATCTTTTAACCCTTGGTAATTATTTTAATGGTAAGAATCGGAAATAGAAATGGAGCATGCAATATTTTTGAACATTCTTCTCAGTTAATTTTAGACGTAATTTTTCACAGCTTTAGACACCCTATAGTTGTTGGAAAAATCAGAAGATTTTGTTATGAAAACAGGTTGCAGTTTTATTTTTTTCTTTAAATTCTTTTTTATTTTCAGAATTTTTCATAAAGTTTTAAATTATATTTAAGAAATGGAATTTTATTTTATGTCTCTTTGCCTCATACTCACAATTTGCCTTCTGTATTCAAATCTTTGTTATTATGCCTGCTCTTACCCCTGACAATGGATTCCTTTTCTTTGTCCTCATCTTCCAGCGAAGAGGACGCGGAATCCTTGGTTCCTGTCTCTCTGTCTGCTCCAGAATCAATATTGTCGACGCTTGTCAAAGAGAAGGATCAACCATACACAAATTTGAAGTTCTTTTAAAGATCTTTTAATATTTTGCGTCGTACCAAACAAAAGTGGATCGGCATCGGTCCAGTTCGTCCTTTTAGCCGATCCCAGATCGAGGGACATCGTATAGACCATTTACCATGTTGGGGCCATCTTGATTTATCCCATTCAAAAACGTATAAACAAAGCGAGGCCGGAAGGGAAAATATCCTGGGAGTTTTTGCACAAAAACCCATTATCTTTCAGTACTGTTATTGGATACAGGAAACAAGACTGAAATGGTGGCACACGATAAAGGTCTATTGTCCTCTTTGTACTTTCTCTGACTGAATGACTGACTGCTCTGGCACATAGTGTAAACCAAATGCATGAACATTCTTCCAGTGAATAGCCGTTCTGAATCAATTGAATAGAATTGGGTGCGTTCTGACTTGAAATAGTTGAATGGTCAGCTGCTCACCTTGTAAAGCTGGTCCCAGCTGATCTTGTTAATTCAAGAAAATGCTCAATCCGTTAAATTTCCAATTGAGGGGTAACATTTCAACTAAGTTCAGTTTAGATTGATCTTTTGAAAGGCAAAAACCTCCAACTACACTCTCTAAAAAGTCCCGGGTCAGATTTGAACCGGAATTCGGTTCATTATTGATGCTGTTCAGGGACCAAAATGACACTTCTCTTGATCATTGTCCGGGTCATTTTTGGACCCGGACACCTTGGCAAATGTGTCATTTTGACCGAAAAGGTATAACTTTGGCCCTGAAAAGTGTCAGGTCTAATAAAAACCTTGGAGTGTAACAGTTACTAAAGACATAATGTCATGAGGATCGGGACAGGTGAAATATGGGGTGATGTTTGTAATTAAAAAAACAGGGGTAGGCCTATAGGCAAATCCAACAATATTTCTCTGCAGGAAAATTCCGTTTGTGCACTCTAAAAAATCCTGATCAGATTGACCCTAATCCGGATTCTATTTGGCCTAACCCTGTTTCTGGTCAAACTTACAATTTTCCAGGTCAAAAATGACACTTTTTTCGGGTCATCTGGACCCGGAAACGTTGGCAAAAAGTGTTATTTTTACCCAGAAAATAATTTTTTGTCTTCTTCTTTTTTTACCCGGAAAAGGGTTATGCCAAATAGACCCCGGATTCCGAGTCAATCTGACCCGGATATTGTTAGAGTATGGTTCCCATACCTGGGCTTGTCCTCATCTTCTGTACCAATAGGCATCAAGCTTTTATCGTCAGCATTAATAGACTGGTATCTGCCCTCGATGGAGGATGGAATGGCAGTCAGCGGTTTACCGAAGGAGTCAGTCTGCTTCAATTCGGCAACCAGGGATATCTTGCTTGCATCATACTTCGTATGGCCAACTGTCTCAAATAAGCATATCAGCCATTTTATTGAATGTACATCTTTTCAGTTGGAAATTTTTTTCATTGTCTTCTGTGATCATGCTTTGAATTTTTAGTGGATGTAAAAGCAATGTGTGTGTTAAAGCCAGTGGCAGTAATATGGATGTATGAGATTTTGGCTAAGAAAATAATAACGGAAGTGATTTCCATTAAACAATCTAAACACAGGACTGTTGATCTTGAATAGGGTCTACTTTTCCATGAAAAGATACACTTAGAAAGTTTGACAAATTGATCAGTAGTTTGCCCAGTGTTGGTCAACACACCAACTATACACTCTTGGGGAAACATTTGAAACTTTTCCCCCGAATTAGCCAACATTATTTTGGGGGTGATTTCATGTACGGCAAGTAACAGTGACCGAACTTTTTTACCTTATTGACTGTTTACACACCCTATAGGGAGTATTAGGGTTAAAGTTGACAATTTAGTTGGACACACGCAATTGTGCTCTGTATTGAACCACTAAACGTTGTTCCTCATTATCTTATCAAATTCTAGGGCTTAACTTAAACATCGGTTTCAAACAAAAACATAAAAAGGCGGTCTAACTTTTAACGGAATTAACTCGGGCTATGACAGCCACAAGGTCATTTTGAATAGACGTTATAAATGGCACATTGGGCGTCGCTTGATCAAAGGCAGACAGGGTGGTTTTTTTCACCGATCACCCGGCCTCCCTAAAATCCAACAGCTTTTAAGATGGTGTTGTTGTTTACCACCTCCTATGTGGGCGCTGTTTAAAGCTAAAGCTATCGGATAATAGGATGCATTCTTCAAGGCGGCACACTTGCCGACGTTCGCAAGACGTTAACAAGTGGGTAAAAGTGTAGTTTAGGACACCTCTATTTTTTTACTAGTTCTGTTCAAAAATGACTTTTGCAAATGACTGCGAATTCTAATGTGCCAGCAGTCTTTATATTTATGATTATCTCTAGGTTTTTATAATTTTGATCAGTACTTTGGAAGAAAAATGTGAATTTACCTGTTGTAACGGTTAGAGACGTGCACAGCAGTTCCCCGGCCGACCATTTTCTGTCTGTGGAAGTTTTACCCCATATTTCCATTCCCTACTTCCACGAACATGACGAAAAGGAATCTAAATGAACTTTTTAATCATAAAGTGATTTTTCCTGCTGGTATCTTCGTCAACGACATCGATTTAATTGTGTGTTTTATTTTCTATGGAACGGGGTCCTCAACTACACTTCTATTATACGCAAACATAATAGGGCACTCTTGAAAAAAGGGCACTCGACAGAAAATATTTGGGTGGGAGGGGCAACTATCTCCCTTATTCCCGTCCCCGTTAGCAGGTTGGCCTATATCATGTAGGCCTAGGCCTTAGCCCAGGTTGGATGAAGTCTTCATTGCAATACGACTAACGTAGGGAGGAAAGTGAGTCCACCTGGGCTAGCCTAGGCCTATACGCAACTGACAAATTATGTCAAATGTCAAATTTACTCCCACCTGTCTGCGGAGATTGCTCTTGTACTTCGATGACTTTCGCGACCCGAGTCTTTTTAAACTTGGTCGGTGGGTACGAGTCTTCAGTATCGTCTCCTTCCATTTTCGTTCTCGATGCCTGAATGTTTTGCGCTTCGAACGCCTGTTGCCGAGCGCTGAAACCAAGCGCCTGTTGTAGTGCGGTGTCTAGCGGGGATTCGACGGGCGAGAGGACATCATCAGCAGGTATGGTTGACACTGTGTCCGTACTCTGAGGAATGACAGTCGGCGATTTCATGCCATCCTTGACCCTTACAGGTGAAGCTTTGCCTGGATCCATCCCAAAGTCATGAAAGTACTACAACTCGACATAGGGGCCTAAAGGTTATTTCGAATGTTTGTCCCCCAGTGTTTTGTGACAGCCTTCAAACGGACGTGATTCAAGTTATTCCGTCCACTTCATCCGAGACTCTTGCACTGACGATTATAACGTCCGCTAAATCATTCCCGATTCTTTTAAACTGAAGATATGACCATCACGATGCCCGCAGAATCAATGAGTCGCCTGTATGTACACACTTCGAACCGCTCGACTGTCACCTCACCATGCCACGTGTGGCGTTTCTCATTTGATTTTACGCAATAAAACAAACGGACGCGGGGATCTCTTCGAACTATTTGAATCGATTGGCATAGCTTGTGCGTGCACGCCATGATCTATGGAACTGACCCACAAAATCGCGCGTGTGCGTTGTGTCAATGCTTGCGCGCACCCATTCACAATTTCACCCAATTACAAACCAACTAAACGGAAATTGCCCAAAATTCGTCACTTGACTCATCTTTAGAAATTCCATTTTGGAGCTATATTAGGCACTGTTTTGGAGCTATTTACGACATTATTTTGGAGCTATTTTACGGCGGGAAAAAGACTGTTAATATTTACGCTTACTTGAACAGAATGCTTGCAAAATGAGGATTTTGTTTTAAAATTAATATTTAATTATGGTTTTCCCAGTTACTTCAACAATTGTATTATATAGCATTCCTTGGAAAGATACTTTAATTTCGTTCCAGAATGTCGTTGGGCTCCATTGTGTATTCCGATTTCGAATGTAATTCATATTATGTCTCCAGTGTAATTCGCAAATATAATATGAAGCATTCAGATTCGTCCACGTTTCGGGAAATTCGTCTACTTAGAAAAAAGTACCCAATGTTGTGTAAAGGGAACATGGTCGTTGGCGGGGTAAAACGCTACGCATCAGGGGTTGCGTCAAATTGTACTCAATTCCTGCGTAAAACGTTTACCCAACATTGAGTCAAAATTCTTACTCAATGGTGTTGCGTCAAAATTGTACCCAACAAATGATCACCCTTTCCTTTGACCCCCAGGGGCAGGGGTAGGGGGCTGGGGGGGGGGGGGGGCTCTGTCAACATTTCTGCAGTTTATTAACCATTCCCCTCGTCTGACCCCCCTCCCCCCCCCAAATGAATGCTCTGCTAAAACAAATAGTGCTGTCCTGCAGGCCAAGAGACTGACCGTGTTTGATTGTTACAAATGTCATGTACATTTTGTACACGTATACGATACACACAACACACATCGCGACATTGAAATTCAATCATCGACCTATTCGTCACAAATATCCAATGTTGTAGGTACCTCATACTGCCCACGTTTTCTCAATGACGTATTTTATTAATCAGTGCATCCTAAAAAGTAAATGATTACTTCTAAGTAAAGGTATCGGCGATTTCGAATCCCACTCTCGCAGCACGTTCGTTAGTCCACTAACCGCCATCTTGAATGTTACTGTCGATTTCGAGAACGTTCTTTTGGCACATTGGGCAATGTTTACTCATAAGGGGGTAATATTTACCCATCTGAGAGCACATATGCCTGTTTTGTTGTACGTTGCAAGGTCAAATATGCTTTCTTACTCTACGATGCTTGCAATTTGAACTTTTTCGGTTACACAATCAAAGGGTCAAATTTCCCTTTTGAAGGGTACTGGCAAAATCGTCACTTAACCTATAATTGAGTAAGAAAGTACTCAAGTTTTGTACGCAACACATTTACTCAGCAGTTTTTGACACTTCTTTTTTAGAGTGTAATGTGGAGATTGGTGTTGAATTAAAAAAAACATGCTTTATTATTTTTTAAATTTGTTATTCGTAGTTTCGTTTTCTTTCGTTTCCTTTCGTTTTGTTTCGTAATTTCGTTTCGTTTCGCTTTGTTTAGGTATATGTTCTGATACCTTTATATTTGCGGGCCGCATTGCTGCACTTCTGTCAAAAGTCAGCACAGTTAATCAATAGATATCGTCGGCAATGTTTTTTTTAAGATTTTTTATTTTCGTTTTTTAAATCTCTTCGTCATGTACATTTCTGTTACTGAATATATTGTAGTCAATTTTGTAATAAATTGTGTGTACCTATATTTCCTTTGGATCCCAAATAAAATTAATACGATAAAATAATGCAAAATTATATTGAGCATTAATTTCTGTCGCCCATTGTTGAAAGTATCGAACCAGACGATGACGGATCCATAATTTTACCTGATTTCAGTTTTCCTTTTTTCTCAAAGACAGACAATATTTTGTCTGACAAGTCTTGCTTTCTGGAGTAAGCCATACTTTCAAACCTGTGAAGTCATTGGCTGTTCTTGACTAAACTAATCACTCTCGCAAAACACAGCATTGTTAATATTGTTTGTAAAAAATAATGAGGAAGTTTGAGGGGAAAAAACAATGACTATACCGGAACATGTTTTTGAACATTTTGAAATATATACCTTTTATCCGGAACAGCAACGTGTTTACAATTTAAATATGATATCCAGTTCCCTTTCCCACACAGTTCCTGAATAAATTAACCTCTTACAAGTTTTTTGTAAATTTCAGTTGCCAGTAGGCACTTAGAGCTATGGGTTGGCTCTTTCTTTTTAGTATCTGCGCAAATTCATGTTTTCAAGAACTTGTATTCTAATAAACTGTTATAAAATTGACTCCTACTTTTTCACAATTTAGTTTTATATGAGCTGAAACACTCTTTCGTGGCCTGGATGTGATAACGGTGGCGTGAGCATGGGGATTTATACTAAACGTCTTTGATTTAAGCAACCTTTTCCTCTGTAGTTAAGCGTACTTTTGCTGTGCTTACTGCTCAGCAGTCTGTATGAAATAGACGGAGGCTCTGTAAGCACAAAATCGGTTGTTAAGCAGCGCTATATGAAATTCGGCCCTGCTGTATGGAAGCGACAGCTCGACGACTGCGCGTCACAACAAAAGCATGGTTTGAAGGGCGTGTTGGGCGAGTTTAGGGGCCATCCATAAAGTACGAACGCACGAAATGCCGACTTTTTAGACCCCCTCCCGTACGCATGACACACAACCTGTTTCAAGCCCCTCCCCCTCCCCTCCCCTCCCCTTCCCCTCCCCCTTGTATGCACATTTCGGTTTACAATACGCATCTACTGCATGTACATGTATGTACAATGAAAGCATTACAATTGATGCTTGCCGGCTACTTGTTATTGAATATTGGGATGATAAAAAAGACTAAAAAACTACGCAATGTTACCCCCCCCCCCCCTTCGTGCGCAAGTACTTTATGGACGGTCCCTTAGTCAGAAAAAAAAATGGTTCTGGTCTATTGCCAAAATCAACATTTCAAATTGGGACAGAGATAGTTCCTGTGCACACACAAAAACCCACACCACAGCTGTGGTGTTTGGAGTTCAGGAACTTTTTGGCAAGCATTACTTTGTTGAAATTTAGCATCCCCTTATATTTCAATGGATTTCCTATCACATACTTGAACTTTGTATCTTTATCTAACGCTTCAACATGAACAAAGTGTCTGGAATTTTTTCTGCGCTTTATCAAACCGAATATTTCAGCTCAAACCTATCAACGGCAGAACGTTCACGGAAACATTTCCCACATCCAAAAGTAAGTAAACCGTTACATTTGTTTTACTTTTCAATGGCATTTCCGTGCTATTTGTTCATCTCACCCCGAAAAATAGATAACTTTGCTTTGAAACTGCAATTTTCTAGCAGTACAAAAATTAATCACTTTGGACTGCGACATCAATCCCCTTATAGAACATCCGCTTTACAGATTGAGAATTAATTGGCGACTGGTGATAATACAGGCGTATCTTTTTGTACATGCAGTGGACGTAAAAGCCCCCCCAGCCCCCCCCCCCCCAAAAAAAAAATAAATAAACGTTTTCAGCGTAGGTTGAAAACGTCCAAAATATATATAGTCTTCGGTATAATTAAAACACATAAAAAATGTATTAGAAGCAATACAATTATGACAGACTAGCTTGGGAAATCCCAGCTCCGTTGCTCATTCGCCCGTTGCCCCGCCCTGCAAACAGGACGCTATTAGATACTCTGATGAATTCACGCTCTGATTGGTTAGATTTTGCGTGACCAGTGACCTGCGCGTCATCAAGGTCATGACTGCAAGGTTTGAAACGGCCATTAAGACTGATTCATTACTCTTTCATTCCAGTTTAGAGAGTTTTTTCCGTTGAAAAGCGTAATACTGTAGGAAATTCTGTAAAACTTATCTGTGTTGAAAATTTACAATTCCTGTCACTTGCTCAGGCTCCGTTTCGAATCACGAACGGTCGGATTGCATTATGCATTTCTATGGGAAGTTTTCGGATAGCATTTGCGCACATTGTGTGACTGCGGTCTTGAACAGCTTCAGCCAGATGCTTTATACATAGGTCTTAGGCTACTTCCTCCACAAATTCTGTGAAGGTCTTCAGAGTATCCCAGCGTCCTGTTTGCAGGGCGGGGGTACGAGCGAATGTTGCTCATGACATGACACATTTCCGATGCCATGAGCATTGCAGCTTCGGTTTCCCAACGTAATTCAAGACCATGCACACGTAAATCAACTTCAAGTAAAAGAGATTATAACAAAAAATTAGTAAAACAAATTGTATTTTACAGTTTACACAAGAAGTGCAAAAACTGAATCGAGTTTGGAAGACGTTTTGTGCAAAGACTATACAGAAAAGTGCAGGCTGTCCGCTGTTACAGACGATGTGACAAAATTTCGTTTGCGAATTGGATGTTGTGGTCACGTGATGCTGACTTCCAGCAAACGGTTCTCTTCTGCACTGCATGTATATCTCTTAAAAAGGTGCACGGTTTAAAAGTTTAATTTGGACCAAATGACTTGCTAAAGATACCGAAGCCTAATGTCTGGGTTGCCAGGCAGTTGCCAGGCGGTATACAGTAAAGTAAAGAGGCCGAACCTGTGTTAACAGGGAACGGAGTGTCCATCTCTCTTTCGTTAGCGATTGGGCCAGACTCATATATGCTGCTGTGGGGGGATCGCCACACCTCCTCCACAGCGAGTCTGTTACTTTCCCAGCATTGAATAATGCAAGTACCCATTTAACACCTGGGTTGAGAGGAGTAATTGAGGTAAAGCTCCTTACTCAAGGGCCCAACACGCATGGCCACGGCGGGGCTCGAACCCACAACCTCACGATCATGAATCCTGTGCTCCACCGCTAGACCACACTTGCGGTATACTCTCTTCATATAAAAAGAGTGAAAAGCACTCGAAGTGGTCCCCATAGGCCTATGGCTCTTTAACAAGAGTGGGAGATAAGTCACTCTTTTAGAGCGTTTTCACTATGGGTCATAGTGATAAACCACTCAAAAAAATGCAAATTTACTCTTAAAGAGTGAGAAAAAAAACACTCAAAAGAGTTTCCCCATGGCTCTCTCTAAAAGATTGTTTTTTCACTCTTTTACATTAATTTTTGGAGAGTATGGCGTCACAGTGCACATGGCCTGTACCTTTCACAAGAAGAGCCCACACAGCTGAGCCCATAGGGTCCGTTTCTGTTTTAGATAATTGTTTTAGGCTTCTGATTAAGTCTTTAGGGTTTGTTCTCGTCAAGGAGTTCACAACATTTTGTTAAAAATTTCATCTTTCCATGAGTTATACCAGGGTCCATAATTACTTGTGGTTTTGATCATTTCAGTTTGACGACCAGAAACGTTTGTTGACCTGTTCAGAGCCGGCCGCAGAGAGCAGGCCTAGCAATGGACACAACATATGATAAAGGTATTAACATGTACGGTAATGAAGGGAGTTTATCAATTTGTAAATGGGATAAATGTTGACTTGCACACCCAGCCTTTTGGATGACGACTTCATCTCATCGTGATATTCTTTAATCCCCTGCACTGTCAGAATAATGTCAAGATAATGGATTTTCCCATGTTAGAAAACAAATTTGCTTTCGTCGCGTGCCCACAAGGTCGAAGGAAATCAGCAGGGCTCCTTTCCGCACTCGTGAAAAGAATATTAACTGTGCTTCGGGGTATACCATCCCCCACATTTTGGGCCGAATCGCTGTGCTGAATCATGGGCTGTGCCGTACATCGTTTGTGCTGGACGAAAACAACATTTTCAGTTTTTATTTTGTGCCCCCAAAAAACCCACTGAGGCCAGAAAGTAATGCCTATGGCGATTTAAGGGGCTTTCCTAAAGGAACAAGTGACAAATCCTGGACAAATTGAGAGAAAATGAACCGAATGTTTAGCCCTGTACATTTCCAAGAGACCGCTTTCGCTGTTTGCCATCATGATGCATTTATGCGCATGCGTGCAAAATTATGAATATATTAGCAAAAAGGTCTCTACATCACTTCTACGTTATTACGGCATGGTTTTCCGTAATTTATAACGTTTGGAGTCGTTATTTTACGACTATTTTTTTCGAATACTTAAAGGGAAAATACAACATTTGCAAACATCAAAAAATAAAACTACCAAATCATTTTGAAATACCTTGCTGGACTGTTAGTGAATGACAGTGTAAAGCATCCTGTAAAATCATGGCACCTGGTATACTGTCATTTTCAAGAAAAGTGGTATTTTTGTATCAATTTCCAACGCTGGTCGGCCGACCAGCGTTGGAAAAAAACCGGCTTTTTTCAAATACTGGCCCCAATTGACCATCGCACTTGTTTGCAATCGATTACACACCTATGAACGGGTACAAAGGGACTGGTTCCCTGACCTTACAATTCCCCAATGTATGTAAACTGCTCTGTTTCTTCTTATATGGAGTCAGGGAACCAGACTACAGGAAAATGATTGTTTTTCTTGGTTTTTATAGCATTTTCGAACCCAAAACCTCAAAAAAGTCAGTGTAACTATATTTGCTATATATTTCCAACCCCCCAATTCCATCCATTTCTGAAAATTACAGCAAAAGCAAATGATGTATATTCCCTTTAATACTCATGTAGAAGTTTCCGTCACTCTTTCTTTTGATTGTTGAAAAGGGTGATCCGGGACAATTTTAACTAGGCTTGATGGTTATTCCACCTGTTTGAAAATGACACCATAATGACCCAGTGATTTCACAGGATGTTTGATCCTACAATTAAGTGAGAAGATTTCATTACATTTTGGCGGTTTCCTTTTTGAATGTTTGCAAATGGTGTCCATTAATTGCCTTTAAATAAATGTGCCGTAACAGTTCTGTCGTTATTCCTTCTGTGGTTATATAGCGGTTGCTGAGGCACTCCTTGATAACATCAGAGAAAGAAGCATCGTTGATGTCGTTCGCTTCCTAAAAACAATCCCCCAAGAGATTAGGAATCGTCTGTTCCCGTTCACGGATGAGAACAGGAAGATCCCAGGTAAGAAGCAGGACCCAAGTGAGTTATGGGAGAGGTTTCCCCATCCCTTCCTTCAAGTGGCCTGTGAGCGCGGAGATGTGAATATTGTGCACGTCTTGTTGGATAATGGCGTGGACGCAAGTCAGCGGACGGACAGGGTGAGTTTAATCCTTCAATATCCAGAGTCCTTTCACGATTCCTTACAAACAATCTTTGACCTGGAACACTCCTCATGCGTTGATTTATGGGAGCGAAGAAGCGAAGACGCCCTCGTCAAGAGAGATTTTACGGCATAAATTACTATAGGCACCCTTGAAATCAGTGCCCGATATTCCTGATCTGAAAAGTTCTCACGGCGCACTTCCAGAACCATTGTGCGTACCACCAGTGGATTACAATATCATCGAGACTTTGCAATTCGACATTTCTTGCAGATTTTAGGGAAATTGGTCAAAGAATAGAAGAAATTACAATTTTGGTACAATGTACGACCCATCCCGTATGGTTCTCAAAAAATACCAAAGGTTACCCGTTCCCAATCGGGTTTTTTTTTCATGACTATATTAACCAGTCTATGTCACAAGTGACAGTCGGTGAGTCAGGCATTTAGTCAGTCAGTGGATATAGGTACACAGATGACACTAGGCTGACCCTGTCGTACCTCTTTTATACTTCAGAAATTCAAGTGTGTTGTTTTTTTTTATCCCTGCCCAAAACACATGGAAAGACCGCTATATATATAATGGTGAAGAGCCGGGCAGTGATTTCGATTAGGATTACCCATAACGCCAATGGATGGGCCCATCCGGCCCATTGCGTAGACCAGATAAATGAAAAGACCACCAGTAAAATAGCCATTCTTTACTATAGGCTTGCCTTGTGAATATACTAAATTACTGGGACATTAAAATGCCTCAAAATGTAATTGATTGTTCTTCTCAATGTTGTGAGATCATCCGAGAATATAATCATTCATATTATACCTCACTTTAATTTTAATAACATTATGAAAAATATATGATTAAGTGCAGGAGGGGACAGCATTGGAAGTCGCTAGCAGACATGGCAAACTGGTCATCTTGACGGCTCTGATTGAGTGGGCGCCAGGTAGGTATTGCTCGTGAAGGAGATCATTTCTGTTCCTTTTCGAATGATCCGGTCCCATGCTAAGCCCCCCCCCCCCAAAAAAAATATTCGGTCTCTGGTCAAACCAAAGTTCCGGAATTGACGCGGGGACGCGGCTTTTATTTTTTTCTCTCTCCAAGCTTGGATTGTACAGACAAGGTGGGGTACTATTTTGCTATTTGGTGTCCTCATGTACATTGGTGTCTTCCATAATTTGCCTTGGTGCTCTCGATCATTTGCCTTGGTGCAATTTCCCATTCCTTTGTGCTCTTTGGTAAAAAAAAATTGAGGAGGTGTGGTAATAGAGGGCGCTGTTGGAGCTACCGCGGAACATTTTGGAAAAAAAAAGATTGACGCGCATGATTAAAATCGACGCGCGCGCTGACCAGAGACCGACTTAAGAGACTACGACGGCCTAACCTCAATCTTTTGAAGGGTCATTCTCAAACTTATGTTTTTGTGTCAAATTGCAGAACTCATCGAAGATGAAGACACCGTGAAGGATTTAATGGCCATAGCTTGCTTCGCTGGACACCGAGACATAACTGACTACTGGCTGGACAAACTTACTGAACTCAAGAACGGCGAAGCACCTTGCAAGGAGGACTTTGTTGCGGCAAATGATCCACTCATTGCGGCATGCAAAGGTATTTGGAGGTAGTGTTTCGAATTTGCGGAATGGTGAGGCGTGTGCACGAGGGAGACTGATTTCATTCTTCCCTGAAAGGGTTCAAAATGTAGGTCAGAAGTACCACATTTTCAATGGGGAGCGCTCGTACAATGATGCATACTATAATACCTTATAGTGTGCAAATGCCCCCTTCTCACGGCTATATTTTTTGGGGGTGAGATAATTCGCACGTCAACTTCTAAAATTGGCTACTGCAATGTTTTTGTTTGTTATTGATTTGGGGGGGGGGGGGGCTAGACAAAATGTGGGGGGCTACAGCCATCCTAGCCCCCCCGCCCCCCCCCCCCCCCCCCCCCTCACGTAGAACAGTGCCTGAAAAGTTTTCAGTGGTATTATCATGTAGTAAGTAGAATTATTGTTTTGGTAAAAGCGCATACTTTCCGTACAGGGGGACACTGTTATCTCGCTGCTTATCTTCTCGAGAGGAGAGTGACAATTGTGAATGTAGAAACTGCTTTCAGAACTGGCCAGAAGTTTCCTGATCTTCTACAGCTTTGGTGTCAAAAAGAAGCGCATGAAATAGAAGGACGGCAAAAGGTAAACTGATGGCAAAAAGCTAGTCAAAGTCAGAATCAATCTTTCCCGGTGATTACGCAAACCAAAAGTAAACTCTTGACATGTAGATGTTTTGGGGTTTTTTTTATTGGGAACCTAAGCCTGTGTTTTTCTTAATAAATACATATATGAAGGGAGAAGTTCCATCTACAATGATATTTAGATTTGTTTCGTGATGTAACCGATAATATGTTTCAGTGTACACCTTAGAATATTTTAACTAACAAGATCTGGCATATGCTTTTGTATTTTCCTCCCAGAAGTGTGTTGCCCAATGGAGCGCTCGTCAGTTGCATCACTTTGACGATACTTGGCTCACTAATCCAGACCTACGTACGCTGGTCCAAGTCAACCTATCCCACAATGCACTGGAGACGATCCCAACACCGTTGCTATGGGGAATGCCATGCTTGGAATCATTGGACCTATCCCACAATGCAATGAGAAAGCTCCCTAGCCCAGATTCTTTAACGGCGCTTCAAAAATCGAGGTGAGAAAGATATAATCAGGAACTTCTAAATAAATTAGGCGGGCTGAACATTACACGCAATTATTCAGTCAGTCATAATTGAATATTAAAATGAGACCGATCACCAAAAACTAACAATAGGGACTCAATAGTGTGATGAGCATGGGTGGCAAAGGGTGCCCCCCCCCAAAAAAAAGGTAACCGACAAATGGGGGTATTATTATTAATCTATGAGCTTATTGACCAGTTTTATGGTTGTAATCTAATCATGCATCACTGAGTAACATTGTCTTTAAAATGGTATGTGAAAACCCTCTTTGGACAGTTTGATATATATTATTATTACTATTACATAACATATGCAGATATAATAGTACGGCATATAGGTAATGTGACCAGTGGCGCACCCAGGATTTGGATTTGGGGGGGGGGGGGCTCACAAAAAAATGGGGTTTTTTTTGGGGGGGGGGGGGAGCGGACTATTTTGACGATGGTGGCGCCACTTACACCCTATTATACTACTCGAAAATAGGCCACATACATATCACCAAGGTCAAATCGTGGAACAAAAGAAACAAAAAAACTCGGGGGGGCCTCAAGCCCCCCGAGCCCCCCCCCTCTCTTGGGTGCGCCACTGGATGTGACTGTGCCTTTGATGATACAAGCATGGCATGTGGCACACAGTCAGAGTATGTCATGAGAAAGATATTTGGCTAAAGGGCCATCGCAGATTTGTCCTTTAAGAAAATATAAGTAAAATAACAAGCAATGGCAGCCATTTTGAAAATTTTGGAAAGTGCTTGTTATTCTACCAATCTTTTTCAAAGGACAAATTTGCGATGGCCCTATAGCCAAATATCTTTCTTAAGACATATTCTGACTGTGTGCCAAATGCTTTGCTTGTATCATCAAAGGCACAATTCCCCCAAATATTTCCCCTATCTGCTCACTATAAGACAACTAGGTCCAAGACACATTTAAGTTATGAAAACATAATTGTTGCATTGTGCTGCAGCTTTTGTTGCATTTTTAAAAGTCAAGGAAACACCTTTCGGCATCCTTCGCGGGCACAAGCTAATTCCCTTATTACATCTCGCTTAGTCATGCCGTGGAATGGCCTCCCTGGTTACCGGATGTAACTTTTTGTTTTACTCCCGTTTTGTGGGTGTATTTAGAAGACATTAGGTTCTCAGCAGTCCGCCACTAAACTTTCAGGATCTGCAGGGCCACCTTTATCAAAAGGTGGACAGTTAAACAAACCTGCTGTGCAATGATGAGACAGGCCATGGTAAATATGCGCCTCCACGGTGAACTTTGTGTTAAAAGGGCAGGTAGACATGCGGAAGGTGATCGTAATGACAAAGGTGTTAAATCCTGAATGATTAAGATTTATCATTTGATACATATCCTGCTTTGTTCACGTTTTCCTCATACATTGTATTAAGAAACGTCATGATATTGAAACCGGGTAGCAATAAATTAAAGTAAAATTGTATTATTATTATTATTATTATTTTTAAATTTTAATTAGGAGGCTAGAGTATTCACGTTGTCAAATTCGCATATAAATTTGGCAATATTTCAGCAATAAATTGTTAATTAAAAGAGCCTGTACAGACCCGCTTTAACGCCATAGATTGAACCGACTGCCTTTAACCTCACTACATAATATTTATAAAGACATCCCTATTGCAGAGTTGCAAAGTAATTATTATTTTTGTTTACACAGGTTGACATATCTGAAGGTTTCCCACAATAAGCTTGACAATGCTCTCTTAGAGATTTTCATGCTGCCACTGCTTGAGAATCTGGATCTGTCTCACAATCGCATCACAAGTCATCATAGACGCTCCGTCTTCAAGCTGGTCAAACCAGGTCAGCCAAGATGGAAAACATGCGTTTCCCCATTCTGTTTTTTTGTAAAACCAATAGAGCAGAAATGTTACTCCTTACACTACCATGGGAATAAATATGTCCTTGGCCAGTTTTAAACAAGTACGTTTACAACTGGCTAGGTGCCTGCGCACGGATAATGTCCTGGGCCGAATTTCTTGTTCATAAATACCTTTGGGTCAAACAAGTCAAACAAGTAAAAACATTTTTTTTTATAGGTTTCCAACGATTTTGTTCAAAACTTTTACTTCATGCTTTGTGAAAACTCCTATGTTTATGGTATGTGCCTCCCACGAGTAGTATTAATAATGTCCTTATATTATATGGAGGTTGGCGGGCGCGTGGTGCGCACTGCGCGATGTGGCGCAAAACGCAGTGGCGCAGGTGTAGTGTGAATTTAGGACTCTCTCAAATACTGACAGTGCATGCCTAAGTGGAGATAATAATTAGGAATGGCCCCGTGCCATTCGATTAGTCGAATGCGTTGTTAATTCCAAGCAACGGACAAATATGGCGGCCGGGCAGCGGTAAAGATCTAGTGGATCCAAAATATCAACTTTTGAAGTCTAAACATAACTACCCCCCGCCAAGGAGGTTATCTTTTCCTCGGCATTGGTTTGTCTGTCAATAAGATAACTCAAAAAGTTATGGACGGATTTGCATGAACATTGTTTAGGGGTGGTCCTTACAACTACAAATCGATTAGATTTTGGAAGTGATCCGGATCTGGGTCTGGATCCAGGATTTTTTAAAAGGATTCTTCACTATTTATGCGAGTATTTCTTTTGGGTGTACTGACAACATGGTGGGGTTGCGCTCTCTGAGTGCTTTCTAGTTAGTTAGTTAGTTAGTTAGTTAGTTAGTTAGTTGGGGAGTTAGTTACACTCTAAAAACAACTTAGTCAAATTATTGACTGGTTTTCCTAGTTATTGGAAATTGACTAGGAATTTAGTCAATCATGCAAAATTTCATACCATGACTAGAAAAAGTAGTTGGGTTCGACTCCAATTTCAGTTATTTGCATAACTATTTCTTCAAAGCCAGGAATACTGACTGGACAAATCTAGTCAGATTGACTGATTTTCAGTTGCACCCAGCTGACCCTGAATGGCTAGTCAAATTTGACTGGTTTCTAGTCAAATTTGAATAATGCTTTTTTAGAGTGTAGTTAGTTAGTTAGTTATCTCCTTGCGACTTTAGTGTCTATACTTCCAGCCCGATGTTGTTACTTTTTGCGAGTGACTGAAAAGCAGTAGATCTCAAAAGTAAGACTCAGTCCGAAAAAAAGCGTTTTGCCAATGGCTACGGCCACGGCTACAGACGTCACGTGAGGATCGTGATGGCCCGCATAGGAGCGTTCGATTAGCACGGCTCTGGTGGCCAACCCGTCTGCCTTTACTCTAGTCGATCCGGGTGAGCTGCTCGAACGCACCCATTATTTGGAGAGTGACTGGTCCGACTAGGGGCCAAATTTCATGACTTTGTAACACAGGAAAAAAGGGTTTTGAAACCAGTCGGTGTTTTATGAACCGTTTAAAACCACCCGGGCTGTCGATCAACAGGATTGGGTAACCTGTTTGAATTATATATCAATATCTTGGGAATTAGTTTTAGTATCCAAAATCCATTTTTCCCCATCAGATGAGAGTGAAAGTGTCTGGGACTGCAGCAGCCTGATGGTGTTAAATCTGTCCTATAATAAGATCATCCACATTCCTCCTGGCATCAGCACTGCCAAGAGTTTGAAGAAACTCAATGTGTCTAATAACAGACTATCAGAGCTTCCTGCTGCCTGGGATTGCCCATTGGTAAGTAGCCGAACCATTGCCAAAGTGTGTCAGAGTAACATTTTTATTGTGGCAAAATCTACTGTGGGGAATACAGAAGGGAAAGTCCTATTTCGTAAGGGCCAGGGCAAGGTTGGGGGTGCCCAATGGTAACACTCCTCTCCCTTGACGCCTGTGCTCCTCTCAACCACCACCATCACCACGTGCCCCCCCCCCCCTTAGAGGGAAATAAAATTGAGCTCATTTTGTCGTTAACACCCCAAAAGCAAAAAGATAAATTTGGACGCGGGGTAAGAAATTATTGGTCGTTTCCATAGACCATGTAGAAAAAAATGCACCCATTCCCACCAATGATCATAATTGCAAAACATTCAAAGCTTGCAAACATGACAGAGTATATACCCTGCTATATATATTTCATAATGGCATTGCATTTCCGAGATGGCGGGCGGACCCCCGGGCCGCGGTATTTTTTTTCATACCACACGCTGCTGGTATAATATAGAATTATGCTGGAGGGCCCTATATACGCAATAGTATAATGTTTAAAACTACCACATCGATCGAGTCACTGCGGTAGTGTCATGGATACTACATTGGATTACAAATCTGACGGTGCGAGTTTGACTCCTATTGGATGCTTTTTTGTGGTTTGGAGGATTTTTTTTCACAGGGAAAATAAAGTCCCAGAGCCTGACTTGCAACTCAACGTACTTCGAAATACGCCCATATGCATGTGTACAGAAAACAAGGCGTACGGGAAAAAAATAGCGCCCCCCCCCCCGGGCCGCGAATTTTCTCTTCCCACTACATGCACATACATGGTTGTTTAGCGCCTTCTATGATACTTTTAGATACATATATATTTTTTTCCCCAGGGATTGTCGAGCAGTGCGATAGCTCAATCGATAGTGTCGTGATTTTTGCCAACGCGAGGTTGGGGTTTTTGTACCCGATTTTTTTCTTTTCTAATCTGAGGCTTCGGAGGATTGTTTTAGAAGGGAAATAAAGTCCGAATTTCATTGCGTTCGAATTAATTTCTTTTTTTCTAATTTTATATTTTCTTCTCATGTTTTTAAAGAAGTAAAGTCCAAAACGCCATAGCGTACACTTTATGCGGATGTCGTTTGGGGAAAAACAATTCGCCCATGTTATGATACATGACCATGTTATGAACATGTATCAAGTCGCATCCTAATTTCATAAATATGGTTGCTTTAATGTTGAGTGATACCATGATTCTACATTGAACAAGTAATGTAAATGGAACATGGGCTGGATTAATCATAACAAGAATATATAGTATGATTCAAGAATGTCCGTCCATGTTATGAACATTATCCTTCATTTTCATCTTAAAGGGAATGTACAACATTTGCTTTTAGTGCAATTTTTAGAAACAAATGGATTTGGAGGATTAGTATGTTATAGCAAATATTGTTAAACCGACTTGCTTCACGTTTTGGACTTGTATAGATGCTCGAAAATCCTAGAAAACCAACCATGTTCTTGTAGTCTGGTTCCCTGGCCCCACTGAAGATGAAACGGAGCAATTTATAGATATCCGGGAATACGGTCGTTTCACAATAGTGAGCCTCCAAGAGTTTGCAACGCGTTGGCCAATTACGATGCGCGAAATCGGTCGACCCAATGCGGAAAAGGTCGACTGATTTCGCTCATTGTGATTGGCCAACACGTTGCAAACTCTTGGAGGCGCACTATTGTGAATCGCCCGTATTGTCAGGTAGAGAATCAGTCCAGCAGGCTTGTGCCTCTTCACAGGTGTGTAATCAATTGCAAAGAAAATGCGGGATAGCTAAATATGAAAAATTAGGAGCAGTTTGTGAAAAAGCCAGTTTCCTCCTACACTGGTCGGCCGACCAGCGTTGGAAAACATAAGTTTTCTTGCAAATGTCAGCATACCGGGAGCCACAAGTTTACAGGATGCTTTATACTGTCATTCCCTTGCAATCCAGTCAGATGTTTCGTGATAATTTGATCATTTCGTTTATTGATGTTTGCAAATGTTGTATCTTCCCTTTAAAGATGGCTTGGTAATTTAGTACATATCCAGTGAATCAGCCTACATATTTATCAGTGCAATCACAAATAATACAGGAATGTCTAAAAACAAAAACTAGCAAAAACTGCTTTGATGAAATTTAATATAGCTCTATATGTTTGACATCCACCTCCCATGTCTCACTCCTGAAATTATCAGTTGTAACCGTTAGTGTGGACAGACCCATTTGGATGTTTGGTTGTGTACGAATTACATGTACTTCGCTACGGCTTGAAATAACGCACGAGTCTATGGGGAGTGACTGCAGCCACTTCCATAGACTCGTGTGTAATATCAAGCCGTAGCCAAGTTATTCGGACACGGCCTTCGTTTGACAAATCAGCAGGGGTAAACATTACGTAGCGCGTTGAACACCAATAATGCATTCGCACGTATTATATAATATACATGTACATGTATCATTATTATCATTATTCTAAAGAGACTTTCAACCTGTCCATCTCACAGAAACGCTTGGATGCCTCCAACAACAAGATTGGGAAAGTCCCTGACATGCATGAGTACTGGAATCGTTCCCTCACGAACTTAAACCTCAGCTGTAACCACTTGACGGAGATTCCTTGGACTGTCTGTCAGCTGACTCTGCTGGTAAAGCTGAATCTGTCCGGCAATAAAATCACCGAGCTTCCTCCTACTGACTACTGGAACATCTACAGCCTCAGAGAATTGTTACTGGCTGATAATTGTTTTGAATTTACGGAGAACACGGCCTCCCCATCAGCACCTGCCATTGTCAAGAAAAGAAGGTTTGAATGAAAAACAGTATTTTAGTTGGTTGGTCTGTTGGTTGGTGTTTGTAGAATACGAGATTCGTATGCAGAGAGATACCTTGCCGTTGTCTTACCACAAACATTGCACAGTTTACTGTTGTATTTGTGTGAGGTTTGATGAAGAAAATTATTATACAAATGAAAACCTAAGCGGACCCCAATCAGTATACCATGTCATTTTGACGACGTAGGTGGGACGTGGATATTGCAAATGAACCGCGCCTTCGGCCTGGTTTAATCCAGCCATCAGTACTGTTGTCTCGCATTGCCTTTTCCATTATTAATTATTAAACTCATACTTTTTAAGATCCCTCAGGTTCTTCTCAAGGGATATAAGTCAAACAACCAGTTTGGAAGTGCCACCGATCGGAGATGCCACAGCTTCATCGGTTGTCTTCCCAGAGAGCTTCTGCGATTCTCTGTCAACCCTAGACCTGAGCAATAACCAGCTACGGGACGTGCCCCCTAGTCTTTGCAAATTGGCTTGCCTACAAAGGCTGGATCTCAGCGGGTATGCACATTTAGATCACCATCAATATTACCTGCAAAGCGGTTAAAGAAAATGTATTTATCCCCAAAAGAGTAAAAACCACAAAGTTGGAGAACGAAAACCTCAATCTATACAGTGGCCCTGACATGAATCAAACAGGGGGCGTCAGAACTGGAAGGCAAAGAGCCACTGCATCGTCACATAATACAAAAGCATGCATGGTTCTAAAATATAATTGTTTGTGTTCTACAGTAATACAGGCATTGAGAAACTCCCAGACAATCTGGCGCGATTGAAAAGACTGAGGTCCCTCAAACTCGACGACTTGAAGATTAAGGAGCCAGAGACGCTTGTGCCTGTCATTCAGGCTGGGCAACTTCAGACAGGGGAAATCCTGGAGAAACTCAACGAAAGACGCTTGAGTTGTAAACCACACCGCGGTATGAAACTCATGTTGGTGGGGCCAGAGGTATGTTCCAATATTGACAAATCCATAAGTTTACCATTCAGTACCAAACATCTAGTCTTGTTCCCGGACCAAAACGTTATGACTAATCTAACAAGTCTTATAGGTCAGCTAGGCGCCACGGCACGTGACTAAAATTAGCAGGATCCTGCGCGTTTCTGAAAACGTCCGAGGTTTTCCGAATACGTTTTCGTGGACACTCGGATATGTTCGGGTATTTCCGAGTGTATTATGTTTTTTTTTTTATTTACCTGTCATGTTTGTTATCAGTCCTAAAACAACATGAGTTCATAAATCCAAAGCTTGCATTCAATATTTTCAGTAACTGGCGTTATGCCCATGTATAGGTGTTGTGTGTCGAGAATGCACTTGGACGAGGACTAGGTTTGCTGCGTCGTGGTCTATTTTTGTTTTAGAATATGACGGTTACCTAGACTAAAATCTATTGTTAAACGTCAAAATTGTGCGGTCATGGAACCATACTACCAATCAAAAAGCGTATAGCTACAGGGGGTGTAGGGTGCAGGGGTGCGATCTTCGTTAGAGAGCTAAGGAAGGACACATCGCGTACCAGCAATTTTGCGTTTGCGTTTATTAATGGATGTTACCAAATACCAATAGATATACAGGAACTTTCCCGGCTCACAAAATGGTCCATGTTCTTTATACCTGGGGATCGTTTATTATTAAGGAGGGATTAGAGGATAATTATTATTTCTTTGTCTCGTCAGAAATGCGGCAAGACCTCAGTGTTGTCCTGTTTGACCAAGAGGGAAGTTCTGCCCGATGAAGATCTAAACATCAATCTTTGCTCTTGGACTCTTCAGAACCCTGACAAAATGCAACAAAAGCCCTTGCCTACGAAGTTTTTGAAGCCTATTGATTTGTCTACGGATCAGGTAGGATAACTTTGTTCTGATCGATAATATTCATTTCTTTAAAACAATAAGGGTTTGCAAGAACACAAAAGCAATAACACAATGTTAAGAACGGTCAGAGAATGACACCTAAGAATAACGTGTAGCAATGCAATGACTGTTACGACTAGATATGAGGGGTTTCAGATTCGGTACAATTTATCTTTTAAAAAATATATAAAATTGTTATTTTTATACCTTGAACAGAAGGGATGTATCTGCTCCTGAAGTAGATCTTTTTCCTTGGCTTTAGAGTGTTTCTGACCAAAGCGATGTACATTTTTCGATGTGGGATCTGAAGGGAGGTAAGCTCGATACTATTATCCATCAGAGTTTCTTCACACCTAGGACGCTGTACCTGTTGGTCTGGGATCTCAGAGACGGCTTGGAGGGTGTTGATCAGAAGTTAAAACCCTGGCTGCTTAATATTCAGGTAGTCTTTGTCTACTGACCAAAAGAAAACGACGAATTCTGTAAAGTATTATCAATTCATTAAAATATTCATATTTCCAATTAAACAAGAAATTTAGTTTAGGACGACTGCACAATTTTCCTCGTGAAGGCTTGGTTACAAATTGCAAACCCAAAATACGCAGCAAATGCAAGAAATAATGACATGTAAGCAAATCTGAAGTGTGGGGAATAACGTTTAGATTTTTTTATTTATTGTGGCTTCATTTAGTCAAGGGCATCGGAGAGTGTCACCATCATTGTCTCCACCCATTCAGACAAAGCAAAGAAGGTTAAGTCGATCGCAGGTGCAATCATCAATAAATACAGTGGTCGAGATGGGTTTCCAGACATCGCTGATATTGTTGAGGTCACAGCAACGAGCTCTCATGGGGACGGCATTGAAGAATTACGGGGCATTATTTACCGGAGGGCTCTTGGAATGAGGATCAAAAAGAGCCGGGCTTCAGGAGCTGCTCCAGGACAGACAGACATTCCCCTGATTGGAAGAATGGTAAGACCGCCTTTACACAGGGCTGCGACCTTTGGGCCTCCCCTGGGCGACCATAAAACTGGCCAGATCGCCGTTGGAGGCTCAAAGGAGGCCGAATGGTTGCCTAGTTCGTTGTAGAGGTACACAGGATGTTCAGACATCGCCATGGACGCCATGGTCGCCATACATTTTTGAACATGTTCAAAACAGTCGCACAAAGGTCGCCGAAGAAGTTGATTGCTCAAAGGTGGCTCAAATGAGGCAGAAGGGAGACACAAGCATTGCCGTGGTTGCAGAATGGTCGCCGCTTAATAGATCCGTTCTGTTGCAAAGTTTACCGTCAATCTGGGCGATGCTTCTGCCTCCCTTGTGCCTCCCTATGCCTCCTTTGACCGACCAATAGCGTGCATTGAACGATGACTATGGCGACCACTGAGCCTCCATTCGGCGTTGGTTGTCGTATGTTGCACAGGGGAAGCAGAGGTCGCTCGAGCTCGACATGAAAATGCCCGAAAATTGCAGTTTTTTTGGTTCAAGGGAGGCACACGGATCGCTGGAGCAGTTACACAGAAACATGATTTTCTTAGTTTAGGCGACCATTGAGCGCCCTGGCCATTGTTTGGTCGCTCATAGTTGGTACAAAGGTCGCAGCCCTGTGTTAAGGGGGCCTAACTTTTTGATTGAAAATAAATAGACCATGCGAAATGTCTCTTAAATGTTGCAGCCTACGCTTTTAAAGATGCTGGTATCGGTAAAAAAAAATATGAAATGCCTCTAGTTTCTGGTCAGAGTTCGAGGGTGTACAAAATCTACACCAATGTTGACTGGAAGAGTTCATTATGTAGACTCTCTCAGATGCCCTTGCCCCTAGCCATGTGTATCACCTGGAATTCTTGCGTAATTCCCGGAGCCGTTTTTGAGCAATAGCAGCGAACCCATTCGCTTAGTGCACGCACAAGAGAGGGCACTTTTTTACCACTTTCAAGAGCCCATAGACATCTTTTTTTAAAATCTAGACCGGCATTTATATTCTTTTGCGCTGCGTGTTTCCGTTAGTAAAATATTGCGTCTTGTTATTTAGCGAAAGCTCATTCTGCTCGTAAAAAACGCGAACGCTTCGTGCAACCCTCTCCTTGCACGTTATTTCGCCTCCGACGGACGTTTGAGTAAAATAGCAGTGATAGTGCACGGAGCCCATCGGTAGAACTGACATAGCTCCAGCTAAAGATTTAACAATGACGACCATTACTGAACCTTCTTTTGTTACAGACTTTCAGCGAACAGCATCTGTATACTTGTATACTTTTCAAATGCTGATTTCCGAACAAAAAAAAGGTGATTCCGATTAATGAGATTGTTGGGATTTCTTTTTGCCTTGTAGGTGCCTCACTCGTTCAGTGTTCTGCAAGAGATCATAGTAAATCAGAGTGTGCGTCGTAAGCACAGCAAGCCCCCTCTCCCACAAGTCTTGGAGGATGCGGAGATGATATACCACATTAAAAAGATTCCAGACAGTACGATAGAAACCCAAGAGGATATCAGTGAAGGTAAACTTTTGCTTTTGCCTGCATGGAAAAACAAATCTCAAAAAGGAGAAAAATTAACACTAACTTAATTCTTGGAAAGTGGCTTTCTTCCCATGTATTCTTGCTTATATAGTATAGAAATATTAACCGCTCCGTATCCACGGAGCATTCTGTTTTCCCGAAGCGAAGTCTATACCACTCGAATGTTTTGTATTGCCTATACTTTGCATAGCAAAACACTCATTTTCCTTCAATTAAAAATCGATGTTGTGAATTCTCTCTCAAGCTATTGAGTTTCTGAGCACCTGTGGCACCCTTGTACATTTCAATGACCACCTCCAAGGTCTAAGAAGCCTGTACTTCATCGATCCAGTCTGGCTGTACAACATACTCATCAACGTTGCCGACGTCAATTCGTCCTTCGTCAAGGAGGGGCGCATACCCAGGACCATCTTGGAGCAGGAATTGTTTCAGAATAGCGATTTTGGGGAGGGACGGTTTGAGGAATATCTACAGCTTCTGCAGAGATTAGACATAGTACATCAAGTCAGCAAGGAAGAGTGAGATTTTTTTTCATTCCATTATTGGTACTTCATACATCCCTCAATTCAGTTACTTCTGTTGACTCCTTGTATCGCATGCAGGATCCCTACTGATTTTTCAACAGCTAGACCATAGCGTCTCTTTGTCATCCTCGTTGGCCGGGGTAGGCCTACTTTTGTACGTCATAAGACTACTGTGGCAAACTGAGTCCACTTTTTGACACTCGTTGTCAGCCAGTCAGGTTGACTGCGTAGCCATTGTGACGTTTCCATACGCACTAAATATTCATGATTCCTGATGTACGAGGCCATTTTTTTTCTGCAGCTTGTTACCCAATACTAATCAGTTCGTGTGGTGGTCAGCTATTTGTAACAAGCGATCGAATTGGACAGAAATTTTGTCAATTCGTGTCTGGAGGAGTCATTAGTATTACATCAACTGAGGTAAAATTAGTAAATAATGATGTGGACTCGGTTTGCCAGGGTATCGTCTGACGACATATGCGAGTAAGAGTGGCTATTGCAAAGATGCTCTTTGTGGAATTATAAGAAAATGACATTAATACTGCTAACTTAGTTGAAAGCATTAACATTGGCTTAAGGAAAGCTGGAGTTGCTTGAACATTAATTTTGTGTCCAACCTAAATTTTAAAAGGCTTTTCACTTTATGACTTCTGCTGCTGCTGAAGTACACAAACCAATGTGAACAGGACTTTTATAATGTATATTATAAGCTTTGCTTTTCAAATCAACAAAGGAAGGTTTTTATGTGTAGGCTATAGCAAGGAATTAGATGTGGCAGTTCACCATCAACCATTAACATGACCATCTTTAACCGCTAAGCTAGGACATGTTGATGTGGATTTTACAGGAAATTTGTTTATCTAAAGTTTTCAATTTCCTGAAGGAGTAATGTACCTTCTTCCACTCTCTTTGTGATAATGTTGAACTGTGTCCTATTCTGCAAAGATTCCTGATTCCGAGTCGACTTCCCAAAGACAAGCCGGGTCAGGATTACTGGATCTCACAGAGCGAGGACAGTCCATTTCAGGTCTTAGAACGCCATTATAGGTTAGCCTACGATCCGCCAGGATTCTGGAGTCGACTGGTGTCCAGAGTCTACGTATTCCTCAAGTTACTGGATGAGGAGGGAAGCAAGGGGACTAAGAGGGAGTCTCAAAAAAGGCCGGTGAAGAGAGGCGAGGAAGCAAGGAGGTCCCCAAGGTTTGTTACCTGCTCCTTTAACTTCAGTAATTTAATGTTCCTTACTTCCCACTGCTTGTCAATTTCTCAAAACCTTCCAAAAAATGGCACCTGCATTTCAGTGTTTCATACCACAAGAAAACTTTTGTTTCTTGCGGTTTTCAGTAATTAAAATCATATTTTTAAAGCAACTTTTCTACAGCTCATATGAAGATGCAGAGACCCCAATAACATTCCGCAAGGTCTATGTATTCATGATCTAATTCGTCATAGTGTGTTAAACAGCGCATACCTCACGGCAAGTCTAGCCCTACTACTCCGTCAATGCATCCTTGACATATACATAAGGTTCACCACTCTCTTTGACACGAAGATCCTACAGCATCCACTGCCACCTCCTACTATGATGCATAATCAGGATCATCAACCTCTAGAGGACATTCAGTGACTTTGCCATCTTCGTCCTCATCAATTGGAATGCTCCATATAAAGGTCACACTTCACTGCATAAGGTAAAACGTACATCAGATCTAGACTCAAGAATCAAAATCCTGTCGCGATCAGAGAGACTGCTATATCTAAAAGGTCAACTAGGGTTCACCTCATGTGCCTCATTCCCATATGTTGGTAGTTTTCCCATCTCACACAATGCACCCTAAACCAGCACAGTGGATCCGCTTTGCACTTAGCTCCTTCCCATCTCCACCCATTGCCTCAACTATACAGGGTGCCCCCAACTACGGAACGGCGTACTTCCGATACCCTGAGGCTCAAACAACCTATACCAATGCATGGGGAAAAATGATACCAAGATCGCCAGATTGGGTCCAGTAGTTTTTGTTCTAGAGCCAATTAAAACAAAGTCAGGAGTAAGTTTGTCCCGATGAATTACTAAATCGCGTACATGAAAGATGTGTGCTTCACAAAATAGAACTTTTAAATCGGCACCTTTAAGATGACGTCACGTACGTGACTCGCGATGTCGTCATCCTGACTTCACTTATATTTTCTCTATAACACGTCCCTGACTATATATGTACAACCCAATCGAAACATTATTTCTCTAGATATATATTTTTAAAATACGCACCTTTTAGATGACGTCACCGTCACCCGTGTGACGTCATCATTACATAAATCGTCAGTGCACACATTTAGTATGTGTTCTTGGTGTCAAATTTTTATTTAGACAAAAATTAAAAAAAAAATTAAAATCATAAAGAATCAGCCGATGACATCGTCATGACGTCGTTTCGGACTCTACATAATAGTACCATTATCTACCTATTCATGAAGTTTCATGACGATCGAACCTTGCCTTATATGTGTTTAAAACAAATCACACTTTTGATGACGTCATCATAACGTCACACATTTGTCATTTTTTATGCATACATCTATGACCTAACAAAATCTATATAAAATCACATGATGACGTCATGATGACGTCAATTAACACATCCCGGTCTACCTACATTTAGACCCATGATGACGTCACCATAACGTCATTCTTCGTTCATCCTCTTTGGTATAAGGTCTTTTGTTTGGCAAAGTTTCATTAAGATTTAAGCTTTAGAAGTGACCAAAGTGGCTTCCAGAAAAAAAACGTGTACAATTTCTATGGGATTTGAGATAGAACAAGAAGGAAATTAACAGCACAAAAACAAAGGCTTTTCCGCATTTTTTGCGGAAAAGCCAAAATTCAATGATGACGTATTACCCCAGTATGTTTATTGCTTCATTTGAAAAATAAATCATCACATTCTCTGAAAAAAAGCATACACCGTTACTGGGAAACTGGCTGTAGCTTGAAGTAAAGCTTGCTATGGGTACGACGAATGATTTTTTTCACGTTAGGTTTTGAAAATGACACGTACGTTGTTTCCTATTCATAGTTTGAGCCCAACAATGCCAAGGGGACTGATGCTGACACACACCAACATCACTTATTGGCAGACGGGCGTGATTGTCCAACATGCATCCGGTGTTATCTCGTTGAAACCAGCCACCTTTGAAGACAAGCCTGGCATCTTCGTCCAGATTCAATGTCAAGTCGGCGAGTTTACAGCCATGGGGTTCATAGTGGATCAGATCGAACACCTCATTCATGATTGGTACCCTGGTAAGTGCTGGTTTGTAATGTCATGGAATGTTTCGAAGAATGTTTTAAGAGCGTGCAAGAAGACAGTGTTGTGTAATTGCCCTTCACAGCCCTTCTATTGCAAGGGATCCACTGTTTCCGCAAAGAGCTTTAGGGTTTTACAGAACATTTTAATGTTGGTGCAGTTTCGTCAAGAGGCCTGTGAACCGTTCGACCACATGGCCTTAACTTGGTTTACCAAGCACACCCCCTCCCCTTCAACTCGTGGATAAAAGATTACAATTTGAACTTCTCCGGCAACGCTTTTATTTGCTCTTTTAAAGTTTTAGGTTTCTTCTTTACCTTTTCTCTCCACTTCAGTTAAATTTTAACGGAATTTTTTCTCCCGGGAATGTCACATTTTCGTCTTCACGAACACTTCTTGGTACAGTACATTGTAATTGAAAGTTAACACTGTGAATGGGAATGGGACATTTTGTGAAAAGAGTTCAAGTTCGCATTCGCATTCACATTTCCGATTTCGTGAAAATGTTTTCCCAATCGTTTGAAAAGGCGTGAAAATGTTTTCCCACTTGTGTGAAAAAGCATGAATAAAAATGTCCACTTGTAACAAAGACGCGAAAAATGTTCTCCCACTTGTTTGAAAAGGCGTGGAAATGTTTATCCACTGTGGGGAATTCTTTTCACATTTTGTGAAATGAAAATGAATTCGCTGGGACGAGAAAAAGTGTGAAAAGAAAGTTCCATTCCCAGGTTAACTTTCAATTGCAACAACTGTATGTTACTGAATTATAAACATCAACAAATCTAAACAACTTTTAAAAAACCTTTATAAAACACGAGCCGTTTTGTTATATTTTTCACTAGGCCTGGATCCCAGCGGCATGACTGAGAAACAATTTGTTGAGAGATTTGTCCCTTGTCCGGTCTGCAAAATTACAAAGTTCTCTGTCAGCAAACTCGCATTGGAAGCCGCTTTGCAGATTATGGATGAGGTGAAGTGTCCCAAACATCCCATGGAAGGCGTAGCTTTACCTAAACTCCTCCCTGATTTCTTTTTGATGGACCTACCAGTCAGGATCCTTGATAAGAAGGCGTTTGCATTTGATCCCTGGACCAGTGAGTCCCTCGGCAGAGGAGCATACGGCGAGGTCTTTAAAGGAAAATATCGACATGAAGATGTCGCTGTCAAAATGCTGGCTAAAAAAGCGATTTTGTGTGGCAGGCCAGAATCGGGGGTGCATACATCTGGGAGGGAAGATAACAGCAAAACGTCTAGCAGCAGTAGCAGTCCACGAGACAGCGGCAACCAATCATTATCCCCAATGCCGTACGATGAGAGTATCGCCCCTAATGAGATGCTTGTCATGGAGGGATTCTCCAACCTGCGCAGTGAAGTGGCCACCATGTGCAAGCTGCGACATCCCTGTATCATTCAGCTCATTGGGATATCAATCCAGAATCTCTGCTTTGCCATGGAGTTAGCTCCACTACGAGACCTCGCAAAACTACTCCGTCGAGAATCCGAAAGCCATCGAGAGAGTTTTGTGAGAAAGGAGAGGGCTTATGGGACTATTCTAGACCGTGTTCTGACCTTTAAGATCGCCATGCAGGTAGCCCGTGGGGTGTCCTACCTTCACAACAAGAAGATAATCTACTCTGACCTGAAGACTGACAATGTGTTGCTGTGTTCCTTGGACGTCGATGCTAACGTCAACATTAAACTGACCGATTATGGGGTAGCTCGGACCATGGATTTGCAGGGAGCCAGGGGACGCGCTGGTACTCTGAGATTCTGTGCACCAGAGATACTACGAGGAAGAATGTTCACAGAACAGGTATATTACTAGCCCCACTCTTTCCCGAGCATAAATACCATGAATATCATGAATAATTAAGCCCGATATACATTAAATCATTTTGTTAGGTTACATAAATATACATGAGTGGAAGGAAAATGATAAATGAGAACATTTTGTTCATGCATTTCGTTCCGGACAAAGGCAAGAAACGAACCGTTGTCCTAAATCCCTAATAAGACTTTGCAATGGACCGATCCAGAAAGCACCGCCCCATGTTGTACTGACCAATCACAGCCGTAATTTATGACCGACGTGCGTGCACTAAAGTCCGACATGCGTGCACGCGCGTATGATGCCCGCGGATGGAAAATGCAGCGTGGGCATTGGAGCGGCGCGGAGCACGTGTTAATTTGCCCACGTGCGCACTGGGCGGAGCTTACTGGATCGGTCCATTGAGAGAGTGTAGCTTGAAATTCAACCAGGTTAACTAATTTACATTGTTGTCTAGGCGGACTGGTACTCCTACGGTATGTTGCTGTATCACCTGATGTCCGGTGCATGGCCTTACGACCACCTCAAGCCTGAAATAGATATCCATAGCGCTCTCAACGCCGGCACCAAGCCAAACTTTCGGCTCCGAGACTACGTGATCATCACCATGTTCCCATTTCTTGAGAGATTAATGGAGAGGTGTTGGAATGATAACCCACTGCAGAGACTCAGTGGGGATGATATCGCCAAGGCAATGAAGAACGGAAGTTTCACTTGCTTGGAAAATGTCATCAGTTTAAACGAGGAGGAGATAGCGTGTGTGCATCTTGGCTCAGGCGAGAGTGATGAGGTATCCATTATTCATCCACGCTAACCAGGGCAGTCTCACGCCGTAAGACGCTTTGGCAAACCCAGTCCGACTATCTTTACAATTTTGAAACTCATTGTCAACCGATCAGATTCTCTGCGTACACCCCGTTATGTTTTCCTATACATGCTGTATATTCAGCAGGTCTGGGATTGAGGGTCAACTTTAAAGTAGGAAGGCGCTTTTCAGAACAGCACAGCGCGCTGTAAATGTATTTGGTGGGACATTCGTGAAGAGCGATCTGATTGGTCAGAACTTATGTCGTGGAAGTGTTTATGAATAATTAATCTCACTAGGTCATCATAGGAATGTTATACAGTATATGGACTTACTTGAGTGATACTGCCCGGGCTAGCAAGGATGTTTAAATGACATATACTTTGTTGACTTTGGATATATTCTGCCGACTCTCCTTTTAAAACCTTAAATAAGGGAATAAATGTGTGTTTGGGAGGTATTATAACACTCTGTTTAACACCGGTTGGAGTCTGGATGGGTTCGCCTCGGTTAATTATCAGCATTCCAGACTCCAACCAGTCTTAAACAGAGTGTTTAATACCGACCAAGCACATATTTATTCCCTTTTTATAAATACCTTTTCGGTAAAAAACAAAACAAATCTTTTCCGTCCAAAAATCAAAGCAAGTCAAAAACTAAACATTGCTAACCATTTTGTTCAACAATTTTACTTCATGTTGTATCAAACACCCCTCTGACTATAATATGGAATGTCCCTCTACACTAATTCCTTACCTTATATTATAAGGAGATTGGCGTGCACGTCGCGCGTACTGCGCGATGTCGCGCAAAACGTAGCTGGGGTGGGTGTAGTGTGAATTTCGGACTATGGTAATGCGCATGCATACGTAAGGAATGTGAACGTTCAACCAATGAAACGTTAAGGCACCGGATTTCGTGGGAGTCCAAATTTCAAGTGACACTGGAAAAGTGTTTAAGACCAGCTAGCCATGTCTTTATCATACACTGAAGACCGGCCACGTGACGGGCTCTCGACCAATAGGAACTGTTTTAGGTATTTATGAATAATGCTTAATGCAACAAAGTGAGGATTTTTTTTCTATTTATGAAATGTCTTCTATAATTCTCAGATTAGCTCATTGTTTATGGCTTTCACTACAAATTTAACAGAATGCGTGCCCTGTACATTGTTGTCAACAGACAGTGGTCGTAATTTAAATCCTATTCATTCAGATTTGTCAATGACAGGAAATGTAATGAATTTAAATTGTTAAAATGACTCTACCTTTGTCAGAACTCGGATTATTTGTGGTTCTGGACTGGTGAGGGTGCAAGTCGTCGGTTTGCAAAAATCAACGTCAAGTTTTTCACCGAAGGAGATGTCAAGACAGAAAGACTCAGCCCGGGCTCGCGAGCTAACTGTATGGTGCGAGTGGGAGACTGCCACCTTGTAGGCACAGAGGTATATACATTTTTGTAAATAACATATCGCCGTATCGTATCGCCGGAAAATGCTGGGTTCGCTTCGTCTGAATATTAATTTGTCACACTTGTGGATGGCCACAATTTAGTACAACAAAATAATATAGGCAAGTCTAAAAAGGCCCCCAAAAAGTGTCCGGTTTCTGGTCAGCTGCGCGCGCGTCGCCGTAGCCATGCACGTCGGCAAAATTAAAAGTATTTTATTTCAATGTTAGATGATGTCTCAAACCCGCCTAACTCACTGCTGCTGCACAATTTGTACGTGTTTTTGTGGGCTCTCTGAGCTCCAATAGATTTTGCACTAAATGTAGTCGAGCACCATTTGCAGACAGTGTTGTAATTTTATACTTGTGCGTCTGGAAGCCAAACTGCGGGAGCGATGGTCGTGTTATCTGGAAGCTGTAAACGCTTTTAAATTAGCGAATTGTAAGGGAGCAGACTAATTACCAGGCTGGCAGCACAATCATGTCGATGTCGCTGTATGGTCTGATGTAACCGTTTTTTTCTGATTTTTGTCTTGACTATCCAAATTTCCCAAGGAATGTTCGTGTTGGTCGAGATCGTAAGTGGGTGCAGAATTCTCAAGCCTTTATGGCCCTATACCGAGGTTATCCCAAGCTCCACTCTGAAGGACATTTTTGAGAGTTTTAAGGGGATCGATGCGTCATTTGCAACATCAGCCAATACATGAAGAAAAAAAGTTAGGGGAAACAAAGCCCGCCTCCCTCACCACTTTTGGGGCAAGCTCCATACCAGAAACTGGAGACTTTTTTGGCCTAAAGCTGGTTCCTGACCATTTTGGTTTCAGGTGTCTGCAGGTATAGTAGTCATCATGAGTAGGTATAGTCGGGCTCTATACCCGATGTTCCCCAATACTTATGTTCCCCAAAGTCCTTAGGGTTAGGGTTAGGGTTAGATGGTTAGGGTTAGGATTGGGGAACATAGGTATTGGGGAACATAATGTATTGGGGAACGTATGCACCCGGTATGAGGAATGAGTCAGCAAGCCAGTAAGTAAGCTCTAGTTACAAAGAGGAATGTAGACTGGTCCTCTGCGACCAACAAAGACAAGAAGGAAGACCCCCTTAATTTTAACCCGAGATAATGACAAACCTGAAAAGGCATACATTTCTATAGACCTAAGATCTAATGAGGTAATGGCTTTGTTTACGTATGCACTTTTCTACGGGAGCGAAGTCGGGACGCCATATGTAGTAGGGACCGTCTACCATGCAGGAAAGCGCACATGTAAACAAAGCGTGACGTCATTAGCTCTCTCAAAAGGAAGGCCAAAACGTAAAGTATCAGAAATGTACTGAATATTTCAGAAAAAAATCTATACAGTGATATTAAAATCGGTATGTCATTGTCATGGGTGAACGAGAAAACAAGGCCTTTATGGAAGAGGTCAAAATCAGTATTGTGACAAGTTTTTACCTGAGTGGCAAAGAGACTGAGACAGATTTCATTGATTTTTGTTTTGAAGAACAACCGCATTCAGCTCTTTGGACCACAAGCCGTCGATCGGCAGGATTTTATCGTTGATGCTGAGGTTCTCTGCCTCTGTTATCTACCCATCAACGACAAGGTGAATTAAGCTTAAGAGCACATCGTCCTGAAATCGCAGAACATTGTTTGCTTTAATTTGTTTACTAATTATATTTCAATGGTCTGGTTGAAAGGAACCTAATCTCCTATACCGTTCCTCAGAAAAGAGGACAAAAAACCGGTTGTTGACTTCTGACGTGTCGATATTTTGTGGCATACGCATACGTACACTCTAAAAACTGCGTTTAGCAATTAAACACAATCTTGCTATCACTTTGTAAACATATGTTAAGACGCTAAACATTACGTGTCCAATTTTTAAACATAAATGTTCAATAGCTAAACACTATCCATCCTTACGCTAAACCTGTTTAGTATTTAAACATGTTTACAAACTGATAGCAAGAAAGTGTTTAGAAAAGTGTTTAATTACTAAACACAGTTTTTGCAGTGTAGTTCCAGCCGTAAATAAGTCTCGATTATCTCATGTACACGAGATCCGTGCGCAGGAGATAATCAACTGAGAGTTTCCGAAAAGCCAGATCATGACATAAAGTTTGTATGACACATGACGCTATTGAACAGATTCCTAAATAACTCACATTTTGCGTATTGTACACAAATATTCACTTCATGCTTCGTGTAGTGTAGTAAAGCTAGCCTCCCCAGGTGATCCATGAATCACCGTGGGCAAACATAGCGCAGGCCACGTGGCTTGCTCTCAGCCAATCAAGATACAGAATCTGTGGGTGGGGTGTTGTATTAGGTGATCTATATTTCAGCCAATTATCTTGTGCGCACAAGATAATTTATTTATTATAATAATATTAATATTATACATTAAACAAACAACAAAATCTTCAAAGAAACCTCAAAAAGAAACTGACTACATATACAACAATACCATAAAGGATTTGACAAAACTCGATAAGGTAATACAGATAAGTTGTGCCAAGTTTTTGTTTTAAATGAAGCACAATATAATCAGTGTGTCGTGAAATATTTGTATCCAGGACACGCAGGGGCTTCTGTTCGCTGGTTTGGCTGATGGTCACGTGGTTATCTTGAGGCACAATCCAGCAGCAACGGACTGCAGCAACAGGCAGCAGGAGCCAGTTTGGTCCCGGGTGAAGACAATAACCTTTGAGAATAAGCGTTGTAATCTGCTGGAGCCAGTCCCTGAGAGAGATGAGCTGTGGATAGCATGCGGGAATAAGCTGCGTGTTCTTAGCACCGAGGTATACATTCCAAAGTCTCAACATACTCTCAACCAGAAAAGAAAATCCCTCCTTCCAATACTACTGGGCATATCCTGCTCAAATAACGACTTATCAATACAGAAATTCCTTATCAATCTAGCCATACTCTTTATTTGGCCCAAAACAGTGATAATGCATATGAATTTATGCAATTTATGACAAATGATACCGAAAACAGTTGCACTTTTGTATACGTGCAAGTTGTGGTTCACACTCACCTTGTACGTATACAAATGTGCAAATTATTTTCGGTACCATTTGTCATAAATTGCATAATTATGTGCACATTATTGCTGTTTGGGGCCAAATATAGTGTATGGCTGGATTGCTAAGGAATTTCTGTACTGATTAGTCGTTATTTGAGCAAGATGTGCCCAGTAGTTTTTGAGTTGGACAAAAAAGTATTAACTAAAGGGGGACTTTCTTTTTTTGGTTGAGAGTAGTGTAAGAGTCTTGCCTTACGCAGAAAGTTCCAGTTTCAAGTCTTCTATACCCTCAGTGCCTTATCGCCTCTAATTCCCCAGCACAAACCAAATACTTCAGGCACTCAGCTCCTTACCCTCCCTTTTAGCCTTCAAACTCAACCCACCCTCAGACCTGTATCATATTGCTGCTCAAGAAGTATTTACTTTAACAGACTCGATCGTTTCTTCTTCCCAAACATTAGATCTTGTTGCTGGATGCATCGGGCATCACAGTGACTTCAACAGCAAAGCGCTCTCTGGTTGGTTTGGCTCATGACCATGACAGCCTCTTCTGCATCATCGAACGCTCCTCCCAGGTACTTCAGTATAACATGGCTAACAGGCAGCTTGTGAATATCCTTCAGTGTGGAAACACCATGCTGGCGAGAGGAGTTTGTCTGATATCTCCGCCGGATGATGGCATCCACGTAATAGATGAGGAGCAAGCTGAGGATGACGAAGAAGTTCGTTATGAGGACAATGCCATCCAAGTACTGTGTATTTTAACTGTCAAAGATACCCTGTGGATTGGCACAAACACCGGCAAAACTCTAGTCCTTTGCCTCGACTCAGAAACACAGCACAGTGTCGGCGAAGTGCTTGCCATTCTTGGACTCCTTCCAGAATTTGACAATAAGAATGGGCCAGTTAAAAAGCTCCTTAGGGCCGGGGACGGGCACGTTATGGCGATGCAGGAGCTCACAGGATCATCACCACCACCACTCAACCAGGAGACGCGTCTCAATCAGTACCAGCTGCTGTTATGGCAAGCATGGGGTTCGCAAGAGGTGGCAAAGTTTGATCACATCCACCATGCGTTGGATGAGGCAGAGCTGGCTTTGGGCAATTGAAGAGACACGTTGCTTCAACATCGTGATTTCATTCGAAGATAAAATGTATTGTTCCACAAGCATCATTGTTTATGTTACTGTCATTCATATGGTTTGTTGGGAACACATCTGTATACATTAAAGTACAGTATAGGCAAATTTGAAAACGCAATAACAATTGATATAATTATATTGGTCTGTTCAACTTTTGTTATTCTAATTAAGAATTTTAACTGGTTCATTATGTTAATATGTTAATTAAGGTTTACTGTTTACTGGTCTGTTGATTCCAAGAAGCATGCGAAAGGGCCCTTTAGTTTACACGTAGAACAGGGAACACAGATATATCCCGAAAATTGGAAAATTGACCAGCCTGGCCACTATCTGGCAAAACTTTTGCTTGTCTAATTAAAGAATCATCATTAATATTTTGATAGCCGAATATTTGAGAGAGAATTTTTGTAACGAAACGAAACTAAGTAAAGTCTGTCACGAAGCAATGTGGCCCATCAGGTTCTCAGTAGTATGAAACGACTGATAATATTTGCACGTATACAAAAGTGCAACTTTATTTCCGGTACCATTTGTTATAAATTGCTTAATTTTGTACACATTATCACTGTTTTGGGCCAAACAAAGAGTATGGCTGGATTGCTAAGGAATTTCTGTACTGATAAGTCGTAATTTGAGCAACAAGTGCCCAGTAGTTTTTGAGTTAGGCAAAAAGTATTAAGGGGGACTTTCTTTTTTGGTTGAGTGTATAAAAAGGGCACGTACGGGCTATGCCATTTAAAGTTAGCGTCCCTGTGGTTTTTCAAATGTTTAAAGAATAGGCCTAATGCCCTTGAATGAAGTATTATAAAAAATATTTAGAGGCAATATAGTTCCTTTAAAACAGCTTTGTATATTGCGCTTATTTTAGGTCAGAGCTGGATTTAGACTTGACCGAATTCCGGTGTTGCACTGTGTCTGCGCATTACGGCGTGCCTTTTTATTTCTATGGTTCTCATATTTGTTTGCCTCTGAAGTATAGGGTCGGTAGGTGGGGGGTGGGGAATCTGAAAAAAAATATTTGCAGTTGCACCCGTATAGATGGCTAAATTAAATGATGCCAAGTGCGCATTGTTTCTAGTTTTGTTTATTGCAATGAGTTTATCATGAGTTGATATCACTGAATAAAAAAGTTGACTTACATAAGATATCTGCACCAAGCAGCTCACTAACGTTTTGGATGTAGTGACAGCCATGACATACCAGTCAAGGAATACTATAAACATCTGATATGATGAGAGGCATCATCCTCTCATCTTCTGGGATTCCACTGGTTGCTACACGCCGTACTTCGCGAATAATCGGGTATTAATTGTCACTAGCTTTTCAATAACCCAGAACCTGATTGCCTGAGGTTTATATTCATTTTTTTTAAATTGATTATTAGTTTTGTTAATGGGGTGCCCAACAGGGTTGGTAACAACAAAAACTAGAACCAAAGAAATAATAAGGAATGCCCTTATTCGTATTCCCGTAAACACACTGAAGTGGCACGCGTGTCAAGTATTAGTATCATGGCACTTGTCTCGCTTCAGGCGTGATGTGTGATATTGAAATTCAGGGCCGGGTTGTGATGGCAGTGTTTGTTGTGGATGTTGACTTAAGTCCGACTTGAGTCAAGTCCAAGCTTCCGCTCTTTATTCAAAAGGTGAATTGGAAAAAAAAATGCTTAGCGTAGACCGATTTTTCGTTCAATGTCGCGTTCAATTTCAATTGAATTTTTTAAGGGTGCCACACCCAAAATGCATAGGGAATCTCTCTGTAATGTTGAAGCGCATCAGCATGTATATTTGGTTCAACTGGGGTAGTGACTATTGGTCTTAATTCTTCAAAACGGCTGAGTTATCGCCACGTATAGTGATGACGAATGAATGGCAGAGCTGGAAAGAATTTAATACGAATATAACCGATCACTATACAAGCATTTACAGAAGTTCTCCTGGTGTTTAGAAAAACAATCAAACTAATATGGAGGCAAAATATACATTCTCGATATTGGCCACGCAAGTTTAAAAATGTGCAAGAGTTTTAATGTGATGATGATAATTTTCTTATAGACATTTTCACGGTGAAGTAGCTGATCTAGCAAAGTATAGGTTTTCCCGGCCAATTTCCTGAAATGTTCATTCACTTCTGAAAATCGGTCATTCAGTTTCGTCTGAATTTGAATGCACGTCTTGAATCCCATTTCAATTCAACGAAAGTTCAATCGTTTTCATTGTCCGTGCATTCAGTTTTGAGAAACTGACGGCAAATTACATTACCTGCGCATTCATTTACGCAAGCATACCTTTTCTAAATTGATTTTAGGTACAGCTAATTTGATTGACGGTTAATGAAAAAGAAACCCCTAATTGTATCTGGTGCCGATGGCATTAAACTAAAAGTGAAATAGAATGGTGAATGTTTGAAATCGCCCTCTAAAAGCGAAAAATAAGTCTTGTAAACGAATCTGAATGGACATAAACAGAAGGTGCTGCTCAATCACTTAATTGATTGAACTGAAATGGAATCGAATGCTCCGTTAGCGAAAATGAAACGCGTGTTCAGAGCGATTCTCAGATTCAGACGAAAATGAATGACTTATTTCCAGAAGTGAATTAACATTTTAGGAAATTGGCCGCGAAAACCTATATTAAAACACTTTGCTAGATCTACTTGTTGCTTTTCAGTTAGTTTCTATTGTTACCTTCACATTAAATTCAATTACTTTCTTCATCTGTCCAATGTTAGTTAAGAAAAAAAGGTTTTTTTTGTTATCCGCCTTTAATCGAAGTTCGTCAATAAAGAAGTTCGCGGTTTACTTAACCCAACATTCAAAAATGTCATTGTGTGTAAAACAGTATTTTTCGAAGAAACTAATATCATTTAATTGTCGTCAAAACATGAAAAAAATTCAAACTAAGGCTCTACATGAAGATCGTGTCAGACATGATGAAGCGAGAGAAAGAGACTCACCGGTTCAGTCTAAAGAATAGTGAACTGTATTAAAACCGAAGTTGTTGTCGCCCTGAGAAGACCAAAAATACCCCGTCTTAATAGTCCCTGGGGTAAGGCCGTTTAAAATTTAAAATGAGGCCGCAAAATTTTATGATAAATCTTAGTATTATATTCTGTTGTAGGATACCTTGGGACATCCGAAAATGGTGCCCTTAAGTTGCACAGCCGGTACTTTTGCCTTCCAGCTAAAAAAAACCCCTGTTATTTTTTTAAAACAGCTAAGATCATAGATTTTGGGCCACTGTTCTCTCAAAAATGGTCCCATCGTGACCTGTTGCAACTTTTTACCATCTTGATAGGATGGGTAAACAGGAAAAAATGTGGTTGGTCTCACGTTTATCCGCATTCGTGTTTTCTGGGGATATATTGCTTCGAGGACACCCCCCAAGAAAAAATCCTGTGACTTTGCCCTATTTGGGACGGAAATGAGTTAGAAATTCTTGACTATTCTTAATTGATACACACTTTCTTTGTGATTAAAAAACTGCCTGAGGCCACAAGCTTTAATATTGAATGGTAAATAAGCTTTCTGTCTTGAAAATTTGGCTCGCTACGGCCATTTGTGCTTACCCTACCCCTATATCACTCAAATCGGCCGTAAAGTGGGTGGCACAGCAAACCTATTGAGCATTTTATGATAACAGCGCCAAAAGTGGCACAGAGATTGACCAATATCATATCAACAAATGTGGATATTGGAGCATCGCGGATCTGGCCCTTGACGGCCGTGTGTATATGATGTAAATAGTGATTGTTGTGGGGGGGGGGGTAACTTAATTTTTAAGAGACCGACTTCAGGCATTTCCGACTTGAGTCAAGTCTAAGATATATCAGACGTTGGACTTGAGAAGACTCCGTGGACAACAGGTGATACTCAGACTATATGGTCCTTCGGATTTCGAATCGACTGTAGGGACCGGAAGCGGGTAATATATAAGGAATATATAAGGAGGATTTCCTCCTAACCTATGCAAACTATATGCAGAACTAGCGCTAGCCTATAGGTCTGATTCCCGTCCCCTGAATACAAAATCACACTTGAATACTTGATAGGTGGAGACACTGGCGATTTTGCCTCCAGGTTATGGTAAGAGTCAGTTTTTCTATAGCCATGTGTTCAAATATCATCCATGCGCAAAGCTGTAAATATCATCAAAAATAAAAAGTCATGCTGCGCACGCACAGGGGGATCCAATCAATGGCTTTAAATTGGAGCCAGCTACCTGTCCCATATTATGTGCCATGGGTTGGCAAAGTCCCTCACACGTTGAATTTCAATACAAAGTGGGGGAAAGGAAAGTGTGTTCTACGGAAGCTCGCGCATTAATATTATGCCCTCACTGCCAACCATGCGTCCTTGGTCATATTTTATTAATTTGATTTGAAGTGCAACCCATCAGTGGGATGTTGGCAGTGTAAAACAAAGTACTGAAACTTTAACATTTCCAGTTCGCTTCCTTCGTAAACTGTAAGCTTTCTCTACACAAAACGGTTTCAAGGTAGGTTTTCTTTATTTGAATTAACACTCTTAAAACAACTCTGTTAAATAACGTCCTGGTTTCTTTAGGCCTTCTTTCTAAGAACTAACTGGAATCCAATAGCTACAAACCCAGCTGACCCTAAAGTACCTGGTCAAGTTTGACCGTTGCTCGTGAATGAAATGCATTAGACTGATAGACTCAACACGAGTTACACATATCATTCACGACCTCGTATTATATTCGTGATGACCCCAAATATATTGCTGATGGCTACATTGTGTTAGATATTTAACGTCTGTTCCAGCAGTATTTAAGTGCATTCCGATTTCATTCTACGGTCTACGGATATTAAAGTAAATGAAATAATTAAACATAATTTTTACAGACCATCTCAAACTATGGATGATGTCAACTCGAATCTCACGATCGCACTGTTTGATGTACCAGGGGATGTTCATTTAATTCTTCTCCACGTACTGTATGGGATCGCTTTCATAGCAGGGACCATCGGCAACTCTCTAGTGATTCTGGCCGTGCCTCCAAAAAGCTCCGAACGACCACCAACGCCTTCGTGGTAAATCTCAGCATAGCAGACCTGCTGACCTGTCTGGTGTTGCCGGTATACTCTATTTATGTCCGTGCGTTTCTTTTTCGGATCGGTGACCGGCTGATCGGTTTTGGGGTGGGCATCGTGACCCGCGTCATTCTGAATACGACTCTCGGCTGCAGCGTCCTCACGCTGATGAGTATCGCCATTAACCGCTGGCTGCTGATCACACGACCACGAACCACTTATCGAAAGATCTACACACCGAAGAAGATCGCATTCTGGCTGGTGTTTGTTTGGGTGATACTTTTGCTATTCATTGTTACTTCCACTTTTGTGCTTGTCCGGAATTGGCGCATTTTCTTAGCTGTGACAGCGATTGTAATGTTTACAATCCCTCTGATTGTCATCATCCTCTGCTATGTGCTCATCTAGGAGCGTATCAATCGCCAGGCGAGGAGGATGGCAAGCTCTACCGTGGTATCGCACGAGCCTATGACAGCCGACATCCCTACAGATGACATCCCGGGCCCAAACAACATCGTCCAGTCCCCAGCCAGTTCGAGCGCCGTTCGCGTAATGAC